CTAGCTCATTGTTTAGATAAGTTTGGAAGTTTGAATTATTATCTTTATAGAATAAATTTGCATCATCTGCAAAAAGATGAAAATCTAACATTTTCGAGCATGAACTAAAATCATTTACGTCAATAAGGAATAATAATGGACCAAGAACTGAACCCTGAGGAATACCACATGAAGTAAACAATTCTTCAGAAGGTATATTATCAACGTAAACAAATTGTTTCCTGTTTGATATAAATAGAAAAGGAACCACTCATTAGGTAGTCCTCGGATGCCATAAAATTCGAGTAATTTTTTAGCAAAAGCTATAATTAGCTTGTTGTTTTCCCAAACTAGTTTGACAGATTTTTACAAATGGCTAATCACATGCGAGATTCTAATTCTGAACCTAATCAAGTGTGGAAGTAGGATTTGCAACCTATGTGACCAGAGGCTCTCCGTTCTCGCCTCTCGTTTCTTTCGCCTCGCAAAGAGCCTCTGGAACTAGGGTAAAATTGTGTGAAAACATACACTGAATTCTGAAAGTAACTTCAACATTTTAATTAATAAATGAGATTCTGTATTAAAAAATTTATACCTCATGCTTTGGAAGCTTTTTTTGTCTCAGACCTGACCTCGCGCAATCTGGTGCATTAAATGGTCAAATGCCCCAAGTCTTATGACTCAGGGTCAAATGCCTACCCTGACAGCAGTTCAAAAGGTCAAATTTCCCTACCTCCTCCGCAGGCCTTTCAAAAATATGAAATTGGTGGGAAACAAACGGAAAGGCCTGTGGACTAATTTTCCAAGATGGTGGAAGACACAAGCCAAATTATATTTATATATCATCTTACCAGAACAATATTATTATTAAAGTCTTTAACTACTTATGATATAGACCGCTTTTCCTATCCGCAATATACATAAAAACAGTGAACACTGAACAAACAAGCATACAATGATTTATAAAGGGAAGCAGATAACGCCAAGTAATCCACATGCTATTCAGCCAAGTAATCGACATGTTATACTCAGCAGGCCTAACAGCAGCTTCGTCTGAAACTTAAAATTTTAACTTGCGAACGAGCATACTCATTATACGGGCTGTATGGCCTGCGGAGGAGGTAGCAAATCTCCCATTTTGGGGATAGAGCAAGATGTCAAATGGCTGGGGTACGCCCGGGGGATGTTAACAGCATAAATTGATTGGCGCATTAGTTCGCAAATTTTAATCAGACAACTTTACTCGATCTCACAAGCGACATAGACTATTTATCATTTATAGACCGGGAGTGAGGGGGGTTCGGCGGAATATTACCCGAAGTGATGATATTTCCCGAGGGGCTTTGCCCCGAAGGAAATGTCATCACTTAGGATAATATTTCGACGAATCTGCCGAGCGGGGAGGGTCTATAAATGGTATATTATACTGAAAGTTAAAGAACCCACCAAGTTCAGTTAAAACTTGAGCTCAATACAATCATGAACTTGATGCGAAATCATGAATTTGAGTGAAATACCGTAAAAAATCACATTGTTACGTGGTACAAATGCTGTTTTTTGATTGGAGAATTTGAATTTGAGGTATAATATTGAAACATAGACTAGTAAAACAATAGACTATTGTCGATTGAGAAGTTATTTCATAAACGAGTGCGAGTGTTTAATTTTACCAGGGTTTCCAAACACCTGAGAACAATGGAATTCACTCGACTGTTCACCAAGCGATCTTCATTGTTCTCTTGAATTTGCAAAACACTCAAGACAATAAAAACTATACTCGGCCTTACCAGCCTCGTGTTTTCGTTGTCGTTCGTGTTTTACAAATTCTCGAGAACAATAAAATTGCTTAGTGAACAGCCTCATGAATTCCATTGTTCTCGCGTGTTTGGAACCCCTGGTAAGACACTGACTTGAAAAGCCTGAAAATTGCGATAAATTTGAGATGTATTTTTTATTTTTCAGTCGAGTTATTTGAAGACGCGGGAAGTTTGGAGAGGATGAAAAAGCGTAAGAGTTCGTCAAGGACCAACTCTAGCGCTAAGTGCTTCTAGCTCCCAACTTCCCAAATTGGGAGATGAACCGTGCAATGAAGTTGGGAAAAAGGAATTGTGCACGGTGAGGTAGTTAAACATCAAACGTTAACAAAGCCAAAGGCCTTCTATTTTGTGTCTCTGAAGGTTGCCGGACTTACAGACCATCATATCTTGGCAGACTAAAACTATGTCTTATCCACACCTGTCATCATTATTCGTTATAAATCATATACAGCTGGCAGAAGATGATACTGTCTGACTTACTTCCTGATTTGTGCGCTTGCAGTACAATAGCACCGTGATTCCAATAACGACCAACGCCACAGCAGCAAGACAGATACTGATTATTAAAACAAAATTGGAGCCACCGCTGTCAGCTAGTGGAAAATACGAAGAACGTTTACAGCGGGTACACAGAAACGGTTGGTAATAAACAGACAGAAGAAAACAATATTAACTTGAGAAAACCTCCTGTGTCCGGCATAAATAACTTTGTTGCAAGTAACAGAATCACAGTACAGGTAGTCAATTGTTACATTTTTAGATAACTATAACGGTCATTATATCTCATTTGTGTCGGTTTTCTTTGATCGTCCGAGGTTTATAACTAGCTAATATACCTTGAATAAATAATTACATCAAATTTTTCGACAAAACGCGAGAATTTTTCATCAAACATTTTTGAAAATGACAAAATATGTTAGAAAACCTCCACAAATGAGATATACATTAGTTATAAACCTCGAAAGTCGGTTTATAACTGATATATTGCCCTCGGACGCTGCGCGTCCTCGGGGGCAATATATCAGTTATAAACCTCCTTCTCGGTTTATAACTCTAACTTAGTTACGTTTTGAAAAGAGGTAATTGTAACTAGTTGGATTTTGGCTTAAAATGGAACGATAACACGCTACTTTTCTGACTAACATTACATTTTTCAATACATTTTCACGTTAAAATATAATACTTGCTGTTACCATCAACTTTTATTATGTGAATGTGGTTGATAAACGGGATTGATTGCCCAATAACTCTTCTGTTTATTTGCCGCGGCTTCAATTGTCTGGTTATCCAATTACTAAAACCTACTGCATGCATGCAGATCTAACTTTAAGCAGAAAAAGTTGAAAGTAACTTTTTAATTAACCAGTTACAAAAATCTATGAAATAACTTTGAAATGGTAACTATAATTATATTTTTTATGTCTTGCTTTTACCGGTAACTAGTTCCAAAAAATAATAATCAGCAAGAATTTTCCATGCAGTATATTGTATTACCATCACCCATACAATGGCCAACGCAAACTATATATTATAGGTACGAAGTTTAAAAAGTTTTAACCGTTTTTTTAGTGTCTTTCAGATTTCATAGGTGTTTCAGCAAGAGGTTGTATATCTGATACAACCATGGACGCCGGAACGATGTGAAGGCAAGGGGGGGCAGATTTTCGTGAAAGAGCTCTTTTGAATTGATATATACTAATAGATGTTTGCAAAACATTGGGAGTTGAACGTCGCCTAATCAGGTTTTCTATTTATTGGATGATATGAGTGTGAGCGAGTTCTCCGCCAGGCGATTATGCTATTCTTGAAGCACGATGACTGAATTTCTTGCGTTTTCTAAAGCAAATTCGTAAAATAATTGCACCTGCCCTCTTGCCCCTCCTGGTAAAGGGCAACGGGGACGGCTGTCCCTCCTGTCCACCCCGTTCCGGCGTCCCTGGATACAACATGAACGCAAATGCTGTAGCTATGTGCCTGTATGTACTATTAAAAAAATGCGAAGAGATTTGCTTTATTAGATATAAAACACGAGGCGACAGCTTGAGTGCTTTATATCTGATAAAGCATAGATTGGGAATGTTTAATTAAATGGCTTAAAAAACGACACATCATATCGGAGTTTATTGGCGCCAAGTAATTTTAAAAATAAACGTTGTCTAAGTCGATAAAATCAAAGATAAGTTTATGTAAATTAACATGATTTTTTATCACATGTAAATGAACAAACGCGATAGGCACTGTTGTGATGAAAAATTATTGATATTTTTTTAATATTATACGTACAATACCTGTTGTTGAGTGAAATGTTGGTGTAGACATTACAGTAGTATTCATGGTACCAACAACTGCAGTGCGATTTGGGCGAACAAAGCTTGTGGCATTTTTCCCCAACGGTTCTATAAAACAATGATGCATCTTGCGAGTTCTTGGCGAAGTAATTTTAAAAATAAACGTTGTCCAAGTCGATAAAATCAAAGCTAAGTTTATGTTATCACATGTAATGTAAAACCACCCGCGCAACATTCACTGTTGTGATTTCCTTTTTCTTCTCGTCATCGATGATAGTTGTTAAATTTTACGTACAATACCTGTGGCTGAGTGAAATGTTGGTGTAGACATTACAGTAGTATTCATGGTACCAACAACTGCTGTGCGATTTGGGTGAACAAAGCTAGTGGCATTTCCCCCCAACGGTTCAGAAAAGCAACCATCATGTGAGTTCATTGGCGAAGTAATTTTAAAAATAAACGTTGTCCAAGTCGATAAAATCAAAGCTAAGTTTATGTAAATTAACGTGATTTTTTATCACATGTAAAACCACCGCAACATGCACTGTTGTGATCTCCTTTGTCTTTTCGTCATCGATGATAGTTGTTAAATTTTACGTACAATACCTGTGGTTGAGTGAAATGTTGGTGTAGACATTACAGTAGTATTCATGGTACCAAAAACTGCAGTGCGACTTGGGCGAACAAAGCTTGTGGCATTTTCCCCCAACGGTTCTATAAAACAATCATGCATCTTGCGAGTTCTTGGCGAAGTAATTTTAAAAATAAACGTTGTCCAAGTCGATAAAATCAACGCTAAAGCTTATGTAAATTAACATGGTTTTTTATCACATGTAAAACCACCGCAACATGCACTGTTGTGATTTCCTTTGTCTTTTCGTCATCGATGATAGTTGTTAAATTTTACGTACAATACCTGTGGCTGAGTGAAATGTTGGTGTAGATATTACAGTAGCATTCACGGTACCAACAACTGCAGTGCGACTTGGCCTTGGACGAACAATGCTAGTGGCATTTTCCCTCAGCGACAACGACAACGGTTCTATAAAAGAAACATATACTTGACGAAGAACAACTAAGTTGCTCGAAACGTTGTCATTTTAACCATTTATCGTTTTTAACCTTTTAAATTGAATCCTGAATAAAAAAATTAATTAAAGTTTCTGAAATGAGAGGTGAAAGTTTGAAAAAAAACTATTAAAATTTCATGTCTATACACATGCATAACTGAAAACCTGCATGAAAACTGATTGTACAGAAAACTTGCTATATATACTAAGAAGTATAATGATTTTTTTAACAATATTTATTTTCTTGGCTTAGATGCAATTCTGAAGTCTTGTATATATATTCTTTATTCTTGTTTCATTAGTTAAAAACTGCAACGTTGACGTAATATTTACAACATGAGCGGCCGTGTTGTATCGGATATACAAACTCGAGCCGAAGGCGAGAGTTTGTATATCCGATACAACACGGACGCGAATTTTTTTTTCTCTGTTGGTGTAGTGTACTCAGGTGAATATGATATTTGTGGTGTTACTCTGAGTGCATATCCACACCGGGCGAGCTTGAAAAATATGCCCGGCCACAGTGGGATTCGAACCTACGACCTGTGGAATACTAGCCCAATGCTCTTCCAACTGAGCTATGCGGTCAGGACGGTTGGTATTGAAGGAACTAGATTCTGTTCCGAAATATCACTAACTCGAACCGTCCTGACCGCATAGATCAGTTGGAAGATCATTGGGCTAGTATTCCAAAGGTCGTAGGTTCGAATCCCACTGTGGCCGGGCATATTTTTCAAGCTCGCCCGGTGTGGATATGCACTCAGAGTAACACCACAAATATCATTATTATCACGGACGCGAATGTTGTAAATGACTTAAAAAACGACTCATCTTATGAGTTCATTGGCGAAACAATTTTAAAAATAAACGTTGTCTAAGCCGAGAAAATCAAAGTTAAAGTTTATGTAAATCAACATGAATCTGTATCACATATACAGATACGACACGCTTATGATTTTTCTTTGTGTTTTCTTTATGAATTATGAATAAGTTTTTTAAAGTTTTATACAAACCTGCGCCTGGTATTAGTCGATTTGGTACCGATTCTGTACGAATATACAGCGCCTACTTTCTGTCTTACACTCTGATTGGGACATTTCATGACTAATGTATTTATGGTCTATATAACTGATACGGTACATATAATTACATGGTTTTTCAAACATTTACGTCATAGTATACGAGAATTTAGGAGGAGTACGTGATTTCCCCCTTACACTCGCCTTCAGCACATGTTTGTATACTTAATATCATTCTGTATATATCACAACTGCCATAAAGATATTTTTGTTGTATTACAAACAAGACGTGATTTTTTTACCATTGTCTTGTGCATTTGTAACCACTCCACACCAAAGAACAAATATAAGTTGAATGACTGATTTCATCATCGCAAAATTCCACTTTATTTTCACGCCTTGTCTTGACAAAAACCTGCAAGGTGTTTAATAATGATTCAAGACGGTCTTTTCCATGCACCTACTAAAACAAGACTCAATGTTACATGTCATCTTCATTCAGTAATACTGTATATGCTTATTGTAATATCATATAAATTAACATTGCGGTAGCTCAGTTGGTTAGAGCTCTGTACTGGAATCGCAGGGCCGCAGGTTCGATTCCTGTCAGAGAACCTATAGTTGCATTTTTTCCCAGTTGTTCCTCATGGTTAGGTCTAAATAAATGTATACTATACAAGTTTCACACGAAATTTCCATCTAGAAAACCCTACTGATATTTCACCTGTTCTGCATGGCGCATAATAGTGCCGAAGTGCAGAGTGAACATTCTCTTGCCGTCACCCGACTATGCGGCACAATTTTCTGATAAGTGAGGCACAGTCACCTACTAAACGGTGTCATCTTATGTTATTAGGACTATTTATACAGTATAGTTAGATTCACACTTGCAGACTTCTACTACCACTACCGCTACCTTTCACGTTAATAGTACGCATGTGATTGGTTAATTGGATATAGATTAAACGCATCTGATTGGCTAAAACGGTCCTTAATGTTAGTGGAAGTCAAATTTATAAACATTGAGAAGCTATCGTTGAGAAGCTATCGGAAGGACCCAAATATCAAACTGTATTTTCAAAGATTTATTTACATTGAAGATTCGGTATAAATTAGGCCCACCTAGGTCGTTTTGTACGGGCTTCTAAATTAAACGGCGCCACGTGAACAGCGGAATCGAACAACGATTGTTTTCAAGAATCAAGACCATTTTGCACAGTGGAGGATGGGGATTGAGACTGATTGAGACAAAATCTACGCACGCGTACGTAAATACTTCCACTAGGCCTACAAATTGGCCTACAATTCATCCGTTTTCGTGTGAACACTTTTCTTCTCGTAATTAACCCGGTTCCGTCTGAACGTGTAGAACGTGACGAATTTGAGTACGGTTCCGAATTCATCCATCCCCAGCAGCCGCGAATGTTTTTAAGTTTGACGCCGAGTAAATCATATTGCTCAGCAGGTGACACTGTGCGTTTAATTAAACTCGCATATATAATTACATTCCGCCTTTTATAGTCACCGCGATAATTTGTATCAACCATACTCAGTCTGCGTTATTTTGCTACCGCGTATCAGTGGCCATCTCCCCAAAACAACAATGAGTTGTTTAGGGTGCTTTATATCAATTCGTTGACTACAGTGCTAGGTTAGAGTGTTTAAAAGAACGTTAAACACTATTGAGAATTTGAAATGCATACTTGCACGTAAATAAAACTGTGTGTTTGTGATCGGGGATGGTAGCAGAGGTAGTATGAATATGAATACTTACAGTAGGAATATTGACTATTGGTAGTAGGAATATGAATATTGGAATCAAAATTCTAAGGAATATTTGCTTGATTACCCCCTCCAGTCGCCAAGTATTTTAGGAATTTTAAAAGCAGGAATACTGCATTTTGAAGTAAAATTATTTCCCTTGCTTGCTATTGTCATGCCTGTCGAAATGCTATTGTACCATCCGTAAAACCAGCTACAACTAAAGTACCAGTTAATTAATTTGGTTAAAACGAATAAAACCCTGTTATAGTGATCGTCAAATGCTAATAACACAACATTTTCCGGTCTGATAACAATTTAACACCATAAACAACATGGTAACGTTACATACACTTGCTAAACAAAATAAGAAAACAAAATTACTTAGGCCTATATATGCGAGCCAAAATGTACATTACCACACTTACTATAAACACTACTAAACATTACTAAACATTACCAAAACTGAAATACTTATCTTTCTTTACAAACAACCCTTAATTGAATAGAATCAGTATAGTCAGTGAATTCACAAAAGACATCAACCACACGACGTCGAACGTTTTAACTATTGGCGTGGCTACGAGTGGTGAATATAATGTAAATAACCTATCAGTTTGAACAGCTACGGCGTACTAGAATGCTCAAGGGAGTACAATTTATACTCCTGAGTGGTTATATTACTACCTTAAAAAATCAAGCAGAAACTCGACGTTTCGAGGGAAGGCCCTTCGTTTAATTAATGTGCTTGATGAAGGGCCTTCGCTCGAAACGTCGAGTTTAATTTCTGCTTGTTTTCTTAAGGTATAGTAATATAACCACTCATGCAACACAGCATTTTTACATTGGTACTACCCGGCCCACACGGTACAGACAATTTTTATAGTATTCAATTTATAGTCCGCCTTTGTCTTAAAGTGAAAATTCTATTAATTGTTGATAAGCTCGTCTTCCGATTGACGTTACCGTTGTATTTGAATTATTTGCCAAGCTCACCATGAAACTTTACTTTTTTAACATTCAATAATAAAATACAATATACCTAGACTGCCAAAAGATGCTTGGTCTTGTCAACCAAAGTGAAAGAAGCCGCTAATCCACCAGTAACAGTAATCCAAGTAAGTTGTGTATTGCAAGGTAAACCCTAGTGAATGGGAAGTTCCAAGAAGATAAAAATAGGTTCTATTATTATGACATAATGCCATTATTAATGATTGGCAATTATTGTTTGCAGGGCGGAATAGACAGTCCCAGACACATCGCACACGATGTATAGCAACGCGATTTTGTGAAAGCAGATAAAATCGTCTATGCAAGCAAATTTTAAAAGATATGTACATCAAAAAAATTAAAATGTTATAACGCTTCTCAGGGCCTATCAGAAAAATTCGGAGACTCGGGGCAAATTTTTATTTCGGGGCCGCTAGTTTTTCAAAAAAAATATTGGCGGAGGGGGGGGGTGTTAAAATTTTTTTCCAGACATTAAAGGAAGGGGTCAAAAAAGGGTTAAAAGCCGGACAAACACCAGTTAAACTAAGATTCAAAAAAAATTTTCCGGACAAATTCCTGTTCAAATATGGGTAAAACCAATTTTTTCGGACCAATATCTGTAAAACTTAGATCTAGAAATTTTTTCTCATACCTATGCATTATTTATATCGTTTCAAAGTTTTTTTTTAATTTTGTAAATTTTGGGGCCCCTTTAAACTGGGGCCCCGGGGCAAACTGCCACCTTCCCCCCCCCCTGAAAGGCCCTGACGCATCTAAATATTTAACAAAATCAAAGTAGACTGCTAGCAGGCCCTTCTGGGTTCGCGCCGTGTTCTCGAATCGCGCATCAGTACATAGTTTCAGATATAAAATGTGTAACTGATATATTCGCCACAAATAAATGTAAAACAATCTGGATAATATTGAAAATTAGGTAGTTTGATAATCAACACCAAGTTATCCTACTTACAGAGACTATGACACATTTTACAATCCCATCTCATTAAAAATATTCTGACTTCAAAACGATGTACTATCCAGTCCAAGTTTACAGGTCAGTGCACATGGCCCATCAACCTCTTCGGGTAATAATTCTTCGATGGTTTTCATACGTTTCTCCACTCCCCTGTGATAACTGGTTTGATCAAGTCTATCTGTTGGATTTCGTCTAAGCAGCGAGCAAGCTTATTACGTGAGAAGCCTTCCTTGTTGTTGAAAATGGTTAAAATTTTCTCGGCTCGAGAACGATTATCATTGTATATGAGGCTATATCGAATATCATCTCTTTCTGCTATGGGTATATCCATAAGACCAGCGAGGCGGTCCCACTCACCTACAATGCGTCGGCCAAGTCTGGATATCTCACGTGGTGAGAGTGGTGTGTGTAGTAAATCTTCTTCAGGTAGCTTTGGTGGTGTTTCTACTTCTTCACTTCCGTTCTGTTTAGAGAAAAATAATATTTCATTGGTTGGTTACAAATAACAGCTAAATCACATCTGATTGGAAATTGGAAATTCCCGTTCGGGATCAACATGCACATTATTTCCTCACCAGAAATCATAAGATAATCTTAAAATGCTGTAAAAGCAAGGAGTATGAAACGTTCCATCCAGAAAAAGAAAACAACTTATTCAGGGAAACTGAAGTCACATGGTAACATGCACTCTTTTTATTAAATAAAATGAAAATTATATAAACAATTAACAAGGCAAGATATTTCACAGCTTTACAATTTCTAAGTAAAAGCAAAATTTATTTTTTGGTATATACACTTATAGAAAACGAAATTGAAGAAAGAGAGTACACAGACATTGTAGTTGTTTTTAATTAACGAAGAACATTTATGTCATAGTTATAATAGGAGAGACGGGATAAATTGACGGGTAAAAGTAAACTCTCGATTATGAAATACCTGCAGGTCTTCGACAGGAAGCATTTCTTTTTCCAAATTGTGCCGACCCAGTTCCTTGAAGTATTTTACAAGAATATGACGATCGAAAAACGTGCTGTCATTAAAAAGTTCGAAAACTTTTTTAGATTTCGATGAAATGCTCAGATGATTCCCGTAGTCGACTCTGATTTCCTCTCGATCAGAATACGGAATATCCAGGAGCCCTGCTAAGCTGTCCCAATCAAGTCCAATCTTGCCGCTCATTTGAGTTATTTCTCCATTTGTGAGTTTGGTGATCCGATGGACAACTAGAAATGGGAAAGAAAGGTTATTTATTATATGGTGCATGTGCAATATTATCATAATTAGCGTAAATCTTTTTATCAAGTTCCCTAGCTTTCAAACAAATTTCGAGAGTGGACAAATTAACAACCCCCCCCTCTTTTTAAGCCACCTACAGTATATATGGCTGAAATAATTAAGTCACGCGGAGAGAAGGTTTAATGGAGGATCTATAGAATTTGAGAAATTTAAATTTTGCCGTGCATGAATTCTCATTATATCATATATATCCCGAGGTAAGACGTCCAATTGGCAATGTACCTTCTGGTTGAGGGTGTGGCGCCGTGTCTTGTACTGAAATAAAAATAAGAAATATGTTAGCACTGCGGCCGTATAAATCAATATAGTATACTACAATAACATAGAAAAAATACAATAATACAATGCAATAAGTTAAATTTGAAAGACTCTCTATAGTAAAGATATTGATGTGTTTCAGCTCTTTGACCGTATTTGCCATGTACTGCAACCAGTGGTGAAGCTATAGCCATATAGCAACTGGTCATGCTATGCTAATAAACCGGCATCTAAATAAGTTAAATAAATAAATAAGTAGGTTAAAGTGGAAGTCAACTCCGTAATGTAAACAAACGGTTTGTTTACATTTTTGAACTGCTGCATTTTTTTAAATATATACTGTCTGAATATCTAACACTATTTTGGTTCGCCATGCTTCTAAATGAATATGAAATAGAGTTTATGTTCTTTTTAACATTCAAAATTTGGGCAATTTTCACATTAGAGGTCCTCACATTGTTATCAGCAGAACCGATGTACAGAACGGACTTGACTTCTACTTTAAAGACAATACATTTCTTAATTAATGCTTGAATAATGCAAATCATTAAAAATTTGCATAGCATGACCTGTTGCTGTGGCTAGATTCTCCACTATATTGCACCCGATCTTTAGATATTGCCAAAGGTGTGAAAAGGGATTTGTCCTTCTTGCAAAATGAAAATTTTTCTATTTAAGATAAGACTAACTAAGAATGTTTTAACGTTGTAAGATATTTCAGCTTGAGTGATAGGCACAGATCTGATAATCATGTCAAGGATCTGACTATCACTCAAGGCTTACTGGGGCGCCCGACTCGACAACTTCCTAGGTCAGAGATCTGAACGACTCGATCCTTGACTGACCAATCAGGAATCTGACCAACTCTGAGCGGTTTAAGAACTTCGAATTTCTACTTATCAAAGTAAAAGTAAATAAGATAAAGTCTGAAAATGAAGACTGAGAAATTTTTCCCAGTTAATCATGTTTCGAAAAGTATGCAGTGTTTGACGCGTATTTTACGAACTCAATGGCAAAGTTAACTTCTAAAACAACTCGACATGGAATATTCCCATTCCTAATGTCCCAAAGACTTCATCTAGGAGAAAATTGGGGTCACAACTGGCTAGCTACCGCAACTCTACTGACAAGTATTTTAACCACATCAAGACAGAGCAGCGATTTGCATCTTGCGAGAATATCTTACCTATATAATATGGGTCACCGCGATAACCGTATTTGCCAAGTTTTTGATAACCGTATAATAAGTAAAAAATACACGATGTCTGATACTTTTCGAAGCAAGTCTGGTAAATTTTAACTTACCTTCAGCTACCTCAACTCTAATCTCCTCTTCGATTTCACAAATATTTATTCTCCACAATGATTCATTTTCGATATTTCGATCTACTTCGCTTATCTTCACTTTTCCACTTACTGGACTCTTGACTGCAATTTCGTGAAAATGATCGATAACAAAACCCACAGAGTCCAGTTGAGACTGATCAACAATGAACGAAAAAGGAGTGTTTTTAACTCCAGGAAAATGTAAACTCATTTCAAGACGACGGTCTGTGCAGACACGCTTTAACAGTCCCTTTTCTCCTTTAACGTAACCTAGGTCGAGATGATCTTTTAATTGTTTAATATCTTCGTCTTTACTCTCATCAACAAATTCACTCAATATAACGACCGAAATATCTATAGCACCCACTGTAGATGATCTGCGATAGAGGGCATAGGCACGACATATAAATGATTGATTGAGATGACTCAAGATCCGAGCTAACATTCCGCGCGTCGCCAAAACAAACATGTAAAAAGAGAAACCGTTAATTTTTGTGTTAACAACCCCTTTCACATTGCGTTCTTCAATACCAGTAGTTCCCAGTTCCCAAACGGTCCTCTGGTATTTAAGGTTGTAAGAGCAATGTAGGATGAAAATTTCAGTATTGGAGACAGTGTTTTGAAATCTGACTGTGAGATCTGCTGGTTTCAAGAATTTCAAGCCATCTGGGAGGAATTCAACAACACGTGGGGCAGCATCGATCAGACCCAAGTCGAGCAGTGATTTGTCGGCAATATCCGTGTGACTATTTCTCAATGTTATTTCCGTGTCTTTAGTCAGACATCCGGGACCTATCTCAAGTATGATGTCATCAATATCAATAACACCTCCGTCAGCGGTGATGATTTTCTTTACCAGGCCTGGACGCTTTGAAATAGCTGGAGTGAGATAAACAGCAGAATTCTCATAAGAATATATATTATAATAATAACAGTGATTTCATTAAGGTATATTATAAATAATTGACTGGTAATCAGTGTTCTTTCTAAATGCCTTTATGTGGGTTAGTTAAATAAACGTTAACAAAAAATAAGAGCAGTTTGGAAAGTCGGCAAAGTGATTTCTCTATGCCTTTTTCCTGAGTTTGTGGAAACGTATCGTATGGTATATTGCTGTATTGCCTGTAATGGTTTAATTAAATAATTAACCATAACATATATAATATAATTATTGATTAACATGTCATAACAGAAATTGCTGTTGCCATTGAGTATTTTAATAAAACACAAAACAATAGACACTCCAAAAATTGCAAACATTTTCATTCTTTACGTTTCGACTATTCGTTTAAGTCATCTTCTCCTGAAGAGTGTTTATTGTTTTGTGTTTTATGTCATAACAGGTTCTGCATGCGCGCCTTCAAAACTGTTTATTAAGCACATCACCAGGAGCTAAAAGCCCAGGCTTGCACATGCACTACTGAAATTCATGCACAATAATTAATGCACAAAAACGAACGAATTTTGGTGGAAGTAGTTTGCGGAAGAGTAAGGAATTTGCGGAACCGCTTGTGCTCGCCAGAGTTTGCTCGCGATTTCGTCGCTCAATTACATTTATACTGGTGGTCGACTTGGAGCAAGTCTAAATGATTGTGATACTGAGTACGTATAATAGAAACGGGTAAATTGTAGCAAATAATCAACTTAATAACTTTGCCGCAGAAAAGAGAGCTTACATGCATTTGAACAATCTAGTTCTCAGGATATTTCCCTTGAACGAGGTTGGCATTTCGAAAAGGGAGTCGTTGTGTTTTTTTATCATTATTGAATCAGACGGTAAGGAATATATGACGTACATAAGCCTATTGTTTAACATGATTTAAATGTGATTCGACTAACACGTAGCATTACCAATGTATAGAAGAATATCTTACACTTACTGCGATTTTGGGTATCAATTCTTCTCCATTGCCCAGTGACAACTGGGTGGATCAAGTCATGCTTTTGAATTCCTATTAAGTAGTCTCTCAGCTTCTCACGAGTAAAGCCTTTCTTGTGGTTGAACATCGATAAGATTTTCTCAGCGCGGGCGTGGTGATCATGGTACAGAGTGCTTTGCCGAATGCTATTCCTCTCTTCTCTGCCTATATCCATCAGACCAGCAAGGCTGTCCCAGTCAAATGTTATGCATCGGCTAAGCCTGTACATTTCACGAGAGGATAGAGGTGTGTTTCGTAACTCGACGTACTCGTTTGCATTCACTTCGGGTTGTGTTTCCGCTTCATTATGATTAGTTCTTGTCTGTTTAAAGGAGAACAATATTTCATTTTCTTTTGAAGACTACAGTACAAAAACAAAGAAAACACTCGGTGACAGAGCATTTGTAACCTCCGCTCCAAAAATCTGGAATGAATTACCTATGTATATTAGAAATCCGCCCAACTTTAGTATTTTCAAGAAATTAGTTAAGACTTATTATATTTTGAAGAAGCCTTTAATGTAAATACTTCATGTAACATATAATCTATATAATCTTCTTTATATTTTTAGTTAGTAACCATTCAGCATAGAATAATTTTAGTGTAATTATGTTTTGTGATGCGCATTTGATCATATACTATAACATGTTAATTTGCGCAATATAAATATTAAATATTATTATTATTATTATTATTATTAACCTAATGTATGCATACAGGATTAAAAAGACTAGTCAATCACAATACCATAGACAAATTTGGATAACGTTTGTTTCTACACATTCACAACTTCAGATAACTCACAAGCCTAGTTAGTATTGTCCGACTTTACAAAAGCAAGGAATGAAACAAATGTAACTAAGCTTTAGCTTTAGAATTATTTACGTGAGTGAATAACTCTTAGACATAATTGTAACGTTAGTTACCTTTATTCTATGCTATATGATTTTCTGAATTAGAACAATACTCGCTAGGCATGTGAGTTATCTAAAGTTGTGAATTTGGTGGCAACGATGTACAGATTGCGATGGTGGAGTTTCTACTTCGTCATTTTATTTAGAGAAAAAAATCTGTATTTGTTTGGTTACCATTAACAACAAAAACCCATCTGGTTTGAAATCGTGCAATAGGACAAAAAATTTTGAGTGGAAATTCCCGTTCAGGATCAATATGCACATAATTTTCTCACCAGAACTATTAAGATAATTTAAAAATGCTCTAAAACGTGGATTAAGATGTAAGTGAAACATAGTTGAATCTGTGACACGTTTCATCCAGAAAAAGAAGACAACCTTTACAGGCAAACCGTAAAAAAATCAGTAAAACTGACCCGAGTGTACAGTTTAAACAGTTTACGATTGAGCCTGCAAAGACAGCATTCCTGGACTGGTTAATAACTAGAACTGGCAACACCCTTCAAACGAGCGTGTATAGGAAGGCTACCAGTACTGACCGTTTGTTAGATGACTCGTCATATATGCCATCTAGCCTCACACAAATCATCTGCGATAACAACTTTGGTTAAGAGAGCACACAGAGTTAGATCTTGAAGTACTATTTAAAAAATGAGCAGGAGTGTTTTATTAGGTTTAAAGCCACGAGCGCGCAGCGCGAGTGGCTTTAGACCTAATAAAACACGACCCGCGAGTTTTTTAAATGACTTCAAAAACGTATGCATAATAAGTCAAATCTTTATATAAAAATCTTTATATAAAAATCTTTATATAGTTTGCATAACAATGGTCTTTTGTTAAAGTGTTCTTTAGCTGGTATAAAGACGTATGCACGTGACTAATTTCTTACTCAAGATTGGATAATTACTTCATGAATTATTAATGAGTTTTTGAAGCTGAATTACAGCATTTAAATGAAGTTTTTGATATAAACAACATCCTAAATCATTTGTGCGCAACATAATCGAACGATCCTGCAGACCAACAAAAGAGATATCCAGTTATTGCCACTGTTCCGTACGACAAAGGCACGTCAGAAAGAATTAAGATAATTTTAAGACTTTATAACATCTCGGTGGCGCATAAACCTTCAACAACTTTACGGGACATGCTAACTAAAGTTAAAGATCCAACACAAAAGCAGTCTACAGAATAACGTGCGCTGTATGTCCTGCTATAGCTATTTTGGAAGAACACAAGAATGCAGAATTAAAGAACATAAACGCTGTTTGGCAAACAAAGATAGGAGTAACAGAATAGCAGTTTACCATATGACCACCAAACACCAAATGGACTTGGAAGGAGCTGCTTGGAATTGACATCAAATTTCAACCAGAAAATGTTTTTAGAAAGCAACTTCGCAACGCTTCAGCAGAGAGTGTTTGGGAGGGAAGGGGAAGTAGAGAGCCTGGCTTGCGAGGTTGTTTAGAAAGCTGGAATACGAAGAGCGAAAAGATCAGTATTAATATTCGCCACGATATGCCAGGCCATACTTTAGTTAATTAGAAATAAACGAGCGCGAGCAGAATCTCAAAGCACGCGAAAACAACCACACAATCATGCAGCTGACGCAAGATAAACACTCGTAATAAATCGTCACGTCAAAACAATGGTTTCCGTAGAGGAAACCGAAACGTTAGAGAAAATAAAACATTTTGTAAATATAACTTAGATGAATAATAAAAATAAACTGTGTATTTGCTAGGCCCACTGATATCAAAAATAGAACTGGACAGGGTTTATTTTAACGTGCCGTTCTACACAAAATGTGCAGTTCTAAAACCATTTGTGCAGTTCTTAAAACTCAAATGTGCAGTCGCTAAATTAACGAAAATATAACCTTCAAAACAGTCTTCCCATTTACTCGATTTCCTTGTGGATGCTCCAAATGCCAGAAATGCTGTCATTGAGCATCAAAAATCTAAATGTTTTCTCGGAGAGGACCACCAGACCCTCTTATTTTCCTCACAAATCTCATACGTGCTGGGGTATTGGAACAAGATGTGAAATTGGGACGAGCGAAGCTATCCAAAAGAGATTAGAGTGGGAGAACCTAATATTCTTTGTTGCCTAAGGTTATTATATATATATTGAGTATTCATGATTCCCAGTTACATGTTTTGAAACAGGTTTTGTGGGTGGGTGGTTGGGTGAAACAAATCTTGGCCAGAACTTACGAGCTTCTAAATTCAAAATTTGGGGGGAAACCTCTCACCTGTAGCTCCCCCACCGAAAATCGAGTTTGTCTGGCCCCACCCAACCACACCTTTATTCTGCCACGTATATACAAATTAAGAGTCTATCATAATTTACAATGTTAACTATAAATTTACAACGTTAAATATAGATATTAAAATCCTTTAATCCCCCAGTCAAACACCCTTTGACCCCCCCAGCCAAACCCGTGATGCTTCGTAACATCCCTAATATGTGCAGTTCTAAATTTTTCTTAAAATAAACCCTGGAACTGGATAGTGTATTTGCTAGGTTAAATACCTCGTTTTCCACAGGGAGCATTTCATTTTTCAAATCATGTCGTCCCAATTCTTCGAAACATTTTTCCAGGTAATAACGATCGAAAAACTTGCTGTAATTAAAAAGCTCGAAAATTTGTTCGGCTTTTGAACAATAATCTGGGAATTTCTGGTGATTTACTCTGATTTCCTCTCGTTTAGAATACGGAATATCCAACAACCCTGCTAGACTGTCCCAGTCAACTCCAATGCGACGACTCATCCGACGTATTTCTCCATTTGTGAGTTTTGTGGTCCGATACACAACTAGAAATGGGAAAAACCTTAATTACTGTGGTGCATATGTAATATCATTGTAAAAGCACTTTAATTTAATTATTATAAATACATATTTTACATAGCGCAAATCAAACTCCCTTTCAAATTAACTATATTCCTGTATTGAGAGGGAAAAACAAAGAACAAACGGTCCTCTCTATAAGCCCTTCCTCGTTCATATCCAAGAAACACATGTCTGATGAATAAGCTCTATTTGAAACACATTGATGAATAAAACGTGTGAATAAAACTATGTGAAACACATTGATGAATAAGCTCTATTTCTAGCCAGTGGCGTAACGGAACCTCGTGAGGCCCCCTGTAAAATTTTTAAGAGGGGGCCTATTTTTTACCGGAAAACATTGGGGTAGGGTGGAAAACCGAAACTTGTCCATATTCCGAAATAAATAAATCCTCTGGGGAAGGGGAGGGCTTAATAAAGAATTTGCGGGATTTATTACGTCACTTATATTCTCGATATAAGACGTCAAATGTACCTCGGAGTTCTGGCGATATCAATGCTGCTAATATGTGAATTTTTTCACAGTTAAGTGTGTGCCGACTAAATTAGCCAAATAGCGCTGCTTATTTATGTTTAGTGTAATTACATAGGTGATTATTGAACATTTTTCACGCTGATTGGTTGTCGTTGATGTGATCATTATAACGCGATAATCACCTAAGCGATTTTCGAAATGGCGACCAAAGCCGTTTTGTCAATTAAATGACGAAGAAATGTATTTTTTATTTTCCCCCAAATAATCACCTATGAAATTATACTAAAACAATTATTCACCTCAGGCTCGGTGATTATCGTGAATAAATTCACTTCGTCTCGGTTTTTATTCACCAATAATCACCTCGCCTTCGGCGAATAATTGTTAAAATCAAGTACGCGTGATATTTGTCAAATAGATTTCGACTTTTTCAATTTCCCTCAAGTTTAGCGCAGTAAGAAAAACTAAGAATCGCGGGCTTTTGTTACTGTTGTCTTCCCTAAATTGATTTTACATTAATGCATTGTTTTGTACATTTCCAATAAGAATCAGATAAAAGAAGCAAGGGTTCTCAAACTATGATTTAAATATACGACGGATAAAAAACCCAACTTTTCCAGATTTGTCGATCTACTCGGCGCTGGCCCTTAAAATGGCCCGCCAGCAGGAAGTTAAGCCCGCAGTACCACGGTGTGTCACTAATCCTTTAATTTGCTTAATTTTGTTATAGAAAACAAATACATAAACATTTTGCCGTTATATGTTCAGGTAAATCTAGATATGTTTAGGTAAAACTAGGTAGACAGATATATATGGATGTTGATCTATCCTTATCTATCCGTCCATGTGCGACATATCGATTTTTTAGGAAAGCATGACTGCGGTCAGTGTTTACCCTGCTTAAAAATGAAAAATTTCATTTCATTAAATTACGGCAAATTGACGATATTTTGTAATGTTGTAGGATCTTTCAGCTTGAGTGAAAAGTTATCTTTGGCAAATAACACAAACTTATGCCTTGATAATTCTTCCGGCTTAGTATAAATTTTGCATACTAAATGAGTTTTTCCACTTTCTGATTGCCTAGTTGAACAATAAATCGTTGTGTGTAAACGTATACCTTGATACTGTATAACAATTTGTATAAAATAATGGATGCAGTTTTATTTATTTGCAACATGTACTTAAAACATTCCAAGAAGTTATGCAATACATATCTTGGAAAATAACATTGTATATAATACCTTTTGCTTCAGGGTCTGGTTCCGTGAAAGACAGTTCTTTAATTAATCCACCTTTGGAATGAAGAGAAGCAAATTTCAATTTACCATGAACGCTAGCTTCCTCCACATTATTCCCCTGTTCCATCACACAAACATTCAAACTCCACAATAAGTTATTTTCGGCATTTCGATCTACTTCGCTTATCTTCACTCTTCCACTTGCCGGACTCTTTACTGCAATTTCCTGAAAATGATCGATAACGAAACCTACAGAATCCAGTTGAGGCTGATCAACAGTGAACGAGAAAGGAGTGTTTTCGACTCCAGGAAAATGTAAACTCATTTCGAGTCGACGATCTCTGCGGACACGCTTCAACATTCCTTTATCTCCTTTAACGTAACCTTCGTCGAGATGAACTTTTAATTGTTGAATATCTTCTTCATCATTCTTATCAACAAACTCACTCAATATGATGACCAAAATATCTATAGTACCCACTGTAGATGATCTGCGATAGAGGGCATATGCACGACATGTAAATGTGTGATTGAGATGACTCAAGATCCGTACAAACCGCCTTCCTCCCATCGTCATGATGAAACTATAAAAGCAGAAACCGTTAATTTTCGTGTTAACAACACCTTTCACATTGTTTTCTTCGATACCATTAGTTACCAGTTCCCAAGCGGTTCTTTGGTAGTCGTGGTTATGAGAACTATGTAAGATGAAAAGTTCAGAATCCGAGACGGTCTCTTCAAATCTGATTGTGAGATCTGCTGGTTTCAAGAATTTCAAGCCGTCTGGAAGGAATTCAACAACTCGTTGGGAAGCATCAAGCAGATCTAAGTCCACCAGTGACTTGTTAGCAATATCCGTATAACAGTTTATCAATGTGATCTCCGTGTCCTTATCCAGACATCCGGGACCTATCCTAAGTATGATGTCATCAATTTCTATAACACCCCCGTCAGCGGTGATGATTTTCTTTACCAGGCCTGCACGCTTGGGAAAAGCTGGAGTGAGATAAACAGCAGAATTCTCATATGAATATATATATATATATATATATATATATATATATATATATATATATATATATATATATATATATATATATATATATATATATATATATATATATATATAGCTAATTCAATAAAGGTTGTCCTTTGCAAACCTAAAACCTTAAAACCTTAAACCTTAAACTCTAAGCGCGCAAAGCATGATGGAAGCGCTGATTTCAAGCTTAATTGTTGATTATTGAAGCTGTCAGTGAAATGTTTTTGCAGGGAAATGTTTATCATGTCTCCAAAAAATGGGCTCCATATATGCTTTCTGAACTGCTTAAATTTTGCTCCCATTATGCTTTGCACGCTTAGAGTTTATGGTTTATAGGTTCTTTGGTTCTTTTGATAAGTAAAATGTATATAGGCCTATATATGGATTAAGACGATAGAATAACAACTATGTTATCTAGTGTAAAACTCTGAAATTTCTATCAAAGTAAATGTTATAATACCACAAAACATTGTAGGGACATTTTTTGGGACATCCTGTATATAAAGAAATATCTCACACTTACTGTTACGATCCTTCGGTACAGATTTTACAATTCCCATTGACATTGCAGATAGCTAAAAATTGGAGTCATAAGATCTATAATTGAAGTTGTGCGTGTCGATAAACAGTGCATGAAAATAACAGAATTCGTACTATATAGAAATCAGTTTTGCAATAAGGAAGTGCCGGATAGTTAATTCTTCACATTTGCCACAACAGATCTTTTACTACCGTACATGGTAGTATTGGAAAGTGCTTGACATGTATACATGTCTGAACTTGTATAATGAACTTGTAAAATTTAGCAAAACCAAGTTTTGAGTTATTATAGTGCCCCTGCACAAAAATTGATTGTTGTCGATTGAAAGTATACATTAGGTGGAGCATTTTGGTGAAAGAATTTTTCGATTTCATTAGGCTATTCGATGGCACGCGCCCGTGGTCAAAATAGACTGCTAGGAAACTGGAACGAGCATTATTTGCTACGTCACGCAAGTGAGTGGGTTGGCGCCACGCTATTATATTCTATCATTCTTATACTCTGTTGGCGCATTAGTATGCAAATTTTTTTATCGCGATATTCATAGTAAAAGATATGCCTTTTTATTGTGTTGCTGGTAACTGTACCAACAAAGCAAGCTTAAAAGATGGAATAAGTTTAAATACTATTCCATTCTTCAACGACGAATGCGCAGAAGCTAAAAGAAGGAGAAAATTATGGGTTGACTTTGTATCATCGAACGTTTGTTTGTGGTGGCAATTTTAAGCTTGGTTCACACTAACAATTTTTTCAGTGATATTTCTTCTCCTGGTGGGTTTATTTATTCGCATGCTTCAGAAACTGAAAATTACGAACAAAATCACTAGTGCGAATTATACAGTATGCAGGCTTTAATACAAAACATGACACGGTCTGACTTACGTTTTCATAACGTGACTTTTTGCGCTTGTATAGCACTACCACGAGCCCAACTACAATAACCACAAACACAGCAGCAATAACACAGCCAATGGTCAAACCCAACCCGGAACTACTTGCACCTTTCGTTGAGCCTAAAATATGAAGGACGTTTTCAGCGCGTTCACAGAATTAACAAACACTATAATAGATCATGCGCTTTTATCAAATCTTATCAACTTTAAACTGGTCCACATTTTGATGAGAGTTGATGAGAGTTTTTCGCTACTCTACCGGCAATATCCAATCAGCTTTCATGCAACTCTTGTTTTCGTTTGACCGGGGGGAATTTTCTCGAACTTTCGTTTCTCAACTCTCATTTTCCTATGTTCATGGTTTTAGACAAGCAACATAACGGCAAAGAACCTGATTAACTAACTCACCCACAAAATGTTCTTTAGGCAGTAAATAGTCAATAATACAATACCTGGTCCTGTGGTGATGAAGTACACTGTTGTAGGGATTACAGTAGTAGTTGAATTAATAATTGTTCTGGTGTCTGTAAAAGAGAACAAACAAAAGTGAATTCAAGTAAAGAAAACATCTACCATGAGACAATGCTAAGCCATTAATAGAGAACAACTACATCAACAACAACAGCAACAGCGGCAACAACAACCACGACGACCACGACGACGAAGATTGTTATCATACCTTTCACAGATGAATGAAGATGTGGAACACTAGTTCGACTTTTTACCAAAGTCATTTGGGATGATGGCGAAGTTTTATCAACAACCGTAGTGGGACTTGAGCGATCAAAGCTTGTGGCACTTTTTACCAAGGATTCTATTTCTATGAATAAAAATTTCATTGCCACATACGAGTAATTTAATTTTTAACAATATTCATTTTTAACATATATTAACTTTGTTCCTTTTCATGAGCAATAGGATGGGTTAAAATGCCATTTTGGATAAAACATGCACAGTGCATGGGGTTTTTACTTTACTCAGATTTAATCAAATTGTTGAGTAATTATGTTCTGTCTTCAAATCAATTTGCTCTCCTCTACATTTTAAGTTTTTTTTCTCATAATTAAATTAAAGAGTGTAATTCAGAAAAGGAAAGCAGTCGAAGTTTTAGGCAAAACAATGAAGCAACAAGTATTGCCCTATATTGAAATCACGATTTCCCAAAGTAAACTTTAGACTTTGCTTTTGCCAGTAATTGAAGGGTTTTTCGATTAATCGCAGAGCCGCAAGTTCGATTCCTGCCAGGAACCTATACAGGGTGTATAAAAAACCTCAGCAAACACTATAATTTGCATAATTCTGTTGCTTACTAGCATTTCAATGTCTGTGCTACTTATTTTGCTCCTGCATGGGATTTGGAAATACATTTTAATTAACCGCGTTGATAGAAATAAGAATAACACAAAGTTATTTGTAATGCAGAAAACTAATTATCAGTTCGATTGCGAATGGGTCAACTATTGTGTTTACGCTTGGGATCAATTAATTCTGAATCATACAAATTCTAAAAACGTTGTATTTCAAAGAGTTTGCAGGTTTTTTGATACCCCCTTTAGTTGCATTTTTCGCAGCTGTTCCTGGTTAGCTCTAATAATATATGAGGGAGGGGGGGGGGAGGGGTTAATAGGTTTTCGGATCGTCGGATTTCATAGAAAAATTGTTCGGGTTTCGGATCTGCCGAATATTTTACTCGGATTGTGGATTTTGCTTGCAATTTAGTTCGGACCCTGGATTGTGACTTCATAGTAGAGATTTTAGCGGATTCAAATTTAGACAGGATCATTGTCGGATCGAGGATTTTGCTTCAAATTAGGGCGGATCGCCGGATTTGTATACCCCTATTCACACACCCAAATTATGTATGAGAATTTCCACTCGAAAATTGTCATCTACAAAACCCTTCAATTATTATTCAATCGCGTGAGATGCCGGCAAAGTCTTGATAAACCACTAAATGTCTAAATATATCATTATCTAATCAACATTCACTAATCAAATATGGCATGATCAGTCATGTTAGAAGCAGCCAATCAGAGCTACAACCAAAATCCGAAGTCTTCACTTTAGCGAAGAAAATAAAGGCCTGATCGCAGGTTAGTTTGTGGAAAACACCACGCGCCGTATATTACAACCGCCATAAAGATATTTTATAAAATAAACGATTACCACTGTTTTGGCCATTTGTGACCACACAACACCAAAGAACAAATTGAACTTCAAAGAACTTGATCGCAAAAGTCCACATCGTCCACTTCATTCTGTTTCATTTACTGACTGGTGCTGCTAGAAGAATGGTTTAAAATTAAAGATTGATAACTGTTATTGAGAGCCAAACAAATCACTGCATTCTTCAATGTTTAGCCTTCAATGCTTTAATAAGCCGTTTTCCACTAGGCGGAATTTTCCGCGCGGAGCGGAAGTTTTCTTTGTATTGCGATTTCTCGAGTGGAACTAATTAGAAAAGACAAAGAAAAATTCCGCTCCCCGCGCAAAATTCATCCTAGTGATATATATTGACGAATCGGTTTAAGGAGGAACCATAACTAATTTCTAAGTGTAAAAGACCAAATATATGTAAATGGTGGACAATATTTTCTTTGTATCGTGAATTCTTTGCGAAAGAGAACACCTACTCCGCTACCAGGTCTATATTGGTCCTATAGGGAAGGGCCACTTACGTCGGAAGCTTTGAAGTTTCTTATTACGCATGTTGGCCGCCATTTTCCTAGCCAGTCAATGACATTTTCTGGCCAATAAACACGCTGTGCTGGCTGGCTGCTCCGCTTCTGGCCAGTAATCTGCATATTTTTGCATAAAAAAACGCGGACACGTTGCACCGCTGAGTGGCCCTTCTGTTCCTGATCTTTATTCTGTGATAAAATTCAAAATCCTTCAGAGTGTTCACAATTTCAGCAATAGTATGATTCTCACTTAGAGTCACTAGTAGGCCACGTATCCGCGATAAGAGCTAAAATATCCAGATGTTTGGAAATACCTAATAAAATCACATATAGAACACAACTCTTTATTTACAGAATGAGCCTTCCAAATGTCAAATTTAATGTCACTGCTTCAAGACAACGCGTTTAAAAGGGATAAGATTTGAATTATTTCTGTGATTAGTCAAGCGTTGTTGCTTATTATCCCGAGCCGTTGTGGCTTTTCGATCTCCGTGAATACTCAAGCACTAGCTGTCACTGGAAATGAACTCACTGACTAGATCTTGGTAGATAAGTGCTAGCTTGCTACCTTAAAATGTAATTGGTATCTGTGGATTTCAGGTTTAATAGCTAGCAGTTGTGTTCTTGTGATATGCTCGTGTTTGATCTTAATAGTCTTAGTCTTAGACTCGGAAATTCGTCTCTTGCATATTTAATCATTTCGAGCGAATTATACGATGTTTTTTTATGGTTGAAATCCAGTTTTCTACGTTAACTGGCCCTGGACAGCTGGACTTCGCAGTACATCCGTACATATATAGCATGCAGATTCTATCAGGAATACCTTGTCAAGTAAAGCGAGCTACACAGCCATCTTTTGTAGTTTTAAAAGCCGGGTAGAATAAGTTCGCCATGTTTTGTAGTCTTATAAAACCCGCATAGAGCCGTATGTTCTTGTTCGAGGCAGCTTTGATACGGTTGAGTTGTTTCTGAAGATCGTATGATAAATCCAGCCAAACTCGCTTTGGAAAAGCCAAGTTCGATGTTTATTCTTGAGATTCAACATGTCATTAGAACTTGAACAAATTTGTGGCTCCATGATAACTGTCATGCAGAGTTAAACTTTAACTTTGATAAAGTAATGAAATACGGAGCAAAATCCGCGAGAACGTGACCGACCATTACAACAATACCGAGCAGTTTCGCTAAGCGGGTCAGCCCGGCTACCATATAAACAGCCCCTATATAAGCGAGATCTTGGCTCTTTCAAGCGAGATCTCGGCAACCGGGCCAGCCCGTTTGTCCAAATAAACGCACGGTAATTCTTACTATTGAAATAACTTCACATCGAGATCTCGCTTACCGAGGGGGCTAGCCCGGCTTACATACAAACAGTTTATTTTACATATTAATTATTAAATAACAGATTACAACATACCTGTTGCCGGGATATCAATGCTTAATCTTGTCAACCAAAGCGAGGGCTTTTTAACTTATAGCAATGTCGCTCCCAAATGTCATACGAGAAGGCTTCTTATCAGTATTCACTAGTGCATAAGAAATCCCCCGAAGATAAATATAGGTTCCATAACTATGACATAATAGTTGGACAATGCGTTGCATTAAAATTGTTTGCAGGGCGAATTATAAATCAGGGCGCAATTTAGCGGTGTCGAAGGGAGCCTCCTTCGCCTCAAATTTGCTTCGAATAAAATAAAGTCCATGGGCTTGGGAATATGCTCTATCCAGAGGGTAATCACAAGAATTTGCTCGCATACAGTATAGTTTGTGTTATTAACAACAATTTCTGGTTCATTAGTTTTCAAGTTATTTGTTCCCATATGCAAAATTCATAGTCTGAACTTTCGTATAGCTAGTTTTAAATAATCAATCATGTTTTCAGTTGTCGCACATGAAAAAGTACGAATAATTTTGAAACCTCTAATTATAGTCATAGAATCTTCCAATATAACTGTAGGCATGCATTTCTCGTCGTTCAGACGAGTTTTTCCTTGACCTCAATCCTTCTTATAGGTCCGATCCAGAAGAGGGCTTTAAGCCGGTTTTCCACTTGCGAATTTTTTCGCGTGAAGCGAATTTTTCATTTGTCTTTGCGCATGGTCTCTCAACTGGAACCATTTGGAACTAATTGGATAAAGACAAAAGAAAAATTCGCTTCGCGCGAAAAAATTTGCAAGTGGAAAACCGGCTTTAGACAAGCCACATGCACAAGCACACAAGCAAATAACCTGCTTAACCAACTGATGCACAAAATTCCCTTCAACCGTAAATAATACAATATCTGTGATGCTGGAATGCAATGATGTGGGGGTTATAGTTGGTTAATATAATCATAGTTGAATTAACAATTGTTCTTGTTTCTGCAAAAGAAAAGAAACAAAAGTGAATGGACCTATTCCCTGATGAACAAAATTTTGATCTAGACACGTCTAGACAAACATTTCATCACAACTTGAAAGAGTATCACAAAATTAGTAATATTCCGAAGTTTCGTTGCGGAATGTTGTAAAATGCGGATAATATCTAATCTATCTTCTATATCTACAGTATCTTCTAAAGCGCTTCGCGCTCGGTCATTATTTTTAAGAAGGCCTCGGAGCTCGTGCATTATCCTATATTTAAATTTCTAATTTTTATTTCTTTGAGTTTTGTACAAGACCTTGTGTTCTTACCCAACATTAATTCAAAGCAATTAAAGTGTCAAATTACTACAATACGTTATAGCTAATTTGAATTTGAAAGGGTTCACTTTTTTTGAGACACACTGTACACCCTGTATAGAACCATAAACAACATTACCACATACACTTTGCCAAACAAAATAAGAAAACAATTACTAAGCTTACTTTCAAACATCATTAATAATTCATAAGCTTATTGGTATATCATGTTAACCATAATATGTCACGTGCAGTGGCTTTAAACCTGATAAAACACTCCTATTTAGTATTCTTTATATAAAGAATACTAATAAGGCAGTACTGATCTATTGTAGTCGTGTCCTCATTTATTTAGTATTCTTTATATAAAATATACTAATAAAGCAGTATATCTAATGAATTTGTAGTCGTGTTTGAAGCCGTTTAATAAACTCGCAGGTCGTGTTTTATTAGGTCTAAAGCCACTCGCGCTGCAATATCGTGTCTTTAAACCTAATAAAACACTCCTCCTCGTTTCTTAATTTTTAGCTAAATTTTTGATGCAATCCAGTTTACAGCGAGTAATCATATTTTTAAAAGAAGAGACAGATTCAACTTCCTTTAAATCTTGAGGAATCTTCGACTAAAAAGTAAAACTAAATTATGTTTGTAAAATAATATTTTGAAAATTGTTTTAGCATGACGCCATTAATACATAACTAATTAAATATAATAATTATTCATAACGTCACCCAGGACTTGCTACAGTATATGGCCCATCAACCGTGTAATTAATAACAATACTGTAGTCAACACTACTCATTGAATTCAGCAAGACATTGAATTCAATTTCATTGAATTCAAAAGGATGCTTTATCCAGTCCTATAGTTTACAGATCAGTGTATATGGCCTATCAACCTCTTCGGGTAATAATTCTTCGATGGTTTTCATAAGTTTCTCCACTCTCCTGTCTTAACTGGCTGGACCAAGTCCAACCGTTGGATTTCTTCTAAGCAGCGAGCCAGCTTTTCACGTGAGAATCCTTCCATGTTGTTGAAAATGGATAAAATTTTCTCAGCTTGAGCACGATTATCCTGGTATATGAGGCTATATCGAAGTTCATCTATATCTGCTCTGGGTATATTCATAAGACCAGCGAGCTGCTCCCACTGCCCAATGCATCGACCGAGTCTGGACATTTCACGTGCAGAGAGACGTGTGCGTAACAAATCTTCTTCGGTGAGTGCAGGTGGCGTTGGTGGTGGTTTTACTTCTTCACTTCCATCCTGTTTAGAGAAAAGCAATCAGGTTCATTGGTTGGTTACCATTAACAAAAAACTCATATACTTTGAATTCGTGCAAAATAGGACAGCAAATTTTGATTGGAAAATTCCCGTTCGGGATCAACATGCACATTATTTCCTCTTCCTCGCCAGAACTCATAAGAGAATTTTAAAATGCTCTAAAACGTGCAAAAGGTGTAAATGGAATGATCGTATGAAACTTTCTATCAAGAAAAAGAAATCAACTTTTACCAAACCATGGTAACCGATGCACTCTTTTTATTAAACAAAATAAAACTTATGTAAACAGGAAAGCATAGACGAAGCAAGTTACTGTACTTCACTGTTTTATAATTTCTAAGTAAAGACCTAAATTATTGCGTAATACTTAGAAAACGACATAGAAAGATAGTGCACAGACACAGTTATTTTTTATAACGAAGAACATTTAATAATGGAAGGAACAGCTCCAGTATGCATATAAAACTTGGATCATGGGGCAAAGAAAACTCTCCATTATAAAATACCTGGTCAACAGGAAGCATTTTTTCTTCCAAATCGTGCCGACCAAGTTCCTTGAAATATTTTACAAGAATATGACGATCGAAAAACGGGTTGTCGTTTAAAAGCTCGAAAGCTTTCTTGGCTTTCGATGAAATGCCCGGATAATTCAGGTTGTCGACTCTAATTTCTTCTCGATCAGAATACGGAATATCCATGAGCCCTCCTAAGCTGTCCCAATCAAATCCAACCCCGCAGCTCATTCGAGTAATTTCTCCTTTTGTAAGTTTTGTGTCCGAATACACAACTAGGAATGGGAAACAAAGGTTAATATTTACTATGGTGCATGGGCAATAATATCATATTTAGCGTAAATCTTTTTATCAAGTTTCCTTTCAGACCAATGATGAGAGAAAAAAATTTAACAAACCTTCCTTCTCTTTAAGCCACCTATCTATGACTGAAATGAAAATGTCATGCGGGGAGAGGGCTTAAATGAGGATCTACGAAATTTGAAAAAATTAATTTTTTTCCAGGCATCATGTCATACATATACCTTTTGGTTCAGGGTTTGACGCCGAGTCAATAACTAAAATAAAAATAAGAAATATGTTAGCACTGTGGAGTATAAATCAATTTATTATTTATTTAAAAAGTTCCTGGCTTCTGATTGGCTAACAGCCAACTGTGAAATTGCCATATCAACTCAATGCCTAACCAAATACGGATTTTTCACATTCATATTAGCAAAATGACGTCAAAGAGTCAATAAGAAAAAAATTTGGACGCGTTTGCGCCATATTACTATGACAACGAGAATCATATTGACTCGCTGACGCCATTGATATGACGACGAGGATTACAAATGGCTTCTTCCACTGAAAGGTTTGCCAACCTTGGCGAAACCGAAATTGAAAAATTACTGGAAGATAAAGATTCGTTAAATACAAAAAGATCAACAAAAGCTTCTAGAATAGGTAAGAACAGTCAGTTTCCCAATTCTTGATGTATATAATGGCACACTTCGGGCTTGATAATTCTTCATATCGTGCTCAACCTCATTCAATAATTGTTACATATTGCACGGCGGCGCGAAAAAAAGACTTTTGGACTTCGAGTGGTGAAAACAATATTTTACTAACGTGCGTAGCAGTAAAATATTGTTTTTAACACGAGAAATTTAACGCTCAAAAGCAAATTGTAAAATTTCACACTCAAAAGCAAATTAGAAAAAGTTACGTGATCGATATCTTCACTAGGGAAGATATGGAAAAGATCTCACTGTGTATTTTTTAGTATCTCACTCTATATCATATAATAAAATGTTTTACATCATTGGTAACTTCGTTTATATAATGATCGATTGATCAAAAAAATTCAAGCGATTCAATTGTTTGAGAATGGTCGACCATAATACATAAAGATTACACCGAATTTTTTCCAAAATTCTACAAATTTTTTTCTGAACAAGCCATTTAAAGTATTCAAAGAGATTTAGTTCTAGCTTTAGTAAAGGTGCTTGAAAACAATTAAAAAAGGTGGGTTGCAAGCAATCTCTTAGGAATTGAAAAGCAAATTAAAAGAGTGGTCATATTGGAGCCAAATTCAATGAAAAATAATGAGATTCATTTGTTGAAATACTACCAACATGGCCGCTGTGACGTAAGATAAGATCAAGAAGGTGACATTATCACAGAATAAAGATCAGTAACAGAAGGGCCATGCCACTCAGCGGTGCAATGTGTCCGCGTTTTTTTATGCAAAAATATGCAGTTTATTGGCCAGAAGTCGGAGCAGCCAGCCAGCTGTACAGCGTGTTTATTGGCCAGAAAATGTCATCGACTGGCTAGGAAAATGGCGGCCAATATGCGTAATGCGACATGCGCGAGGACAGAAACTTCAAAGCTTCCGACGTAAGTGGCCCTTTTATATGGATCTTTATTTTATGACATTATTACATACCATAATGGCTCTTTACCATAAAACATTAAAACCGAACACACTATACAAAGATGACAATAAGTAATTCGGTAATAAATAATATAGGAGTACATTCCGGCAAGAGAAGTATTCAACTGAATCGTTTAAGCTCAAAATGAAAGTTCTTAGGTTAAATTTAAAAGACTCTCTGGTAAAACTATTGATGCACGTGTTTCAACTCTTTAACGTATTTGCCATATATTGCAACCAGTGGAGAAACTAGTCATGGCAACTAGTCATGCTATGCCAATAAACCTTCATCTAAACAGGTAATAAAACAATACATTTCTACAGGTTTGAATGATGTAAAAATTTGCGTAGCAGGACCTGTTGCTATGGCTAGCTTGGCATTGATTGCAACCGACTTTATGTACTGCCAAGGGCGTGAGAAGGTACTTTATCCTGCTTGTAGGACATTTCAGCTGAGCGATTGTCATGTCAAAGATCTGACCGACTCGATTCCCGACTGATCGGATCAGGGATCTGACCAACTCTGACCGGATTAATTAAGGATTTCGAAATTTCTACTTACAAAAGTAGAGACAAATAAGAAAACTCTGATCCAAAATAAGGAGAACTCTTTCACAGTTAATCATGTTTCGAAAAGTATGCAATGTAAATGTAATGCAATGCAACATCATAAGTAAGAAAACAACGATACACAATGTCTCATACTTTCCAAAACAAGACTGGTAAATTTTAAATTACCTTTAGTTTCTTCGACTCTAAACTTTTCTTCCATCTCACGAACATGCATACTCCACAATGATTCATTTTCGTCCTTGCGATCTACTTCGCTTATCTTCACTTTTCCCCTTGCCGGACTCTTTACTGAAACTTCGTGAAAATGATCGATGACGAAACCCACAGAATCCAATTGAGGCTCATCTATATCGAACCAAAAAGGAACGTTTTCGACTCCAGGAAAATGTAAACTTATTCCGAGACGACGATTTGTGTGGACGCGTTTCAACACTCCTCTTTCTCCTTTAACGTAACCTTGGTCGAGAAGATCTTTTAACTGTTGAATATCTTCTTCTTTATTCTCACCAACAAACTCACTGAATATGACAACCGAAATCTCTAATGGATCCGTCGTAGATAGTCTACGATAGAGGGGGTATGCACGACATGTAAATGAGCGATTGAGATGACTCAAAATCCGCGGTAACGTCATTACACCCCTCGCCGAAATAAGTGAGTAGAAACTGAAACCGTTAATTTTCGCGTTTACAACCCTTTCCACATTGTTTACTTTGATACCATTAGTAACCAGTTCCCAAACGATTCTTTGGTAGTCGTGTCTATAAGAACCATGTAGGATGAAAGGTTCACAATCGGAGACGGTGTTTTCAAATCTGATCGTGAGATCTGCTGGTCTCAAGAATTTCGAGCCGACTGGGAGGAATTGAACAACTCGTGGGACAGCTTCGAGTAGACCTAAGTCGAGCAGTGACTTGATGGCAAAATCCCTATCATGGTGTTTTATTAATGTGATCTCTGTATCTTTAGCCAGACATCCGGGACCTATCTTTAATATGAATCCATCAATGTCAATGACACCTCCGTAAGCGGGGATAAGTTTCGTTACCACATCTGGATTCATTGCGGCAGCTGAAATAAAACAAATAGCATTAGCATATACTCAGGAGGTGAATAATGCTTTTTGAGCAATTTGAGTAGTGGCTCAACTTTGGATATCTCTTAATTAAAGCGCCTATGACACGAAATTTCACCCCATATGTTTATGATTGCATTATAAAGATCACTTAAAATGACTTAATAATTTCTTTTGTAGAATTTTGGTAACTTGCTTCCTTTACAAGATATTAAACTTTGTTTCATATTCAAATATCACCGGTGTGACATCACATTGCATAATGACATTTTGAAAACGCAATATTTTACCTTGATAAAATATTTTTACAAACAAATACAGAGGGTTAATTACCAGTTATGAAATTAATACACATTCAAGGGCAATTTTTAAGTTTTTAGATACGTATTCGTCAAGAAAACTATACTTTTCTGAAAACTCATTATGTGATGTGATGTCACACTGGTGATATTTGCCTATGAAACAAAGTTGAATGACTTGAAAAGGAAGCAAGTTACCAAAATTCTATAAAAGAAATTATTAAGTCATTTTAAGTAATCTTTACAATGCAACCATAAACCTTTGGGGTGAAATTTTGTGTCATAGGCACTTTAAACAAAATATTTTCCTAAACGAGCAATTTTTTACTAAACGAAGCTGCGAAATATTTTGAGTAATGATAGTGTGCTGTCCACAGTTTTTGACATGGAGGATCACACTCACTGACCAGGCCTGGAGCTACAAGGGTGTGGTGTGTGTGTGTGTGTGTCTTCAGACGGCAGGACTGCTCTTTTAGTCGGCAGACAAAAATATTTCTGACGAATAAAAGAACTTCCGATATAATTTTCACCTATTATATAAGAAATGGAAATTTTGGTTACTCGAAATTTACTTAAATTTAAATTTAAAGCAGGATAATCATCATAATCAGTTAGTAAAACAAACCCAGATTAACAGTTAAACCACATAGCGATACAATTAAAAGATCTTAAACAAAGTATATGTAGCATGTTTGATTGGTAGAACCGATGAACACAATATATTCCCGCCAAAAACTCAATTAGCGAATATGGTGATTTGGAACAGACTTCATTTTGAGCACAACGGGCGTAATTTCCGGGACCGCAGAGCAGCCCTTCCCCGAATAATTTCCATACATATGTGATTTTCATAACTAAGAATACTGAAATCTTTCAGATCAATTAAGTATATCTTTATAACTTATATATAGCAAAGTATTCAATAGGTTCTGGTTGGATTAAACAAATGATCGTAATTGCTGCCGAGCGCTAGCGAGGCAGCACACTATTCTCGACGCATGTTGTTTTCGTTACCAGTCCCCGCCCCCCGAATTTAGTAGTCTTGTGGCTTGAATCTCGATATTTCGTCGAGTTGTATGTCCACATCCAAGGGGGTTACGGAAATTAATGAAGTATCAAGGGGGGTGTCTATCATCGTTGAAACAATATGCGATTATAAATATAAATCAGGTACGAATGGCTTTATTTCTTTCTGGTGATATACATGAAGGCAATATATCTGCTGTTTTAGTGTTGGATATAGAGCTAGGTATTGAAACAATATCATGATATTACAAAAATATAACTAACGATGTGTCGTTTATCAATCTCCATTTACTGTGTAAGAAACAAAATAGAAACGACATCGTCAACGTAATCAGGCTTATTAAAATAAGATTCCTATAGCAACCTAGTGTGGATTGTTGTCTGCATATTTTATAGCAATGAGCTCATTCTAGATGTTTATAGCAATGTGCACTGTCACTGATCTATTCGTCAGTAATGTCTTAATTATAATACAACGAGTAAAAATGTAATAGCATGTTTATATCGAGATGATTTTGCCTTATGAACCTATAATATGGGAATGCTAGTAAAGATTATTGTTATTGTTAATGTTATTGCATTACAGTATTAGGCAAACGAGAACCATACAATAAATGTTTTATTTCTTGTTAGTATTTTGAACGCACCGCTTTATTTCATGAATTTTGCTATAAAACAAACCAAAAAGAACGAACACGGAAAATATTCGCGCGACTAAAGCTAAGCGAATGCATCTCAACAAGGTGCGCGAAATTAAATCGCGCGAATTTGAAGCTTCATACCAGATACCTTCTAGCGCAATTTCAATTCCTTCGAATTTCATGTTCTTTAAAAGCCTCTGCGGATGAGAGAGGCGAAAATGAGTATACGACGCGGATCTTTAATACAAGTATAAAGGTCCATATGGTATCATATTTCATAGTAACGAACAATGTAAAATAGCCATACATTTCGCCGAACATAACTTTGGCCCCTTTGGACATATCTTTTTCGTAATAGTCTTATTCGAACCGGAATCCAAAACATTATTTAGAGTGTTATTTTCAAGCTTGTGTCTTCAGATTTTCACCTTTTATTTCGGCACTTACAGAAATAAATAAATAGTATTTTTATTTCTAGCGCGGCCCATGAAACGTTCTCAAAACAAAGCGCTGCTTACATCCTGGCCCTAGGGGTTTGGAAAGACCGGAAATCGATTCTACAAGTCAAAGTACTCCCAGTGGCATGGTTTACGCATGTATCGGGCTATATATGGCCAAGCATACACCTGGCGCGTGCGTGCAAGTAAAAACCCGATATTTTGAAAAATTCAAAATAAATATTTCCACTCTGTGAAATCAAATGAAACTTTCAACATGAAAACGCTTGAATAGAAGGAGTATTTTACTCACATTGACTCTAAGCAAAGTCTGAAGAGTTAAGAAGATATTCATGTGATTGGTCTTAAATGATGAACGAGAAACAAATTTGTGCAGGAAACATAGCCATAGGGGATATGTGCAGGCTTGCCATGCTACCAGTGATGAAACGTGAAAATGAGGCCATTGGGTTAAAAGTAAACTTCCCTTTAGAGAATTGTCTAGAAGTATAAACGTTTGCCATTCAGTTCATGTGGCAAAAAGGCAGCACTTTCCTTGCGATAGTAACTCCTAGTACTAGATTAAGATACGTCTACAAAAAAACTTTTTAACAGCAACTATAGTAAATTTTATTGCATTTCCGGGCCTCTGGGAGCCCTCAGATTTTAAAATTTCCCTGGGGAGCCTGTCCCCGAACCCCCCTAACAAACTCGCGCTTTCGGCGTTCGCTATAATGCCTTGGCTTAATCCAAAAAAGGCTCCATGGTCCCTAAATTTAGTTGACCTCCATCAGAAATTTTACAAGCTTGCATGGCTAGTATGTGGTCGGTACAAGCTCGTTCGTCAGTTGGTTGAAATGAACTTATACTCCTGGCCTCCCTCCGTGAGGGATTTCCTAAGGACGGCCCTGTCACTGACCTACTCCTGAGTTCACCAGGTCCATAGTCTCATTGCTCTCAGTCAAAATATTTCAAAAGCTTGATATGAAGAATCTGTGACCTGATGTTATATAAATTTTAAAATTTCTTTCAAATGTGAAAACATGAAAACATGTATTGACAGCAACCTTTAAAATCACCACAGGAATACCTATATATACTGCACCATCATAACCACTAAACATTCTAAAGTTTGTTTCCTATCATCATTTATTTCTTTGGTATTCAACTCTATGTCCTCCTCTGCAGATTGTCCGTAAGTCTCGCCAAGTTGTTGATGCGCAGTCTAGGAAATTCAGGAAAATTTAGTTACCAGAGAGGAAGGGGGCTGGGGCACATGTGGAAATATGGTCAGTATGCTTCCTCTTATACCGCTGAGTCGAGCCTACTTCTGCAGGTCGACAGTGGTCAACTTAATTGCTCTGTATAGCTCTTTTACGTATTTCACTCTGACGTCCAAGTACAATTGTCTTTATTACGGTATATAGGTATTTCCATTCCCATTTTTGTGTCTGTCATTTCTATCCTTTGTGCCGGCATCTCAATTGTTTGATATGAGCTTCCAAATAAAATTTACATGAAAAATTACTCTTTACATATATAAATTAATATATGAAATATACATTACGTGAAAAGCTTTAAAATTGCGATAAATTTGAGGGGTTTTTTATTTTTCAGTCGAGTTTTCCGAGGACACGCGGAGTGTACGAAAAAGCATAAGAGTTCATCGAGGCGCTAGTCCAGATCAACTCTAGCGCAAAGTGCTCTCTCCTTACTTCTCAAGTTTGAAAGTCTCTGAAGTTTGCCGGACTTCCAGATCATCATATGTTAGCAGACTATAGCTATGTCTTATCCACACCTATCATCATTATTCGTTATAAATCATATATACCGGCAGAATATGATACTGTCCGACTTACTCCCTGACTTGTGCTCTTGGACAATAGCGCCTTCATCCCAACGAGTAACAGAACCGCAGCTGCAGCAGCAACACAGACAATGATAATGATTACAACAAAATTGGAATCATCCGACGACATTCGCTCTGTAAGAATACGAAAAATGTTTTCAGCGCGTACACAGAGACGGTTGGTAATAAATAAATTTATTATTTTAATTTTGGTCAGTGTCAGTCAAAGAAAACAACATTAACTGGAGTTCTCCTCCAGTGTTCGGCATAAGTAACCTCGTTACAAGTTACGGAATTACAAGTAACCGTCACCTTTTTAGATAACTGTAACGGTAAACTAGTTAAGTAATTACGTCAGTTTGGAAAGAGGTAACTGTAAAGCCGGTTTTCCACTTCGCCCGTATCGTACCGAAACGTACTGGTAAGCATACGCAGATTGAAAAGAGGTTAATAAATCCACGTACTTCCGGTACTGCCGGATGTATTCGCGTATCAAAATAAAAAGTTCGTCGCAAGTCAACTTTTTGGCGTGCTACGGAAGTACTAACCAATCAACATTCACGAAATTTTGAAATTTAAAAACTTTCTGATACGTTTCGGTACGGTACGCTTGAAGTGGAAAACCGGCTTAACTAGTTGGATTTTGGCTTAAAATGGAACGATAACGCGTCAATTAATTTTCTGACTAACGTTACTTTTTTTGTTACATTCTCGCGTTAAAATATCGAACTTGCTATTTTGTTTATACCATCAACTTCTATTATGTGTAAGGTGGTTGATAAACCGATTCGTTGCACAATAATTCTTCTGTCTATTTGCCGGCTTCAATTGTTCGGTTATCCAATTTTTTTCGCTTGAACTCATTGTCAGTGTAATTATATATTAAAGTGCATATGACATGAATTTTTTTATTTCCTTAAATGAAAAAACTTTTTAAGCTGTAGTGTAACTTATTTTTCAGTTTCTTGTTTTTATGGTTTGTAATTCCCGAGAGATTTCAATTTGTTTGTTATGTAAACGAGTGTGAATATGTCCGCTAATTTATGACGTCACGTTGGTTGCAAGCTCTTCAAAATGGTTGAATATCACTGCTATCATCCAAGATAATAATTTCCAACTTCACTCACTGGTAAATGTGATAAAATACTGGAGAAAAACGTGAACTGATATCTACAGTTTTTAGAGTGAATAGATTTATAACCAGTGTAAGTTGAGCTTGCAACCAACGGTACGTCCTAAATTAGCAGACATATTCACACTCATTTACATACCAAACAAACTGAAATATGTCGGGAACAAACCATGAAAAGAAGAAACTGAAAAATAAGTTACATTACAGCTTAAAGAGTTCTTTCATTTAATAAAATAAAAACTTTCATGTCATATGCACTTTAAAACCTGCAGATGTAACCTGAACAAGGTATAGAAAAATTGAAAGTAACTTTTTAATCATGCAGTTACAAAAATAACTTTGAAATTGTAAGTGTATTTTTTATGTGTAACTTTTACCGGTAACTACTCCAAAAAAAAGTAAATTTTACAATACTGAGTAGCTAAACTAATGAGTGCAAAATGAGCGCAAAATTATAATCAGCAAGAATCAAACCCAGTTAATCTTAGATGCATTAAAGGTGCCTACAGTCCGTATGTAAACAAAGCCTTTGTTTACATTTTTGTGCCCAAAATATTGAGCTTTATTCGACAACTGTTTATATTTTCAAGATTCTAGAGTATAATAAATAATCAAGAAACAACAATCATGCTTTTCAAGAGCCCAAAACATATAGTTAAACTGTTTGTATTATAAAAAGTGGGCTCCTTTTTGCACATGCGCAGATCGGACTGTAAAGCACCTTTAACTGTATTGTGTTACTAGCATCCATACAGTGGCCAACGCAAACTATAACTATAGGTTCAAGCATTAAAAAGTTATAACTGTTTTTGGTGTTTCAGGTCTCATATGGTGCTTCAAAGAGATTTATATCTGATACAACATGAACGCAAATGCTGTATGCATGTATTAAAGACACGAGCAGGCCACGGTGTGCTTAATCAGATATAAAACACGAGGGGACAGCTGAGTGATTTATATCTAAACAAGTATTGATTGCAGTCCATTGGCGAAGTAATTTTAAAAATAAACGTTGTCTAAGTCGATAAAATCTAAGCTAAAGCTTATGTAAATTAACATAATTTTTTATTGTGATTTCCTTTGTCTTCTGATCATCGATCATTGATAATTTTTTTAAATATTACATACAAAAGCTGTGGTTGAGTGAAATGCTGGTGTAGACATTGTAGTAGCATTCACGGTACCGACAACTGCAGTGCGATTTGGGCGAACAATGCTAGTGACATTTTTCCTCAACGGTTCTAAAAAGCAACCCGATCTTATGAGTTTATTGGCGAAGTAATTTTACAAATAAACGTCGTTTAAGTCGATAAAATCAAAGCTAAAGCTTATATAAATTAACATAATTTTGTATTGTGATTTCTTTTGTGTTTTCATAATCGATTCTTTATATTTTTTTAATATTACATACAATACCTGTGGTTGAGTGAAATGTTAGTGTAGACATTACAGTAGAATTCATGGTAGCAACAACTGCAGTGCGACTTGAGCGAACAATGCTAGTGGCGTTTTTCGTCAACGGTTCTAGAAAACAACCATCTCATGAGTTTATTGGTAAAGTAATTTTAAAAATAAACGTTGTCTAAGGCGATAAAATTAGAGCTAAAGCATATGTAAATTAACATGGTTTTTTAACAGATATAAAACCACCGCAACATGCACTGTTGTAATTTCCTTTGTCTTTTTATCATCAATTATTGATAATTTTTTAAATATTACGTACAGTACCTGTGGTTGAGTGAAATGTTGATGTAGACATTTCGGTAGCATTCATGGTACCAAACGTTGTAGTGTGACTTGGGCGAACAATGCTGGTGGAATTTTCCCCGAACGGTTCTAAAAAACAACCATCTTAGAGTTCATTGGCGAAGTAATTTTAAAAAGAAACGTTGTCCAAATCGATAATCAAAGCTGAAGTTTAAATTAACATGATTTTCTATCACATGTCAAACCGCCGCAATATGCACTGTTGTGATTTCCTTTGTCTTTTCAACATAGATTATTGATAATTTTTTTAAATTTTACGTACAATACCTGTGGTTGAGCGAAATGTTGGTGTAGACATTACAGTAGCATTCATGGTACCAAACACTGCAGTGCGACTTGGGCGAACAATGCTAGTGGCGTTTTTCGTCAACGGTTCTGGAAAACAACCATCTCATGAGTTTATTGGCAAAGTAATTTTAAAAAGAAACGTTGTCTAAGTCGACAAAATTAGAGGCAAAGCTCATGTAAATTAACATGATTTTTTAGCACATGTAAAACCAGCGCAACATGCACTGTTGTGATTTACTTTGTTCTTTCATCATCAATTATTGATAAATTTTTAAATTAACTATATATTACGTCAATACCTATTGTTTAGTGAAATGTTGGTGTAGACATTACAGTAGCATGCATTCATGGTCCCAACAACTGCTGCGCGACTTGGGCGAATAAAGCTATAGTGGCATTTCCCCCTAACGGTCCTAAAAAACAACTATCGTGTGAGTTCATTGGCGAAGTAATTTTAAAAATAAACGTTGTCTAAGTCGATAAAATCAAACCTAAAGCTTATGTAAATTAACATAATTTTTTATTGTGATTTCCTTTGTCTTCTCATCATCGATTATTGATAATTTTTTTAAATATTACATACAATACCTGTGGTTGAATGAAATGCTGGTGTAGACATTACAGTAGCATTCATGGTACCAACAACTGCAGTGCGATTTGAGCAAACAATGCTAGTGGCACTTTTCCCCAACGGTTCTAAAAAGCAACCATCTTATGAGTTTATTGGCGAAGTAATTTTACAAATAAACGTCGTTTAAGTAGATAAAATCAAAGCTAAAGCATATGTAAATTAACATAATTTTGTATTGTGTTTTCCTTTGTCTTTTCATAATCGATTCTTGATGTTTTTTTAAATATTACATACAATTAATACCTGTGGTTGAGTGAAATCTTAGTGTAGACATTACAGTAGAATTCATGGTACCAACAACTGCAGTGCGATTTTCGCGAACAAAGCTGGTGGCGTTTTTCCTCCACGGTTCTAGAAAACAACCATCTCATGAGTTTATTGGTAAAGTAATTTTAAAAATAACGTTGTCTAAGTCGATAAAATTAGAGCTAAAGCATATGTAAATTAACATGTTTTTTTTTTATCACATGTCAAACCACAGCGACATGCACTGTTGTGAGTTCCTTTGTCTTTTCATCATCAATTATTGATAAATTTTTAAATATTACGTACAATACCTGTGGTTGAGTGAAAAGATGGTGTAGACATTACAGTAGCATTCATGGTACCAAACACTGCAGTGTGACTTGGGCGTACAATGCTAGTGGAGTTTTCCCCGAACGGTTCTAAAAAATAACCATCTTAGAGTTCATTGGCGAAGTAATTTTAAAAATAAACGTTGTACAAATCAATAATCAAAGCTGAAGCTTAAATTAGCATGATTTTTTATCACATTACAAACCACCGCAACATGCACTGTTGTGATTTCCTTTGTCTTTTCATCATCGATTCTTGATATTTTTTTTAAATATTACGTATAATACCTGTGGTTGAGTGAAATGTTGGTGTAGGCATTACAGTAGCATTCATGGTTCCAAACACTGCAGTGCGACTTGGGCGAACAATGCTAGTGGAATTTTCCCCCAACGGTTCTAAAAAACAACCATTATATGAATTCATTGGTGAAGTAATTTTAGAAATAAACGTTGTCTAACTTGATAAAATCAAAGCTAAAGCTTATGTAAATAAACATGATTTTTTATCACCTGTAACACCACCGCAACATGCATGCACTATTGTGATTTCATTTGTCTTCACATCATCAATTATTGATAATATTTTAAATATTACATACAATACCTGTACTGGATACAATACCTATTCTCGTTTCATTAGTTAAAATTAAAAGTGCATGGTTGACAGTTTTGTACAAACCTGCGCCTGGTATTTACTCGATATATAGTATCGATTCTGTACGAATATATTTTTGTCTTAAGGTGGATCGATACAGTTTTCAACACCTTAGGTGTATAGCTAATAGTTTGACAGTTTTAAACGTCGTATATTTAGGTTTCACCACTTTTACGCCGCAGATACTCATCGATTTTCATGTTACTTCTTTCAATTTATGTCAGTTTTGGAGACACATAGTTCGTTACTATGGCAACACACGCGTACGGAATTCATTCCAAAATAGCCTATTGCTTTGTGTAGTTGGAAAAGAAGCGCGGTGACCCCCAAATTTATTTTCGGGAAATATTTTATATCGCTGAGTTGACAACATAGACTAACCATGAGCAAAATAAAAAATCCTGTAATGCAATTTTTCTTAGAAACGCAAAAATGTTGGTTTTCTTCATAAAAATATTTTGGCATTAGAGAATTTTTTATTTTTGGTATATTGAGAGACTTTTGCAGTACAATACAGTGTGCAAAATTTCAACATTGAGATATATAGCGCACTGTTTTTCAAAAATTGGCATTTCTAATGACGTCAGCAATTGACATTCAAGGCGTTATAAACAAATACAATGGCGCGAGATGGCGTGAGCAAGGCGATACGTCACAGCATATAAGTAAGTCCATTCCTCGATATTATCGGATCACGTGTGTTTGGTTATATAGCATGTTTTGTTTTCGCGATTCTGGTGTGTATTATCATAGCAAGCCACCTTAAACGAATTGGGTATTTTTCGTGATACGAGAATTTTTGAGTGATTTCCGGCCTTTGCACTCGTCTTCAGCACATCTTTTTATACCTTATACAACACGACCGCTAACTGACATAAAGATATTTTTGTTGTATTATAAACAAGACGTAATTTTTTTACCATTGTCTTGTGCGTTTGTGACCACTCCGCACCAAAGAACAAATATAAGTTGAATGACTGATTTCATCATCGCAAAATTCCACATCAAGAAAACCAAGGTGTTTGATAAACAGCGCTTCACAATGACTCAAGGCGGTCTTTCCATGCACCTACTAAAGCAGGAGTCAATGTTTCATCTCAGCTTCATTCATTGTTATTGCAATATTGCATGCTTCTTGTAATAGAAGATGAATAATTAACATTGTGGCAACTCAGTTGGTTAGAGCGCTGTACCGGAATCGCAGGGCCGCAGGTTCGATATCTACCAGAAGGCCTATAGTTGCATTTTTCACAGTTGCTTCTGGCTAGGTCTAGATCTAGATTAATATGCACAATTTTCACTCGAGATTTGAATATCCTGTTCTGCATGGCCAATCATAATGCCGAAGTGCAGACAGTCTAAACGATTCCTTAACGTTAGTGGAAGTCAAAACTATAAACGTTGAGAAGCCATCGTTGAGAGGCCATCGGAGGGACCCACATTGAAGATTCGGTGTGAATTAGGCCGACTAAGGTCTCGTTTTATACCGGAAGGGCTCCCAAATTCAAGACCATTTTGCACGGTAAAGGATTGGGATTGAGACCATAGATATCTTATATAAACTAGATAGCGCATCTCTTTTAGTAAAATTGAAGCCAATAATATCCCAGCGGTTACCCCCATTTGAATAGATGGCGGCCATGTTGGAGCTTCCCACTCGCTAATAAACGCTTAAAAAATAACAATAACTTTCATCGTTTGAATAGTTTAAAAATGTATTTATAATAGGATTAACTTAATGTTTAAGTTCCGTGTTTAAGAAATAGGATACATACGAATCTTCTCATTTCATGGGAATATCCTGAGCCTGCAATCACGGCTTCAATTTTTGAATTGCAGAATAATTAGATGCACTATCTAGTGTATATAAGATATCTATGATTGAGACTGACTCAGACCATCTGCTAGACTGCGAGCAATCCCTAATATTTTTCCTCTCGTCTCCGCCACTTTTTGCCATTTTCCCGCGCGTTCAGTCTTAGTCCGGGAAACAATAAAACGAAGGAAAATAGAGGGATTGCTCGCAGTTTAACAATCTGCGCACGCGTACGTAATACTTCCACCACTACAATTCATCGATCCGGTTTCATGTGAACACTTTTTGTCTCGAAATTAATCTGGTTCCATGTGAACATGTAGAACCTGACGAATTTGAGTATGCAATTCTGAATTCATCCAGCCCAGTGTGAACGTAGACTTAATGGCCATGCAAAGTAAATCACATTCCTCAACAGATGACACTGTGCTTTTAAATTAAGCAACGGCAACAATAGTTTGTATCAATTATATACTGCGTTCAACAATGAAGTAGTTTAAAGTGCTTTATATCAATTCCTTGAACATTATAAACTATTGAGAGCCATATAAACAAAATGATTAGAAACAAATGCATACTTGCACCTGAATAAAATGTGTGTGTGATCGGGGATGGTAGCTAGATTGAATATGAATAAATCTTACAGTAGGAATATTGACTATTGGTAGTAAGAATATAAATATTTAAATCAAAATTCAAAAGAATATTTGCCTGATTACCCCCTCCAGTCGCCAAGTATTTTAGGAATTTTAAACGAAGGAATATTGAACAAGCAGGAATATTGAATTTTGAAGTAACACTATTTTCCTTGCTTGCTATAGTATTAATTGCCTGTCGAAATCGCTATTGTACCATCCGTGAAACCGTCAACAGCAAAAGTACCAGTTAATCTGAGCAAAACTAATAAAGCCCTTAGTCAGATGCTAACAACACAACATTTGTTGGTCTGATGAACATAATACCAATATAACACTATAAATGACATTACCACTTACCCTTGCCAAAGAAAATAAGAAAACAAAAGAAGACATTGCTAAACATTTACAAAAAAGTGCTTATCTTTCTTTAGAAGCAACCAATAGTCAGTGTATTCACATAAGACAACCCGCACGACTTTGAACGTTTTAACTCATGTTGACTCGTGGTTATATTATGAGTGATGAAAACACTTGAAAATAATTGTAAATAATTACCAATTTGGACAATTACGGCGTACTAGAATGCTCATGGGAGTCATACAATTTATAGGTCGCCTTTGTCATAAAGTAAAAAAATTATTAATTGTTGATGAACTCGTATTAATTGATGTTACGGTTGTATACTTGTCAAATATTATTTGAGTTTTTTGCCAAGCTCACTATATTAAACTTTACTTTTTTAATATTTAATAATAAAATACAACAAACCTAGTCACCTAGATTGGCAAAAGATGTTTGATCTTATCAACCAAACTCCGATCCAAAGTAAAATAAGGCTAAGTAAACTAGCTGTAATTATTTGCCGCCAAATAAGTTGTGTATTGCAAGGGAAAACCCTAGTGCACAGGAAGTTCAAAGAAGATAAAAATCGGTGCTATTATTATAACATAATGTCATTATTAATGTTGGAAATTGTTGTTTGTACGCAATGTGGCAACCCGATTATTTGAAAGCAGATAAAATCGCCTATATGCATGCGAGCAAATTTTACAAGATATGTATGTACATCAAATAACTCAAAATGTAATGACACTTCTCAATACTTAACAGAATCAAAGTAGACCCTTCTGGGTTTCTCGAATCGCGCATTAGTTTGCATCAGTACATATTTCAGCGTTTTTTTTATATGAGAAGACTGGAAACTAGCCAAATTGGGCGCGTGAGCAGGAAGGGCTTTACACGGCATCCGCCTCTTGACCAAAGATATTAGGGAGCTTTAGATTTGACTACGAGTACGACTACGAGTACGAGATTTGATCGCGTGCGAGGAAGTTACCGTAGTCGTTCTCGTTTCCATTCAAATGTTGCTTTTATAACAGTAAATCAACAGCGAGAGAAAAAGTTTCATAAACTAAATCTCCTGCTGACTAAAATCCCCTACAAAACGTGCAAGTAAGTCATAACATTAAAAACAGGCCAGATATTTAGTACTAATATATTATTTGCGCCGGATAAACGCTATATAAATGCTACAAATTATTTTTGGAAAACAAAAAAAAGCCAACTTTTTTTGTTTTTTTTTGAAAAGTCGTCGTGAGGACTACGAGGTTTCTCCACAATTTCGTACTCAGATGGGCGACGGCTACGACTTTTTCTCGTCAGTACGGGATGGCGTAAGCATACAGCATGCGTTTAGCTTGACGAATCTCGTACTCGTAGTCAAATCTAAAGCTCCCTATTATGAAAGAGCAGAGTGGGTATTCCGGGAAAAATCGAGGGACAAATTGAAGCTTCCTACGGGGGCAAATAACGCTGTCTGATTGGCTAAAACCTCGTTGCCCTGTGTAAATTCTCACATACCCGGATGGAAAGCAGCGATGTTCATGAGGAGCGGGAATTAATTACGAAAATAATACAACTTTCAAAACATCAATTTTTTCCAGTTTGACATAGTTCAAACAAAAACTAAAAACTCAAAATCAACAAGAATACCTGTACTTTAATACAAAACAAATTTTTGAACAGTAAAAATGTTTTAAACAGTAGAACTATTTTCCGTTGAAGAGCGGTTTCTTCGTGACTTTAATTGGCACATCCAAATTTTTATTATTTTCCACGATATAAAATGCGTAAATATATTCGCCACAAATACTACTACAATGTACAGTAATTGAATATTGAAAACCAGGTTATTTGATAATCAATAAAAAGTCGTACTTAGATACTAAGGATATATGGATTCTTCGACTAATCCATAAATCCCATAAATAATTATATATAATAATTATTTACGACGTCACCCACGACTTTCTATATGGCCCATCAACCACTTCGGGACTTTCAGGTAATAATTATACTGCGGTCAACAATGTTCTGAAAACTAGATCTGGATAGTGGATCTGCTACAGCGCTTGCTATCCATAAATGAAACCATGGAGATTATATTAGTATTCTGTTTACAAAGACTTTGACACACTTTAAAATCCCATCTCACTAAAAATATTCTGGCTTCAAAATGGGCTTATTGAATCCCTAGTTTCTCCACTCCCCTGTGATAACTGGTTTGATCAAGTCTAACTGATGGATTTCTTCTAAGCAGTGAGCCAGCTTTTCACGTGAGAAGCCTTCCTTGTTGTTGAAAATGGTTAAGATTTTCTCGGCTCGAACACAATTATCATTGTATATGAGGCTATATCGAATATCATCTCTTTCTGTTCTGGGTATATCCATAAGAGAAGCGAGGTGGTCCCACAGAACCACAATGCGTCGGCCAAGTCTGGACACTTCACGTGGGGAGAGAGGTGTGTGTAGTAAATCTTCCTCGATGAGTACAGGTGGCTGTTTAGAGAGAAACAATCTGGTTCATTGGTTGGTTACCATTAACAACAAAATTTCATCTGGTTCGAATTCATGCAAATAGTACGGGAAATTTTGATTGGAAATTCCCGTTTGGGTCAACATGCACATACATTATTTCCCCATAGCTGTGGCGCAGGCAACCCGATGATTCTGTAATACCGATATGAAAATATTGTCATGTCTATAAACTATCAACACAATAAATTTCTAAAGAAATAAATAATGATAATGAGTTGAAATTTGCTTAGTGGGACCAAATCATTAGGCTGGCTACGCCATTGTTTCCTCACCAGAACTCATAAGATATTTTTAAAATGCTCTAAAACATGATAAAGGTGTAAATGGAACATAGATGACCGTATAAAACGCTCTATCCAGAACAAGAAAGCAACGTTTTCAGGCAAATTCCGAAAATAAACAGTTTTAATATTCAAATAAATATTAAAAGATTTATTTTCGGAGTTACCGTTGTTTTAGAATTTAAACCAAGGTAACATGCACTCTTTTTATTAAACAAAATGAAACTTACATAAACAAGGAAGCATAGACGATGCAAGTTACTTCACTGCGTTTTATAATTTCTAAGTAAAGGCCTAATATATTGCGTGATACTTAGAAAACGATATTGAAGAAAGAAAATACACACGAGTCACTGTAGTTATTTTTTATAACGAAGAACATTTAATAATGGGAGGAACAGTTCCAGTATGTATATAACACTGAAAGATGAGTCAAAGAAAACTCTCCATCATAAAATACCTGATCTTCCATGGGAAGCAATTCATTTTCCAAATCGTACCGACCCAGTTCCTTGAAATATTTTACAAGGGTATGACGATCGAAAAACGTGCTGTGATTAAAAAGCTCGAAAACTTTTTTGGCTTTCGACCTAATGCTCAGATAATTCAGGTGGTCAACTCTGATTTCTTCTCGATCAGAATACGGAATATCCATGAGCCCTGCTAAGCTGTCCCAATCAAGTCCAATCTTGCCGCTCATCTGAGTTATTTCTCCATTTGTGAGTTTTGTGGTCCGATAGACAACTAGAAATGAGAAAGAAAGGTTATTTACTATGGTGCATGTGCAATAATATCTTGATAACATTAATTATTTTTATCAAGTTCCTTTTCAAACAAATTTCGAGAGGAAAAAAATTAACAGAGGGATGGTTTGTTAATTTTTTCCCTCTCCTATCTATGGCTGAAAATTAAGTCATACGGATAGAAGGTTTATAATAGAGGATCTATGGAATTTGAAAAATTTTAAATTTTGCCATGCATGAATTATCTCATTAGCTCTCATTAGCGTCCAATGGGCAATAATGTACCTTCTGGTTGAGGGTCTGGCACAGTTTCTTGCACTGAAATAAAAATAAGAAATATGTTAGCACTGCAGAGTATAAATCAATATAGTATAGTACAATAACATGGAAAAAATACAATAATACAATGCAATATAATACAATACAAAATAATACCGGGTGTCCCAAAAAAAAGTACTCCGGTTTGATTCGTAATAACTTCTAAACAAGTACAGCTTTTAAAGAGAAATAACTTGCATCAAATAGAGGAAGGACTAACTTAGATTTCGATATATTACAGTTGTATTTCACTTAAAATTTCACGGAGATATTAATGTTTAAAATCGGGAGCATATTTCTGGATGTATCTGAAATATGCAAAAAACGGCGTATCAAATAATAATCAAGATTTCCCGATTGAAATATGCACTATTACCAGTAATTAAGAGACACTTGACAAATTGTTTATTACTAGAAGTTACTATCGCAAGGAAAGTGCTGCCTCACCCCCAAGGGATCAAAGGCAGCCTGCACAATTTGCTGAATAAGGGGCTGTTTATATGATCCCGCTTTGCCAGGACAAGTACGAGGCGGATGAATTCGATGTATTGAAAGAAGTTATGGTGCACGATTCAACAAAAACTTTATTATTTTCTAGAGATAGTTTGTAGTTAACTGTAAACGAAAGTATATTTTGTGTTCAATATATAGACCACAGTAAGACTTTTTTAATCCTATTAACTACCTGAAGATGGAGTAAATCTCCGAAACGTCGTTTGTTAATGTAATAAACACATTTTAAAAAAGTCTTACTGTGGTCTATATATTGAACAAAAAATATACTATTAACATGAGGCTCAGGGAAAGTTCATTCCTAAACATTTTGTAAACGAAAGGTTTTTTCAAGCACCAATAATAATCTTCTTGAACACAAGATCTTCTTTACAACATTTGAGTTCGGTTAACCAGCATTTAAACTTTTGTTTAGCCCAGTGACTTATTTCAATACAACAAAAACATCCCACCTTCCCGCATTATGTAAACAGCCCCTAAGGCGTTCAGGGGGCAGGAATTCTATTTTTTGGCATGGGCAGTTTTGCATGAATACCTTCAATGCTTATAACGTCTTGCTTTTGTATGTATAATTATAATTATGCTGTCAGTGGTGAAGATAGCCATAGCAACAGGGCATGCTATGCAAGTTTTTAATGATTTGTTTGATTCAAATAGATGCAAGTTTATCAGCATAGGCATATTACGAAAGTCACCGAACTGTGGAATCGCATAAAAAATTCGTATATCGACCACTCCCACAAACGTCTACGACCGCGCCTACATAGTTTTGCACGTTTACAATTCTAATTTTAAACAGCCAATTACCAAGAACCTGATTGGCTGTTCAAAATTAGAATTGTAAACATGCAAAACTATGTAGTCGAATGTAGGCGTGGTCGTAGACGTTTGTGGGAGTGGTCGATATACGAATTTTTGATGCGATTCCACAGTTCGGTGACTTTCGTAATAGCATGACCAGTTGCAATGACTAGCTCGCCACTAACCAGAGATCAGGCTCTATTTTACAATAATATAATAATGTGATAGCTTTCCACCCACAGCAAAGTTTATATTTAGTATCCAATCAAAATGTCGCAGGAGAAATTTAAATTTCACACAACGACAACAATCTAATTATAGTTGTGCCCACTATAAAATATATCATCAATAATAGTATAAATATCTAATTAGCACCAACCAATCAAATGACAGATTAAAAAATCTTTTGTCTCATAGACCAATCAGATTTACAACCGAATATGGCTGTAAGGCATGTTAAGGTTTGTATCAGGCCTATTTATTTATTTATAGGCCTGATCGCAGGTTAGCTCACCACTGAATACTGTACAATATCATATATTTATATACATAAACGATAATAATACTTGAATGAATCATTGGACATGTAGAATTTAATAACAATTTCATGTATAGAAATACTATACAAAACTACCCCTATCGCAGAACAACTGACATTTTTGTTTAATTTAATTAATCCATCAGCTTCATATGACACCATTCATTTGTAAAGATTAAGATTGTACTCAGTCAGAACTTCAAAACTATATAATAAGAAAGATATTGTGAGCATTATCGAAAAAAATATAGTGTACCCTGAAATGTAATAACACAGCCAGGTGAATATATGCCGGACTGTATTATGTAGGCCAGTCCTATCTCAGAGATATATTTTTACAGACTGTCATACCTTGTACAAAAGTCGATTGACATGCTATTACATGTATTAACTGCTGGTAAGTTAATATTTCCAGATAACCACAGGTAGATTTACTGGGGGTTAGGTATGGTTAACTTCCCCCTGTAATCTCTCTAACCCCCAGGTCTTATAAAATATTCAACACTTCAACCCCACCAAAATTTCGCTTCACCCCTCCTATTTTGTGTGAAAAAGTCGTTAACCCTACACCCGAAGCTCTACTAGATTCACCCCTACTATAAATAAATGAAAACACGCCCTTGCAGGCAACAATCCAAACTGGATTGCTATATCATTCCACGTAAACTTGTTTTTAAAACGTGATGAAAGCACATTGCTATAAACATGTAGAATAAACACTAAACTCAACGCCTTGGGACATCACCACACAAACAAATAAACTATTTATACTGTAGTTTATCATGATAAATTCATGCTGATAGTTCTGCATGAAATTATAGTGTTCTAAATATAAACGCACATTGCTATAACATGTAGAATAAACACTATTCACTATAAAACTCATCGCCTTGGGACATCACCACACAAACAAATAAACTATTTATAGTTTATCATGATAAATTCATGCTGATAGTTCATTAAATTATAGTGTTGTAAATATAAACGCCTTCGGCTTCATGTATTTTATCGAAGTGCATGTCTATACAGCTGGTTTTGCATGATGAAAATGTAAATCATATAGTGTTTATACGTACTAAATTAAATATAATTTCGCTACCAGAAAGAAATAAAGCTATCCTTACCTGAATTACTGAAAATATCGGCGATGTTTTGCATCATGAACATATAAATAAGCTAGCTTTAATACTGCTGATATTCTGCTGATATTGATATAAAGCTAGAACTTGATGCTTGATCGTGTTCAATACAAAATATAAAAGTTTGACCGCCCCCCTCGTTTAAAAAAATTTCCTGAAGCCTTAATTATTTCCCCTGGAATTACGACAAACATCCGACAGACAGACACAAAATCGAGATCTCGACAATACATAACTCGGGTAAAGAGACTGGGCACAAGTAAACGCGATACTTCATGTTAAGAATAGTGTGCTGCCTTCGGCAGCAATGAAACAAAGTATTATTATCTACAAAATACAAGCAAGATTTATTTGTCCGAAATCCGCGTGTGTTCCTAGCACGAATACTTTTCCTTATTTCATGAGACCACTGCATCGCGAAGGATCGTCATGGTCGTTCGTATAGTTTTGAATTAGGGCAAGCTGTCATGGCAATGGAGTTGTGAATTTTCTAACTTCACATTGAATGAATTTTCTAACTTCTGCAACGTTCTGAAATCTTGTTAAAACACCCAAACTCTTTTGCCTTTCTTAATCTTGGCAAGTTCAGAATAAACTGAGAATCAAACACGATCAAACCATACAACTCCATAAGTAAAGACATAACAAGCAACTCCCCAGAGACATCCAACATTTTTGGAACAAAACATAACAAAATAGAAGCGTTGATACTGTGATGTGTATTTGCAAAAAGCAATATTATTTCCTTCATTAAGGAATAATATCCATCCTGCTCTAACCGAGAAATAATCAACTTTGTTTTGAACCCATGCATGAAAAACATAAAAAGTGGGCTATTTAATAAAAATTTAAGCGCCTGCCTTGCATGGTCTTTCATGCATGTACCTTTAAGTTTGTAAAGACCTATTAAATACTTGGATAATTTCGAACGTTATATTATATATTTCAGGAAACAATGAGTTAAAACTTACATGTAAGATGTCTAAATCTACGCCATATCCCCTTACAAACCCTAACGTCAATTCGCTGAAATACAAGTTAGCCTGACATGTCATTAAGCAAACAAACGCTGAAGTTAATATTTGATATGCCGATTTTCGCTAATCTTAGACGCATCGCAAAATATGCTCCCGATTTTGAACATTAATATCTCCGTGAATTTTTAAGTAAAATACAACTGTAATATATCAAAATCTATGTTAGTCCTTTCTTTATTTAATGCAAGTTATTTCTGTTCGATAGCTTTACTTGTTTAGAAGTTATTAAGAATCAAATCGGAGTACTTTTTTGGGGGACACACGGTATATTATTTGCCATATATACGGTCATGTGATATATTATATAACTTCATTTATATAATTATTGAAATAATTCAAACGATTCAATGGTTGAGAATGACGGTAATACATAAAAATTCAGCGGATTTTTTTCCAAATGAGCGAATGATAATATCAAAAGAAATTTAGTTCTAGCTTTAGTAAATAAAAGTGGTTGAAAAAAAATTAAATAGGTGGGTTGCAACCAATCTCTTAGGAATGTGAAAGGCAATAAAGACAGCGGTCATATCAGTGCCAAATTCAATGAAAGATAAAGACACTACCAACACGGCCGCTGTGACGTGAGATAAGATACATTATATCAATGGCCCTCATGCAATCATAAAAGATTAATACCAACACACTATATAAAGATAACACTAAGTAAAATACAGTAAAGTTTGAAATATTACTGAGTACAGTCCGGCAAGAAAATGTATTCAAGGTGTTCAACTGTATCATGCTTTAAGCTTAAAAAGAAGTTCTTTAAGTTAAATTTGAAAGACTCTCTATAGTAAAAATATTGATGTGTTTCAGCTCTTTAACCGTATTTGCCATGTACCGCAACCAGTGGTCATGCTATGCTAATAAACCAGTATCTAAATAGGTTAAGTAAATATAGGTTAAATAAATAAATAAATAAATAAATAGGTTAAAGACAATACATTTCTAAAAGTTTGGAGAATGCAAATCATTAAAAAATTTCATAGCATGCATTTGCATAGCCTGTCGCTATGGCTAGATTCTCCACTATATTCCAACCGATCTTTAGATACTGCCAAAGGTGCGCAGAGGGACTTGTCCTGCTTGCAAAATGAAAACTTTTCTATTTAAGATAAGACTAACTAAGAATAACGTTGTAAGACATTTCAGCTTCGTTGAACGTTGTAAGACATTTCAGCTTGAGTAATAGTCACGGATCTGACCATTATATCAAGAATCGGACTATCACTCGAGGCTTACTGGGGCGCCCGACTCGACAGCTTCCTAGGTCAGAGATCTGAACGACTCGACCCTTGACCGGCCAATCAGGAATCTGATCAACTCTGAGCGGTTTAAGAACTTCGAATTTCTTCTTATCAAAGTAAAAGTAAATAAGATAAAGTCTGAAAATGAAGAGAAATTTTTCCCGGTTAATCATGTTTCGAAAAGTATGCAAAGTTTGACACGTATTTTACGAACTCAATGGCTAAGTTAACTTCTAAAACACCTCGACATGGATCGTGCCCATTCCCAATGTCCCAAAGACTTCATAGGGGGAAAAATTGGGTCACTACTGGCTACCGCAACTCTACTGTCAAGTATTTTTAACCACATCAAGACAGAGCAGCTCTTCGCATCTGGCGAGAATACCTTACCTACCTATTACCGGCACCGCGATAACCGTATTTGCCATATATTGTAATGCTGCATGTATAATAAGTAAATTATACAGAATGACTTATACTTTTCATAAAATTATACACAATGTCTCATACTGTTCGAAACAAGACTGGTAAATTTTAACTTACCTTCAGCTACTTCAACTCTAATCTCCACTTCCATCTCACAAATATTTATCCACCACAATGATTCATTTTCGATATTTCGATCTACTTCGCTTATCTTCACTTTTCCACTTACTGGACTCTTTACTGCAATTCCTTTAAAATGATCGATAACGAAACCTACAGAATCCAGTTGAGGTTGATCAACATTGAACGAGAAGGGAGTGTTTTCGACTCCAGGAAAATGTAAACTCATTTCGAGACGACGATCTGTGTAGATACGCTTCAACATTCCTTTTTCTCCTTTAACGTAACCAGCTTTGAGATGATCTTTTAATTGTTCAATATCTTCTTCTTCATTCTTGTCAACAAATTCACTCAATATGACGACCGAAATATCTATAACATTCACTGTAGGTGGTCTACGATAAAGGGCGTATGCACGACATGTAAATGAATGATTGAGATGACTCAAGATCCGAGCTAACATTCCGCGCGTCGCCAAAATAAACATGTAAAAACAGAAACCGTTAATTTTCGTGTTACAAACCCCTTTCACATTGCGTTCATCGATACCATTAGTTACCAGTTCCCAAACGGTCTTCTGGTAGATAGGGTTGTAAGAGCCATGCAGGACAAAAAGTTCGGTATCGGAGACAATGTTTTGAAATGTGATTGTGAGATCTGCTGGTTTCAAGAATTTCAAGCCGTCTGGGAGGAATTCAACAACACGTGGGGCAGCAACGACTAGACCTAAGTCGAGCAGGGATTTTATGGCAACATCCTTATCACCATTCCTCAATGCAATTTCCGTGTCCTTGGCCAGACATCCGGGACCTATCTCAAGTATGATGTCCTCAATCGCTATAACACCCCCGTCAGTGGTGATGATCTCCTTTACCAGGTCTGGTCGCTTTGAAGGAGCTGGAATGAGATAAACAGCAGATCATCAGAAGAACACATTATACATATAATTTACTGTCGAATTGACGTCACTTTTCACAACGCGAGTCTCAAGTTTGTGGTGAATATTCCCAATTACGTTTTTAATATGGCCAACATATTTGACGAATTGTTTATTAGACTTTTAAGAAATACGCTTAATTTATTGGCTATACTAGTAAAACACGTTTTTGTTCAGAACGACGGTACTTTAGTAAGCAACTTGCGAAGTTGGTTTCGCAATTTCCACGCCCAATATACCAATATTAGAAACGTAATTGGGAATATTTACAAACAAACTTGGGAACCAAAACTGATTTGATCAGGGTTGGTATAAGTAGGTTGGTAGGTACAACTTGATCCTCATCGGCTAAAGCTGATTTCCCTGATTTCCATGAGGGGCGTCGGGTACACACTATATACAAAATTGCTTGCTAATTATCTAAAAACAAATACTATAAAAATGCTACTTTGGTTCTTTTGAAAAGTGACTAAGACGATAGGATAACTATGTTATCTAGTAAAGTTTGGGACATCTTGAATATAGAGAAATTGGCCTGAAACTTACTTCTTATACCCTCCGGTATCCAGAACGTGTTACTTCGGTCCAATATCGGTAAGTGCTGGAAAAAAGCAAAGTCAGTACTATAGAAATAACTTTTGCATTAGGGATGTGCCCGATAGTGTTTTGCTGCACACCAGATAGTTAAAAATTATTCACCGAAGACGCAAAGCGTCCATGCAGGTGAATATCCTTGCACTATATTTTACAACACTCAAAAAGCGACGCGCGAAATCTAAAAATCTTAGATAGGACGTGGGCGTATGCCCCTCCCTTCCCCTGACACAGATTTAGAAGAAGGCAGCCTTTTGTTTACCAATAGCATATATAGAAGTACTTCTACGACGGACCATTTCGTGTTTAAGATTATTGATCAATTTTTTTATCGACTTTGACACTGGCAATTTTCAAAGAACTTTCTGAGAAGATTTAGAAAGTAATAATAATGTACTTTCTGCAATAAACACGGTAGGTCATCGTTCTTATTTTTCCGTTATGATGGCTTTTTGGCTGGTCTAGGCTAGATGGCTTTTTTGGCTGGTCTAGGCTTGAGCTCTCTGAGCTTATAACCTTTTAAATTAAAATGAGCTTTTAGTTGAAAACATTATATTTGAAACTGTACGGGAGCCTCCTTATAATGGGGTCCAGGCAGAAAAATATAAAATTACGCAAAACCGCATTTGGAGTTAAATATGTATAAAATGAGTGGTTCATACAATTTTGTCAGTGAATTCGGCTTCTCCTGGCGGATGTGATTGAATGAGTGATATGCAAAAGACTTAATGCATTTATTATCGTATACGAGTTCATTCATTCGTATCAGTCATAAACAGAAAATTGCAAACAAAACCGCTAGTATGAACCATGCGCTTTAAGACAGAAAATGACACGTCTGTCTGCGTACAATTTACTTACGTATGACATGCAAAGCTGTTTACAGTCGTCTGATTTTCTATAACGTCTTCTGCGTTCGTACAGTACTGCCACGATCCCAAATACAATAACCACAAGCGCAGCAGCAGTAACATAGCCAATGATCAGACCCGGCAACTCCGGCAACTTGGAACTACTACCTTGCACCGACCCTAAAATATAAAGGACGTTTATAGCGCGTTCACAGAAACGAAGAGTATGTTCTATCTACTATTTCAAATCCATAAATGCTCAACACATTCCCAGCTTTTCCTCATTCCATCTGCATGGTCCCAGTAAAACGTCAACATAAACAAAGATTGTGGTTAACCCATTAATGTCCAACATGCATTTCCCTTTGACAGAAAAAATCGTCTGTGTTATAGACAGTGTTAAGCTCAGGTCAAACTAGAATGAAAGCTGATGAGAGTTGCAACTCTCGCTCGCGTTTCTCATCCGATTCCCTTTCATGTCTCTCATGTACTCTCATAAACTCTTATCAACTTTGAACTGGTTTAAATTTTGATGATAGTTGATCAGAGTTTTTCGCCACGCGCGCCGTGACATCCAGTCAATTCTCATCAACATTTGTTCTCGTTTGACCCGGGCTTTAGCAAGTCACACAAGCAAATAACCTGCTTAACCAACTCATCTACAAAATGTCCCTTCAACTAAATAATACAATACCTGTGGCAGTGGTATGCACTGATGTAGGGGTTTCAGCGGCCATAGTTGAATTAATAATGAATTGTTCTTGAAAGAACAAATTCAAAGAACTAATTGTTGTTGTTCCTGCACAAGAAAAAGCAAGTGAATTCAAGTGAAGAAGACAGACAACAACGACTACGACATCAACAACGACAACGACGTTTTTTTCAACGGTTCTATAAAAAAATGTTTATGGTTACATATCACTTGAAGGTACAACTATAGAATACTCCGCAAGGTTAAGTATTGAAGAGTCTGCCTATACGTATACGCGCCTACGCGCCGGCCTACGCGGGGTTGTTGAGAACATAAGGCCTACGCGCTCTCGTGGGTTTAGCAAAGTGCCTAGGCATTCATATCTTTAACAATACGTCAAAATAGGCCTCCGTTGTATTGACACAGTTTTTCTATATTCCATTGGGCTTTACTATTTTTTATCACCCAATTTCTCGTAAATATAGTATATATAGTACAAACTTCAATGTGAACGTAAAATAATTAACTAAATAATATATTTAATTGACACTTGAAATAGAGCATACTAAATTCCTGTCACACACTTTATTGACTAGTTTGTGTTGAAGGATCATAATTAGGGTTAGGTTGGGAGTTGGGGTTAGGTTAGGGCAACAACGTGCGGACCGGCTGGCATTTATACACATAGGCTTGTAGGTCGGTAGGGGCGTAGGCCTGTAGGCTCGTAGGCATGTAGGCGCGTAGCTATATATAGGCCTATATAGGCGCATAGGCCTGTAGCCATGTAGGCGCGTAGGCATGTATAGTTACGTGGGCCCGCAAAGCAGGCACGTATCGTGTAAGCTCTTGCAAGCACGTAGGCGTATGGACCTTCTTTAAAACGGGTTCCTGTTGGCGGGGGACGATTCTATATTTATTCCTGACTTGAAACTAGTTGTACAGAACATTGACTATACACTAAAAATATGTAATCAACTAATGAATGTTTATGAGTGCAATGGTGAAAGTATTTTCAAGAAATAAAATATGTAATTTCCCGTTTACGAGGCAACAGCGGAGTGGAATGGAAAATTCCATGTCTTCCATCGATCTTTCACGTCGAATGAAAATGTTTTTACAATCGCACGAATTAAAACGCTCATTATTTGTTCTATCGAAATTTTAATTAAATTAAATAAAAACAATAAAATATCCAACCAAAAAGTACAAAAATTTTTTAGTTTGGAGTTAATATAATAAAGATGTTCATCTAACTTAATTATAACAGTATCACAAAAATAATATTTTTACACCGGCCCGCCATTTTGCATCGCACGAGTATATATGTAAATTGAAATGGCAAATATAAATATTCGAATCAAAATTCTAAGGAATATTTGCTTGATAACCTCTTTCAATGGCCAAGTATTTTGGAAATTTTAAAGGAAAGGAGTATATTGAACAATGCAAGCAGGAACATTGAATTTTGAAGTAAAACTATTTCCTTGATTGCTGTTGTCTGTCGAAATCGCTATTGAGTATTGTATACCATCCATGAAAGCAGCTACAGCTAAAGTACCAGTACCTGTTCTAGCGATAGCCAGATGCTAACAACACAATATTTTCAGGTCAGATAAACAATATAACACCATAAGTTAAACCATAGTTAATAGAGGAGATGGTTTGGAAGCTCGTTAGCATTACAATAAAATCACAATAAACCTCATTATTTATGTTGTTCAGGTTTATGTAAAGATATGGTCTTTCATTGTCACGTGCGTATTGTATTTTTCTCAAGTCAACCAATAGGGATGTTCAAAATGTCCTATTGTTAAAGTCATGGATGGGCAATTGGACAAAACCGTTGCTATTGGCTGGTTGAGCGAAAATACAATACGCGCGTGACGATGAAAGACCACATTTTTGCATAAACCTGAACAAAAACATAGATAGTGAGGTTTATTGTAATGCTAATGAGTTTCCAAACCATCCCCTCTATTAACTATGGTTAAACAACATCACCACATACACTTGCCAAACAAAATAAGAAAACAAAATTACTTATTCCTGTATATGCGAGCCAAAGCGTGCATTACTTAACTTGTGAATATAATGTAAATAAACTAGCAGTTTGAACAACTACGACGTACTGGAATGCTCAAGGAAGTACAATTGATAGTCGCCTTTGTCTTAACTACTTAAGGAAAAATTCTATTAATTGTTGATGAGCATGTCTTAACTGACTTTACTGTTGAGTGTTGGGACCGCGTTTACAATAAGTAACGCTACTTAATGCCTGGTTCACACTGGTCGTAAGAATCGGGGATTTCCATTGTCTGTGGTCATTAGTGTATAAAATGCTTTGTCCATCGGAAAAGAATACAATAGATCGCTGATAAATTACGACCAGTGTGAACCAGGCTGAACAGATAACATTCCGTTAAAATTGTTTTTCTATGAGTCAATATTGTATACACTACGTACTGTACTGTACTGTATAAATAAAAAAGTATAACGGAGTGGTTTGCCGTAGCGTACCAACTACGGGCCACTAGCTACATTTGCCACTCTGAACTGATGAAAATCAATTTCGTTAAAAATTCACTACGGCTACGCTTCTAGTTAGTATTGTGTTTACGCTATACCGGAGTGGTTTGCCGTAGCGTATTAACATCGGACCACTACGTTTGGCACTCCGGATGCAAATCACTACGCTACGGTAAATTTGCCGTAGCGTCATAGTGTAAACGCGGCCTGAGTTATTTGCCGAACTCACTATGTCTATGAAACTTTACTTTTTTAATATTTAATAATAGAATACAACATACCTAAACTGCAAAAGATGTTTTGTCTTTCCAACCAAAGCGAAATACGGCTAATTAACCTAGCATTGTAACCCACCAATAAGTTGTGTATTGCAAGGGAAATCCCTAGTGCATAGGAGGTTCCAAGAACATAAAAATAAATTCTATATTATTATGACATAATGCCATTATTAATGGTTGGCAATTATGGTTTGCAGAGCGAAATAGGCGGGCCCAGACACATCGCACATGATGCGGTGGCAACGCGATTTTTGGAAAGCAAATAAAATCGTCTATGCAAGCAAATTTTAAATTATATTCACATCCAATAACTCAAAATGTAATGGCGCTTCTCGATATTTAAGAAACTTAAACCAGGATTAAACAAAGTAGACTGCGAGCCGATCGCCAGTGCATATTTCAGCGCTTTTTTTTTTTTTTTTTTATTATTATTATACAAAAAAACCGATTTGCAGCTACAAAGCTGAATTGCTCGGTTTACATAATGTTCTAAAAATACAGTTTATAAAATTACAAGTTAAAGACTAATAATTAAGATATGATTATATATTATATAGTTTATTAAGACGTATAGGTATTAAAAGATACTACACTACTTGGTATATAACTATTTTTAAAACGGTTGGTACAAGACCAAATGTGTGTAAAATTGTCGTTATTTCTAAGATTGTTAGTACGTTTGTCAGGGAGAAGATCGTACAATTTATGACTTGGTTTAGTCATTCTTTTAAAGTGTGATCTGCAAAGTTCATCTCGTCTTTGTGAAAGATTTGTAAGCGGAATAACCTCCAAGGCCTTCCTGTAAGATAGATCAGGATAAATTATTCTTAGTGCTCGCTTTTGGACCCGCTCGACGTCATCAGAAAGGTATTGGGAAGCACCAAAGTTCCATAATTGGCAACCGTATTCGAGGACTGATCTTATGCAGGTAGTATAGACGGTTAAAAGGGATGTATGATCAAGTCCAGCCCGTTTTAATATGCGTAAAAAATATAGGCGCTATATTCATATAGGCGCTATATTCATATAGGCGCTATATTCAAACTATCCAAATTGGGGGCGTGGCGAAGGAAGGTCTTTACATGGCATCCGCTTCTTGACCAAAGATACTATAAAAGAACATAGTGGGTATTGCGGAAACAATCGAGGGACAAATCGCAACATTCCCGCGTGTTTGGATCAGGCCATCCAAACCGACGGAAATCATAAAGTAATTGTATAATGAAACCAATTAAATTAATGGTGATCATATTGGTGTCAGCACTACCACAAATCTACTGTAATTACTAATGAGATCAAACCAATATGGCTACTTCAAGGCTCATTGTATATTGTGTTTAAAACCTTCTAAAACTCATTAGCAGAGATAGGGGAACCTGTATCTTTCAAACTATCTGGCTTCAAAATGGTCTCATTGAATTCAAAAGGATGCTTTATCCAGGCCTATAATTTACAGATCCGAGTGTATATGGCCCATCAACCTCTTCGGGCAATAATTCTTCGATAGTTTTCATAAGTTTCTCCACTCCCCTGTTGTAACTGGTTTGATCAAGTCTAACTGTTGAATTTCTTTTAAGCAGCGAGCTAGCTTTTCACGCGAGAAGCCTTCCTTGTTGTTGAAAATGGCTAAAATTTTTTCTGCTCGAGAACGACTATCATTGTATATCAGGCTATACCGAATATCATCTCTTTTTGCTTTGGGTATGTCCATAAGACCGGCGAGGCGATCCCACTCGACCACAATGCGTCGGCCAAGTCTGGACATTTCACGTGGGGAGAGAGGTGTGTGTGGTAAATCTTCGCCAGTGGTTTCGGGTAGCGATGGCGGCGTTTCTACTTCTTCACTTCCATTCTGTGTAGAGAAAACAATATTTCATTGCTCGATTACCATTAATAAACATCAAAAACCCGTCTCGTTTGAAATCGTGGACAGTAGGACGGGGAAGTGTGATTGGAAATTCTCGTTTGCTGTCACAATTATGCATACCATTTCTTCACCAGAAGTCGACCATATGAAACGTTCCATCCAGAAAAAGAAGACGCCATTTTCAGGAAAACATGCACTGTATTTATACCATTACATTATGTTGGAAAGTACAGGGTAAATATATTGAGTTCAAGTGATATTTGGACCGTGATAGAAAGAAAATTCTAAATATAATTATGAAATACCTGGTCTTCCACAGGGAGCATTTCTTTTTCCAAATCGTGTCGACCCAGTTCTTTGAAGTATTTTACAAGAATATGACGATCGAAAGCAGTGCTGTCATTAAAAAGCTCGAAAACTTTTTTAGCTTTCGATGAAATGCTCAGAAGATTCCCGTAGTCGACTCTGATTTCCTCTCGTTCAGAATACGGAATATCCATGAGCCCAGCTAGGCTGTCCCAATCTACTCCAACTATGGGGCTCATTTGAGTTATTTCTTCTTTTGTGAGCTTTGTGGTCCGATACACAACTAGAAATTGGAAACAAAGGTTTTTTACTATGGTGCATGTGCAATAATATCATACTTAGCGTAAAACGTTTTGTCAAAGTCCCTTTCAAACAAATCTTGTGAGGAAAAATTTAACAAGCCATCCTTCCCTTTAAGCCTCCTATCTACGGCTGTAATAAATAAGTCACGCGAGGAGAGGGCTTAATAGAGGATCTATGGAATTTGAAAAAAATTTAAGATTTTCCAGGAATCATGCCACATTTATTCGTCCAGATAAAACGTCTGATGTACCTTCTGGTTGCGGGTTTGACGCCGAGTATTGTACTAAAATAAAAATAAGAAATACAGTATAAATATAGTACAATAGCATGAAAAAAATGCAATAATACAATGCAGTACATAATAATATATTCTTTGTCACATATACAATGTATTACATTATGTAACTTCATTTATATAATGATCCAAAAAATTCAAGCGATGATTTAATCGGTTCAGAATGACGATAATACATAATAATTCTACGGATTTTTTCCAAAATTCTACGGATATTTTTCTGGATAAGCAAATGAAAGTATCGAAAATAAAAGATTTAGTTCTAGCTGTAGCACTTTGGTCTATCAACATGGCCACTGTGACGTATAAGATAAGATACTTTATTTCAAGAGGGTAACATTATTACATTACTATAGTGTTCTACCTAGTGGCCCTCAATCATTAGACCAAACTGACATGCACTAGGCCGCCCTATACAAAATTACCACAAAGTATAAAATAGTAAGAGGACGTTACGGACAGAAAAGTATTTAAAGTGTTTAACTGTATCACTTAAAATGGAAGTTCTTTAAGTAAAAATTCTCTAGTAAAGCTATTGATGTGTTACAGTTCTTTAACCGTATTTTTCATATATTGCAACCATGCAGTGGCGAAGCTATATAGCCATGGCAACTGGTCATGCTATGCTAATAAACCTGCATTTAAATAGGTTAAAGACACTACATTTCGAAAGGTTTAAATAATGTAAATCATTAAAAAGTTGCATAGCATGACCTGTTGCTACGGCTAGCTCGCCACTGATTGCAACCGAACTTTAGGTACTGTCAAGGGTTGGAAAGGTACTTATCCTGCTGGCCAAATGAAAAATTTTCTACTTAAGATAAAACCAGCAAAGAATTTTTTAACGTTGTAGGACATTTATTTCAGCTGAACGATTGTCATGAATCTGACTATCACTCAAGGATTACTAGGGCGCCCACTTCATAAGTCAGCAGAAATCTGACCGACTCGAACCCTCACCGACCAGATCAGGAATCTGGCAACTCTGACAGGATTAAGGATTTCGAAATCTCTACTTATCAAAGTAGAGATAAATAAGATAAAGTCTGATCGAAAATAAAAAGAACTCTTTCTGTTGCTCATGTTTCTAATAGTATGCGGTGTCTGACGTGCATTTTCCCGAACTCGATGGCTAAGTTAACTGTATAAGTAAAAAACAACGATACACAATGTCTCATACTTTTCAAAACAAGACAGCTAAATTTTAAATTACCTTCAGCTACTTCAACTCCAATTTTCTCTTGCGTCTCACGAATATTCATCCTCCACAATGGTTCATTTTCGTCCTTACACTTTCGTCCGCGACGTACTTCGCTTATCTTCACTTCTCCACTTGCCGGACTCGTTATTGCAATTTTTTTAAAATGATCGATAACGAAACCCACAGAATCCAGTTGAGGCTGATCGACAATGAACGAGAAAGAAGTGTTTTCGACTCCAGGAAAATGTAAACTCATTTCGAGACGACGATCTGTGTAGATACGCTTCAACATTCCTTTTTCTCCTTTAACGTAACCAGCTTTGAGATGATCTTTTAATTGTTCAATGTCTTCTTCTTCATTCTTGTCAACAAATTCACTCAACATGACAACCGAAATATCTATAGTATCCAACGTAGGTAGTCTACGATAGAAGGCGTATGCACGGCATGTGAATGAGTGATTGAGATGGCTCAAGATCCGAGCTAGCTTTCCGCGCGTCGCCAAAATAAACATTTTAAAACAGAAGCTGTTGATTTTTGTGTTACAAACCCTTTCCACATTGCGTTCTTCAGTACCATTAGTTACCAGTTCCCAAACAATCCTCTGATGTACAGGGTTGTAAGAGCCATGTAGGACAAAAAGTTCAGTATTAGAGACAGTGTTTTGAAATGTGATTGTGAGATCGGCTGGTTTCAAGAATTTTAAGCCGTCTGGGAGGAATTCTACAACACGTGGGGCAGCAACGACCAGACCTAAGTCAAGCAGCGATTTGATAGCAATATCCTTATCACTATTTCTCAACGTAATTTCTGTGTCCTTAGCCAGACATCCGGGACCTATCTTGAGTATAATGTCCTCGATAGCTATAACACCCCCATCGGCGGTGATGATTTTCTTTACCAGGCCTAGACACTTTGAAGGAGCTGGAATGAGATAAACAGCAGATGGTCATAAGAACACATTATATACATATAATATTATTTGTGGCGATTTCACGTCACTTTTCACAGCGCGATTCCCAAGTTTGTTGTGAATATTCCTAAGTATACGTTTCTTAGTTTGGAATAGAGAGTTTTTAAGTTCGAAGAGAGTTTTTAAGACTTAAAAGTTCGACTTCCGATACCAATACCGATACTAACAAGATGTCACGCGCATGCTCTCTGCTTGCAAGAAGCACGAGGACAAGTGTTTTGGAAGTCACCACTACCGAAGTCGGCCTTGCATTGGAAGTCGGGGAAATTGTAAGATAAACTCATATAAATCGGATATTTCATAATTTTTACGATAAACATGTAAAATATTTGTTTATTAGCATCGCCTGAGTCATGTTTTAGTCGGAATTTTAGCTCAGCTGCCGTTTAGTATACCGCACATTTTCGGCGACGATTAATGTGTTCTATACTTTATCTGTCGTGATAACTTAACGCTTTAAAATTCCCGGTGCCAAAATGAGAACGGAAGTGAAAACATCGGTATCAGTATTGGTATTGGAAGCCGAAATTAAACTCTCTAACATTCCAATGACAACTTCTCAAGTTGCCTCAGTTAGTAAATAAGCACCGTAAGTGGGAAAGTTTATAGAAACAAGTTTGCATTGGAACCGCTCTTTGAAAAGTGGCCAGAAATCGACAAGAAAACTGATTTGATCAAGGTTGGTAGGTAAAACTTTATCTTCATCAACTAAAGGACCATGAAGGACGTCGTGTACACACTATATACAAAATTACTTACTAGTGAACATCGATTTTGCAATTACAGGCTTTGTGGCTTTCTAAAGAATGAAGTCATATAAGATCTTTGCAGTTTTCCGTGTCGATAACTTGATTTTGAATAAATTAATAACTCCCCCCACCAATCATTTCATAAGCCTCGCCCCCCCCCCTTTAAACGCGCATGACATAACTAGCAGTGGCTTCAAAGGGTTGTACGTGCGGGTAAAATTCCAAGTAAACTTAATACTTTGTATAAAAGGTGCTGCGAATAGAACTCTTGACAATCTCTTGTCTTATATTTTTATTGATAAAATTCAAGTATTAGAATCAAAAGCTTTGCCAAATATATAGTCGTGGTCAATATCAGATGAAAACATTTTCAGTGACTTTTTCAAATCACAATTACTCTTTAAGTTCAGCTGACGTTCTTGTCCAGTCATATCAGTGTCAACGTTAAAATTGTCCTAATCATACCTCTGCCAGATGTGGATCATCATCACCAATACGCTGATACTGATAGCCCTAAATTAAATTTTAAAAACAGATTTATGGAAAGTACTCATTTAGTATAGTGTTCTAGCTAAAGAATTTTTCGATTTTATCCAAACGAAAAATTTTTAGAGCCGTTTGAACACGCAAATTTGGGCTTTTGGTTGGCAGATGTTCGTGTTCGAAAGAAACTGGAACGAGCGATTTTTGTTACGTCACGCAAGTGAGTCGACGTATTCTATTATTCGACTTGATCGAAAAAGATATGCCTTTTTACTGTGTTGCAGCTAACTGTACCAATAAAGCATGTTTAAAAGATGGAATGCGAAAAAACGAAGAAAAGTATGGGTTGATTTTGTATCCGCAAAGCGGTTGTTTGTGCCGTCAAGCTAGACTTCGACTATATGGTCGGATCATTTTAGACCGGAGGATTACGAGATGCGATTCTTTTCGTTGCTGGGGCTCAAGCCAAAGCTATATTAAAGACTGACGATGATTTGCTTTGTTTTGATGACTCAATTTGTATTTCGGTTTGATGGGACCGCTATTAAAATTCACTATTAATAATATAAATATTTTATTGTTTCGACGTCGCCCCGAGAAACATTGAAACACTCAGGAAAACAAATCTATTTCACTCGTGAGCAGACATTAAGTTTATATTATTATCGTATGCCGCGATCTGATCGAGTTGATTCATTCGCACCCAGCTTCAGAAACAAAAAATGGCAAACCGGCACAATCGCTAGTGTCAACTACGCTTTAAAGACAAAGGATGATATTGTCTGACTTACGTAGGATTTATTTTTGCCCTTTTTGTACTTGCATAGTACTACCAAGAGCCCAACTACAAATAAAATCATCACAGCAGCAAAAACACAGCCAAGTATCAAAGCCAATGTGGGACCACCATCTTCCGCAAGCTCTAAAATACGAAGGACGTTTACAGCGCGTTCACAAGTAGAATGGGTCTATTATTTTAATTCCCAACTTCCCAACATATTCCCAGCTATTCCTCATTCCGTCTGCATGGTCCTTAGACAGAGTAAACAGTTAACAAGAAATTAAAATTTCTATAGCGCAAATTTGATCAAATGCGCTTTAAATAAAGTATTACAAATAATATATATAAATGTATAGAATAATACACAACTACACAAGTTCTATAACAGAACAAATTACGTAAAGCACACTCTTTCTTATAAAGTTGTTGATATATGGAATGAACTTGACTCTAATTTGAAAAATATCACTTCTTATATCATTTTTAAAAATGCGATAAAAGAACAATTTGGTTGACTGTATTTTATAAACTTTTACTTTCATATATACAATCCAGGCCAAAACTCATGTGGACACTTAATCCACTTTTGCAAAAATCATAACAAACACCTAAAACTTGAATTTACTTGCACATCCCCCACTCCCCATCTTCAATGTTGCATATCCGACTTAACCACACTTCATATTTGATGAAAAATCCCATTCAACATTGGCTTGGGGGAGCGGGGGGATAATTATTTAGAAAAACACCATTCGAGGCCAAATTCTGTGGGTTGTCCACAACGTTTTGTCCAGGATTGTAGTTATAACTATAGGGGTCTTAAATAAAAACCTGTTAAGGTTTCTGGTAGGCCCCTAGCCATATTATTAATTAAGTAATAAAATTGTAAATATGTTATGATATATGGGCAAAACTAATTAAAAAAATTACGCTTACCTAAATATACAATTCGCCTAGACTATTTATCTTTTACAACAATTGTGATATTACTTTTCTGAACTGTGTTCATCCTAACCCACTATGTCAACTTCTTAATTTCTATGGAAATTGGAGCACCCGGAAAAAACCCACTGAGCTTTACTATATTACTGGAGGAGGTGTTCCTATCTCTCCTCAGTCAAACAAGTGTCGCCAAAAACATGGCGGATTTTCACGTTTGCTGACGCCAGAATGACGCCACTGGTTACGCCACGGATAAAATTGGTACCCGTCCCACTTTTTTGGCTCTTGGACTACCTAAATAGGTAGTCCAAGAACCAAAAAAGTGGTATGGGTACCAATTTTATCCCTTCTATCCAACGTTATACCTTGGACTACCTAAATAGGTAGTCCAAGAGCCAAAAAAGTGGTATGGGTACCAATTTTATCCCTTTTGTCCAATTTTATACCTTGGACTACCTAAATAGGTAGTCCAAGAACCAAAAAAGTGGTATGGGTGCCAATTTTATCCGTGCCGTACCAAACATTGAGCGTGGTGTAAACGGGGCTTCACTCCTGAATATTTCACTTTGAAGGTCATGTTCACTGACCCAAGTGTTATGTACTCAGGTGAATATGTTTTTTTTTTATGTTACTCTGAGTGTATATCCACACCGCGGGCAGGCTGAAAAGTTAGCCTGCATGACCACGATGGGAATCGAACCTGCGACCTATGGGATACTAGTCCATGCTCTGCCAACTGAACTACGAGGCCATGTCTGTTCGAGTGTGTGGTATTTCGGAACTACGTCTATAGTTCTTTCGAGTGCCTTTAGGCAGTGAAAAGTAAATAATACAATACCTATGTGTTTCTTGAACTGCATTGTTGTAGGGGTTACAGTCATACTTGTTTCTAGAAGAGAAAAGAAACAAAAGTGAATTCAGTTAAAGAAGACAACCTACCAAGAGACCATGCAAAGTACTTGGATATACAACGACGACAAAAACAACGACAACGACAACGACAACGACAACGACAACGACAACGACAACGACAACGACAACAGCAACAGCAACAGCAACAACAACAACAACAGCAACAGCAACAGCAACAGCAACAACAACAACAACTGCGAAAAGAAATTGTTACTATACCTTTCACAGATGAAGGACTTTTTACAAAATTCCTTCGAGAATTGAATACTAGAGTTTTAAATGCATTCATAGTATCAGCAACTGCAATGGAACTTGGGCGAATAATACGGGCATTTTCTTTCAACGATTCTATAAAAGAAAAATTCATAGCTACATATGACCGGACATTATATAGAACACAGACTACACGAGCAGGAGTTCTTTATCATGCAGATATAAATTATAAAACACGAGAGCGCAGCTCGAGACTTCGACCCAACTAAAGAGTTCATTGACGAAATGATTTCAAAAATAAACGTTGTTGAAGCCGAAAAAATCAAAGCTAAAGTTTATGTAAATGAACATAATTTTTTATCACATATAAAACCACCGGCACGGCAGTGATTTCCTTTGTCTTTTCCTCATGAATTATGAATGAGGTTTTTAATAATATTAGCTAATTATCACTTATTTACTGAGACCGAGGGAAACAGTGTGTTTTGTGGACCCGAGACCGCTTCGCCTCGGGCAACAACGGCGGCCGAGGGGCCACAAAACACACTGCTTTCCCGAGGTCTCAGTAAATAAGTGTTTAGTTATATAGTATATAAGTGTCAAAGTATGAATAATTCACCGGTTATTGGAGTGAACTTATTTTGAAACCAAAACTGGATAAATGGAACGCCGTAAGTGTTTAGTAAAAAATTTAAAAAATGAACTTTGGAACTTCACGATTGACACGCATGCGTATTGCACCCATTTTATTATTGACCGGTCAATAAATGTTTCATTGCGGACCGGTTGCCTAACATGACATTTTGTTGACCGGCACGTGACACGGTTTTAACCAATCGGCAAACACAAAAATTGAAATTTGACTCTAACTATATAACAACAATATTTATTTCCGTTGGCTTTGCTAAATGTAATTACGAAGTCTTTGAAGTGTTGTTTGCACAGAGGGTTTTCAAAGATTATTGAAACATTTTATTTTGGGAAATTCGATAATCTCTATCACGATCTACTACCATACTTGCCAAAAGTACATTTACCACATACAAGAAGATGTTTGATACAACTATATAGCCGTATATTTGTTTTAGTTTGTGGACAACCCCAATAATACTCTCTCGCTTCCGGCACCCAATAAAATTAATGTTCGAGGAGAAATGTCATTTTCATATAACAACAATGACAATCTAATAATATAGTCACAACCACAAAATACATCATTATCTAATTAGCATGAACCAATAAAAAAGATACATTAAATATGACCTAATAGGCCAGCGAGAAAAATAAAGGTCTGACGCTGATTAGTTGATGGAAAACACCACGTGCCGTATGTATTATACAATAGGGCCTAATATATTAAATATAGGATAATATATTATTATATCCTTACATATTACGACTTACAGAAATATATTTTTGTTATAAAATACACGAGTTCTTCACATTACCTGCATTTGTAACCACACAACACCAGAGAACAGATATAACTTCAAAGAACTTCATCGTAAAAGTCCACTTTATCCCGTTTCATGCATATATACTGACTGGTGCTGCTACAAGAATGGTTTAAAATTAAAGATTAATAACTATTAACGTTTTTGCACAAGTGAACATAATAAATCCTACAACCTGATTGGTCAGATTTGACGTATTAAGTTGTTATATTCACCTACAGGCGAATATAACAAAATTGAAATTTTCAAAATGGCGGCTAGCCGTTTTGTGGAAGTTTACTGATAAAGAAATGAGCATAATTAAAATAAATTCAGTATCAAATAACATGAAAGACCTGTGTAAAAATACTAAAACAATTATTCGCCTCAGGCTTGGTGATTATCGGGAATATTCACCTCGACTTCGTCTCGGCGAATATTCCCTGATAATCACCTCGCCTTCGGCGAATAATTGTTAATCATCGAGAGCCAAACAAATCACTTCATCATTCAATGTTTAACTCATTAATGTACAAATAAGACTCTCCCGTTGATGGGTAAAATCGCCTGGCGTTAAACGACGTTTTTGACAGCACGGACGCCACGTCATCCCTGAAAAGACTGGATCGAGTACGGAGTTCTTGTTGCAAATTTAACATAGTATATGAATTGGGCACAAAATCAAATCGTTTTCGGTCCATTGCTTTCAGCAGCGCAGGCTTATTTCCTGCTCGATGATACCTGACTCAGCAATCTTGGATAAAGTGGTTGTACTATTCTTGTACTATTATCAATGTACTGTTGTTATACTAATGTTATAGTATTGTAATAATATTGTAGTTCTATTGTAAATTTCATATATCTTCTGTCCATCGAGTTGTGAGAATGGTGGTCCTGGAGATGGTTTTTTGAGTCCCAGAGGTCGGTCCAAGACTGACAAAGCCAAATTAAGCCAATTTCCAAATATGAGCTCGAAAGGATGCATTGATCATGTTTGTGACGGCTGGGGATAATATATCAGAGAACTACAATAGGTTCATCGTGATCCGTCAGCGCGCATACATGTACGTCCTCCGATCGATAACGGCGTATAATCGTTCATTACACTAGCAAAGGCTTCCATAATTTCATTGGCTAGTTCCTCGTCACTGCTGTCTCCGTATTTGTTCTTAAAATCGACCGAAAATCTCTTCTCGTTGTTTTAGACGTGTCACAAAACTGCTTTACTTCTCGCCACCAATCACGGAGTCTGATATGCTGTAGATCTATTCGTGTCGCATTAAATTTTGTCGTTGATTTCTTACAGGACCATTGATCGCTGTTGTCATTTGTTGTTGAGAACGCTTTAGAAGGGGACATTGCTGCTGTTGGACTTGAGACCGGTAAGGAGGGGCATTCCGAGGGAGCCGCCGAAAATGGATGTACATGATTGTATTGGGGACCTATTTGATTCAGGAAAGTTCTTTTATTTTCCAAGTATTAGATATAGAGGCATCCAACTTTTTAAGTGGTTTTGATATTTCAATTAATGGTAATTTGTTTATCCACTCCGGTGGCTTAATCTCGTTCCCCGAGCCTGCGATCCTCGGGAAGGAACATGAGGCTCTGGGATAATCCGTTTCAGGGAGGAATCTGATTGGCCGTTAATATGGAATGCGCAGTTCGGTCTTAGCCAGGATTCCTGGCTTCCGTCAACGGATTATCCCAGAGCCTCACGTTCCTTCCCGAGGATCGCAGGCTCGGAGAACGAGATTGTCTGGCGGCTGTGTTGAGAGTATGCAATGCTGGAGGACCTCAGCAAATCCAATTAAATTATTATCGCTATCATTGGTCTTGCTCGTGTTTGGTTTCTCATTGTTACACGCAGATAGTAGCAAATCGAAGCAAATCGGCTTTTGTGCTTGGCTTATACGGGTATATTTTGTTTTATTGCTCACCGGATGATTTGTATTATCGTTTGCCAGTTCAGTCAGGTCAAGACGGCCGTAATCGATTTGTTCGCATTCGTTGCGCTGATTTGGACTTGGCGAAACTCCGCTGATTCATTTTGATTTCAAACGTTTATCTGAATTTATGTGCAAATTATTGCTCTTAAGGATTTGTTACTCGCTTCAGTTGCCTTAACTGTAGTCTTAAGGGAAGCAATAGCGTTATTCAATTTGTTTATTTCCTGGTTTCTTTCTCTGGCTAAAATAGTCAAATTTTTTTCAAGTTGCTTACATTTTTCCCTTTCGTTATAAAGATATTTTTTAAGATGAGCTATTTCGTCTTTCTCCAGTACGTTATTAAATGTTTCTGCTGGCACCCTATTGTCTGAGATTGTCCTCGGCACTCAAGCGTTCATTACAACCCGCACGAAATAATATAAAAACACTGTAGTGTTGCTTTTTTGTAGTACGTTATTTGCGCCTGGGTACGAGGCTGCCTCGCCAACACTTTGGCTGCAACCGCAGAACACCATTGACTGTCATAAATCAAGCAAAACTGATGTGAGGGAGAAGTTGAATATTATTTTTAATGCCTAACGCATAATGATATTTGATTACAAACTTGATCACAAGGGGGCCAAATATTTAACAATGATTCGACTAAAAAAGCTCGCAGAATAGTTCCAAAACACTCGAAACACTCAACCACTCCGGATTTGCTTTGTCTCGTTTCACAATATCCGTTCGCAATCGTTCTGTAATGCATGCATCACCGTCCTTACCTTGAAAGATCAAAGAGTTTTGTTTCCTTGGGTACCACGTAAAACTGAGTTTGGCATTGGAGCTTGTAACTGACTTTTTTCTTTACCGCCAGGCGAAGTTCATTCTCCCTCAAGACGAAAAATTTCGGATGTTCTTCGTTTCAATAAAGTTAAATCTCCGTTCCATTTGATTCTCTTTCTGTCATGATAAAGGTTTGAAAAAATTTCATAAAAACGTTAAAAGGTTAAAACATACGGCACCACTTGGACAATTTTCTTGGTTATGCCATGAGACACGTTTGCAATCCGCCATATTGTTACTTAGCGTCCTAATGAAATAGCTCGTAAGTTCGCGAACTTTTTCAAGTTTGACGCCGAGTAAATCACATTGCTCAGTATGGATGACATATTGTGCTTTTAAATTAAAGTGCCTATGGCCCGTTTCATACGCCGTACTTCACATGTGCCGAATACATTAAAGACAATAGATAATGAGCTGAAATGCCTCATTATCTATTGTTTTTAATGCATTCGGCACATGTGAAGTACGGCGTATGAAACGGGCCTAAGACACGAAATTTTGTCCCAAATGTTTATGATTGCATTGTAAAGATCACTTAAAATGACTTAGTAACTTCTTTTACAGAATTTTAGTAACTTGCTTCCTTTGCAAGATATTCAACTTCGTTTCATATGCAAATATCACCGGTGTGACATCACATCGCATAATGACATTTTGAAAACGCAATATTTTACCTTAATAAAATATTTTTGCAAACAAATACAGAGGGTTAATTACCAGTTATTAAATTAATACATATACAAGGGTAATTTTTAAGTTTTTTAGATACGTATTCGTCAAAAAAGTATACTTTTCTGAAAACTCATTATGTGATGTGATGAGTCACGCCGGTGATATTTGCACATAAAACATTAAAGTTGAATATCTTTCATGGAAAGGGGCAAGTTACCAAAATTCTATAAAAGAAATTTTTAAGTCATTTTAAGTGATCTTTACTTACTGCAACCATAAACCTTTGGGGTGAAATTTTGTGTCATAGGCACTTTAAGGCAAAACGGCAACGATATTTGTATCAACTATATTGTATTATTTAGCTAGCACATCTCAGTGGTCTCCCAACAACAACAATGAAGTATAGCTTAGTACGTAATACACCTTTACTTAAACAGAGTAGTCCTGTAAGCGACAAAAAGTCACTGCTATCAATAGGAGCTCTGATATACAAGTAAAAATAATACATATGTTCAATAATTTATAAATGTAAGAGTTCTATAATATAAATTCAAGTTCAATACGAGCAAAAGGTTCAAAGCTAAAAATTCTATACTATATTAAAAAGTCATGAAGAAAGCTTAGGGTGCTTTATGTCAATTCGTTGACTATACTGCTAGCTTAAAAGTGTTTAAAAGAACGTTAAATACTATCGAGAGGCATATAATTATAAACAAACTTATTAATAAGTTTTTGTTGGTAGGGATACATGCAACTATTTGAAAAATATAAGGTTCCACGTTTCGTCTACTCTTTCGCTAATAACTCCAGACCTTCTGAATAAGAAGTTTAAGATCTTGACGACGAACTACCGACTACGTTTGAAATAGTTTTTGTTGTATGTATATGCAAATAATAAATGCTTGTCATAACACATTTATCCCAAATATGTCTATGTGCATGACTTTGTGTTCGGCAAGTTTCATCTTTTAATTTTCATCATTTCTTTATAAAAAATACTCTCTAACCTGCAACGTTGCGTCGTCAGTTTCGGCGCTATGTTCTTGATTCTGTTTTACAACACAAGAATGTGATTTTTACCCTGTAGCCATGCAAGATCGCTACGGTGAAAAGTATGCTCTGGGGATATGTAAATTTTGTCTGCCTTTGTTAAAGCAATGCGAAAACAAGCTTATTTTCAACCGTACGCGGTACCCGTTGTTCGTTGTCGCCGGGATCTTAAACTCCCTATATTAACTCTGAACGAAGGGCCTTCTCTCGAAACGTCGAAATTCTCCTTATATTTTTCAGGTAGTTGCATCCCTACGAATTAAAGCTTGTGAATATTATTGTTAATTACCCCCTCCAGTGGCCAAGTATTTTAAGAATATTAAAGTAGGAATATTGAACAAAACAAGCAGGAATATTGAATTTTGAAGTAAAAATATTCCCGTTGATTGCTATTGAGTATTGTATTGCCTGTCGAAATCACTATTAGGGAGTTAAACGAATGTAAGACGGCGACGTCAAGACGACGGCAAAGCAAACTGTGTGAAACAAATGATTGTATGGAAATCTTGCTTATACTTCCGTATGAATTTAAAATAGTTTCGAACGAGTAAAGCAGAGCTTCATCCTTCAGAGCGATGTTGATCAACTCTTCCAAAAAAACTACCTGTCGCGGCTTGAAATGCCAGCGTACTATATACAAGACGTAAAACTGAATAGTAGGCATTTCGTCGTTGTCAACAGAGCTTGGACAACGTCTAAAATTAATTCTAGACTTCTAATTACTCATTTCCTTTTGTGCTATAGGATTGATATCATTGTATTGATAGCCGTCGTTCTGATTTCGCCGTTTTATATTCGTAAACTCCCTATTGTACCATCCATTAAACCGGCTACGACTAAAGTACCAGTTAATTTGGTTAAAACGAATAAAACTCTGCCGTTCCAGCGATCGTCAGATGCTAACAACACAACATTTTCCGGTCTGATAACAATTGCCAAACAAAATGAGAGAACAAAATTACTTATATATGGACGTCAAAATGTTACATTACTGAGCATTACTGAATATTATACCGAAAAGTACCTTGCTTTCTTCACCGAAACCCTTAATTGAGTAGCAATAGTCAGTGTATTCACATAAGACAACCCACGTACACGACTTCGAACGTTTTAACTATTGGCGTGGCTATGAGTGGTGAATATAATGTAAATAATCTATCAGTTTGAATAGCTACGGCGTACTAGAATGCTCAAGGGAGTACAATTTATTGTCGCCTTTGTCTAAGGCAAAAATTCTATTAATTGTTGATGAACTCGTCCTCATTGACGTCACCGTTGAGTTTGAGTTATTTGGCAAGCTCACTATGAAACTTTACATTTTTAACATTTAATAATAAAATACAACATACCTAGACTGGCAGAAGATGTTTGTCCTCGTCAACCAAAGTAAAATAAGGCTTTTTAAACCAGCAGTGTAGCCCACCAATAACTGTCACGCAAGTATAAGTTGTGTATTTTAAGGGAAATCCCTAGGAAGTTCCAAGAATATAAAAATAGTTTCTATTATTATGACATAATGCCATTATTAATGGTTGACAATTGCTGTTTGCAGAACGAAATAGACAGGCCCAGACCGAAACGCGAAACCGATCGGCGAAACCTTGTAAATCGCAAAGTGTTTCGAATAGGCTTACATGCAACTGCATCTCAACATCAACCAAAAGATAATTTTCTTGAGGAACATATAACGTATCAAGTCTGTTTGAAATTAATGAAACTCAAGTAAAGGCTATACTATAGTTTACCCGAGTCGTAATTCCAACACCTCACGACAAGCAATCCCCATTGGCATAACGAAAAAACATCTCTTCTTTCAAGTAAACAATAAACAGTCTGTTCTTGTTCCATTTATAATCCAAAAAAGTGATCAATTTTCGAATTTTGAGCTTTAATATCGAGAGCCTTTGTGATGAATCACTGACCTAATTATAGAATCCAACAGCAAACAGCCAATCAGAATGCCGCGTTCGTGGGCGAACGCGGAAAGTACAAAATACCGGGCCTTGCTTGCAGGCCCACTATCAGTTCCCTTGGGCTTGCACGCGGGCTATTTATAATTTAAATTGTGTTTGATATTTATATTTCATAATGCCATTATTAATGGTTGACAATTGCTGTTTGCAGAACGAAATAGACAGGCCCAGACCAGCACACGATGTGGCAACGCGATTTTTGGAAAGCAGATAAAACCGCCTATGCAAGCAAATCTTAAAAGATATGTATGTCAAAAAACTCAAAATGTTATGACGCTTCTCAGTATTTAACAAAATCAAAGCAAACTGCAAGGAGGACACATTTAAGCGCTTTTTCACATGAGAAGACTGGACCTAGCCAAATTGGGAGCGTGGCGAAGGAAGAGATTTACACGACATCCGCCTCTTGACCAAAGATATTATAAAAGAACAGAGTGGGTATTCCGGGAAAAATCGAGGGACAAATTGAAGCGTCCTGTGGGGGTTAATAACGCTCTCTGATTGGCTAAAACCTCGTTGCCCGGATGTAAATTCTCATACCCGGATGGAAAGCAGCTATATGTTCACGAGGAGCGGGAAATTACGAAAATAATACAACTTTGAAAACATCGATTTTTTCCAGTTTTGGCATAGTTCAAATATGGACTAAAAACGCAAAATCAACAAGAATACCTGGACTTTAATACAAAACAAATTTTGGAACGGTAGAAATATTTCATGTTGAAGAGCGGTTTCTTCGTGACTTTAATTGACACGTCCAAATTTTTATTATTTTCCACCATATAGAATGTGTAAATATATTCGCCACAAATAAATGTAAAACAGTCTGGACCACTGCGATGCCCAGCAATTGAATATTGAAAACCATGTTATTTGATATCAATAAAAGAGTCGTACTTAGATACTAAGGATATATGGATTCTTCGACTAAAGAGTAAAACTAAATTATACTCTGTAAAATAATTTAGTAATAAAAATTGTTTTGGCATGACGTCATTAATACATAAATAATTATATATAATAATTATTAATGACGTCACCCACGAGTTGGTATATGGCCCATCAACCTCTTCGGGACTTTTGGATAACAATTATACTGTGGTCAAAACTGATCTGAAATATAGGTCTGGATAGTGGATCTGCTATAGTGTTTGTTATGCATAAATGAAACCAATTAAATGGTGATCATATTGGTGTCAGCACTACCACAAATCTACTGTAATTACTAATGAGATCAAACCAATATGGCTACTTCAAGGCTCATTATATATTGTGTTTAAAACGTTCTAAACACATTAGCAGAGATATGGGAAGCTGTGTCTTTCACACTATATATAGTAAAAGACACTTGTTTGTTAGTGCAGCTAATTTAAACACCAATTAGTTATCCTGTTTACAGAGACTTTGACACACTTTAACATCCCATGTCATTAAAAATATTCTGGCTTCAAAATGGTCTCATTGAATTTAGAAGGATGCTTTATCCAGGCCTATAGTTTACAGATCAGTGCACATGGCCCATCAACCTCTTCGGGTGATAATTCTTCGATGGTTATCATAAGTTTCTCCACTCCCCTGTGATAACTGGTTTGATCAAGTCTAACTGTTGGATTTCTTCTAAGCAGCGAGCCAGCTTTTCCCGTGAGAAGTCTTCCTTGTTGTTGAAAATGGTTAAAATTTTCTCGGCTCGAGAACGATTGTCATTGTATATGAGGCTATATCGAATATCATCTCTTTCTGCTCTGGGTATATCCATAAGACCAGCGAGGTGGTCCCACTCAACCACAATGCGTCGGCCAAGTCTGGATATTTCACGTGGGGAGAGAGGTGTGTGTAGTAAATCTTCCTCGATGAGTACAGGTGGCGTTGGTGATGTTTCTATTTCTTCACTTTCATTCTGTTTAGAGAAAAGCAATCTGGTTCATTGGTTGGTTATCATTAACAACAAAAACTCGTCTGCTTTGAATTCGTGCAAATTAGGATGGGAAATTTTGATTAGAAACTCCCGTTCGGGATCAAGATGCACGTTATTTCCTCATAGCTGTGGCGTAGGCAGCCCGATGATTCAGTCCCGCTATGCAAATATTGTCATGTTTATAAACTATCAACACAATAAATTTATAAAGAAATGAATGATGATAATGAATTGAAATTTGCATAGCGGAACTAAATCATTGGGCTGGTTACGTTATAAATTTTAAAATGCTCTAAAACATGGTAAAGGTGTAAATGGAAAATAGATGACGGTATGAAACGTTCTACCCAGAAAAAGAAACCAACTTTTTCAGGCAAACCGAAATTATAATTAATAATTACCAAACCATGCATGGTATTCCAACACTCTTTTTGTTGAACAAAATGAAACTTATATAAACAAGGAAGCATAGACGAAGCCATGCAGTTACTTCACAGTATTATAATATCTAAGTAAAGGCATAAGCGTGATATACATATACACTTAGAAAACGATATACTGTAGAAAGAGAGTACACAGACACTGTAGTTTTTTTTTATAACGAAGAACATTTAATATTGGGAGGACAGCTCCAGTATGTATATAACACTATATGGGGCAAAGAAAACTCTTCATCATGAAATACCTGGTCTTCCACAGGAAGCATTTCTTTTTCCAAATCGTGCCGACCCAGTTCCTTGAAGTATTTTACAAGAATATGACGATCGAAAAACGTGCTGTCATTAAAAAGCTCGAAAACTTTTTCGGCTTTCGACGAAATGCTCAGATAATTCCCGTAGTCGACTCTAATTTCCTCTCGCTCAGAATACGGAATATTCATGAGTCCTGCCAAGCTGTCCCAATCAAGTCCAACCTTGCGGCTCATTCGAGTTATTTCTCCATTTGTGAGTTTTATGTTCGAATACACAACTAGAAATGGAAAACAAATGTTATTTTCTATGGTGCATGTGATTAATATCATACTTAATCTTGAAAGGAAAAAATTTAACAAACCGGTACCATCCTTCTCTTTAACCACTTATCTACGACTGAAATAAAAAGTCATGCGGGAGAGGGTTTACTCTTTCTCGACAACCGGTTTCGTATTACATTTCGATTCATTTTTTCTAATAAAAACATCTCGGCGAGTATTTACCCCCCCTTTGAATTAAATGCCACCATTGAAATCCTCACAATATAACCTTTCGAACGGGGGGTCAAGTGCCGTCAAAACATTACACAAACCGAAACATTCATATATTTATACTCACAGCTTCGCCAACCATTCAAACGGAAAAAGAGAAAAAGTTGAATATATTCTAAAATTTGGCGTCATTTTCTGAAAGGATATATGTGCAGAATACTCTTTGTATTCAAGCGCTTTAGCATAGAAAGTTTCGTATGAATACGGCGAGTAGAAATATTTATTTTGAATTTTTCAAGGTATCGGGTTTTACTCGCACGCGCTTGTATTACGTAATACTTGGCCAATAAGGAGCTCCCTTTAGCCGGGATGACGTCAAACTCACGCGTATGGGTGCACTTTGACCTGTAGAATCCATTCCTGGCATTTCCAGAGTCACGCGATACAAACTACGCATTGTTTTGACGGGTTTTCGTCGTATTTCCGGTTTGGGATTAACGCAAATTCGGGCAGAAATGCAAAATTCGGCAAGAAAACTCACGTTTTAAAGATAGAAGCTTGAAAATAACACTATACGTGTTATTTTTAACTGCTTTATTCATCAAGAATACAAGAATGAGCATACGTCTCAAGGGGCCGAAGTCTAGTTATGTTCGGCGATGTTCGGTATGTCTATGTTTATAATTTGTTAGTAATATTGTGTAATTTGATCATATATAAGCCCGTTTGACTTTCAAAGCTTATAAATCGCTACAATGTAGCCAGTGACTAAAACTATCGTTATAAATTAGAATGGTGGTATTTTCATCTACATAGCGTGTACTGAACCGAAGATATAAACGAAACATCCGTAGAACGTGCACGTTCTACGCGTAATGGACCCTGCTGAGAAAGAGTCGAAATGCAAAATATTTCGCGCGAAAACACGCTTGTGCGAAAATTTTCTCTCGTAGTGATTTCAACAACAGAGAAAAAATTTGCCAAAACATAAGCGTTTGATTGGCTTTGCTATTTCCATTTCGCAACGTGTAGAAACGAATTCAAATACCCGGCGAAGAGAAATATTTTGCAAAGAAACACTCCAAAATCATGTTGCGCGTGCGTTCGTCGTGGAATTAGGCCTTAATAGAGGATCTATGGAATTTGAAATCATTCATATGGAATCATTCATATCCGTCCAGACAAGACGTCTAATATACCTTCTGGTTCAGGGTTTGGCGCGGAGTATTGTACTAAAATTAAAATAAGAAATATGTTAGCACTGCGGAGTATAAATCATAGTACGATATAATACAATGAAATATAAAATAATATATTCTTTACCATATACAATGTGTTACATTTTGTAACTTCGTACGTTTATATAATGATCGACAGAATTCAAGCGATTTAATTGGTTGAGTATGACGATGATACATAAAAAATCCGTACGGATTCTTTTCTGGATAAGCAAATGAAAGTCTCGAAAGAGGTTTAGTTCTAGCTTTAGCAAAAGTGTTTGAAAATAATTCAAATAGGGTGGTTTGCAACCAATCTCTCAGGAGTCAGGAATGAAAAAGCAAAGGAAATCAGTGGTCATATTGATGCCACATTCAATGAAAGATAATGAATTCTTTTATTGAAATACTATATCAACATGGCTGCTATGACGTAAGATAAGATACTGATTTCAAGAGGGTGATATTATTACATACCATAGTGTTCTACCTACTCCACATTAAAACCGAACTATACAAAGACTAAGTAAAATGCTGTAACAGTAAAGTTTAAAATATTAGGAGTACATTCCGGCAAGAAAAGTGTTCAACTTTACAGTATTATTTAAGTTTAAATTGAAAGAAGACTCTCTAGTAAAGCTTTTGCATGATGCGTTTCAGCTCTTTAACCGTATTTGCCATATATTGCTGGTCATGCTATGGTAATAAATAGGTTAAAGACACTACATTTCTAAGGGTTTGAATAATGCAAATAATTAAAATTTTCCATAGCATGGCCTCTTGCTATGGCTAGCTCGCTACTGATTGCAACCGACCTTCGCGTACTGCCAAGGGTGTGAGAAGGTACATATCCTGCTTGCAAAATAAAAAAAAATCTATTTAAGATAACACCAGCTAAGAATTTTTAACGTTGTAGGACATTTCGGGTAAGCGATTGTCATGCATCTGACTATCACTCAAGGCTTACTATAGGGTGTCCGACACGAAGGCTTCGTAGGTTAGAGATCTGACCGACTCGAACCCTGACCAGTGAACTATAGTTCAGTGACCCTGACCAACTGGATCAGAGATCTGCTCAACTCTGACAGGATAAGGATTTCAAAATTTTTACTTATCAAAGTAAAGATCAAATAAGATAAAGTCTGATCGAAAATAAAGAGATCTAGAACTTTTTCACAGTTAATCGTGTTTCGAAAAGTATCCAATGTCTGACGCGTATCAGTTTGTGAACTCATTGGGTAAGTTAACTGCATTATAAGTAAAAACAACGACACAGAATGTCTCATACTTTTCAAAACAAGACTGCTAAATTTTAAATTACCTTCAGCTACTTCAACTTTAATTTTCTCTTCCATCTCACGAATATTCATTCTCCACAATGATTCATTTTCGTCCCTGCGATGTACTTCGCTTATCTTCACTTTTCCACTTGCTGGACTCTTTATTGCAATTTCTTGAAAATGATCGATAACGAAACCCACAGAGTCCAGTTGAGGCTGATCGACAATGAACGAGAAAGGAGTGTTTTCGACTCCAGGAAATTGTAAACTCATTTCAAGACGACGATCTGTGTGGACGCGCTTCAACATTCCTTTTTCTCCTTTAACGTAACCTACGTCGAGATGATCTTTTAATTGTTGAATATCTTCTCCTTTATCATCATCGGCAAATTCACTTAATAAGACCACGGATATATCTATAGTTTCCATCGTAGATAATCTACGATAGAGGGCGTATGCACGACATGTAAATGAGTGATTGAGATGACTCAAGATCCGAGCTAACATTCCGCGCGTCGACAAAATAAACATGTAAAAACAGAAACCGTTAATTTTCGTGTTACAAACCCCTTCCTCATTGCGTTCTTCGACACCATTAGTTACCAGTTCCCAAACGATCTTCTGGTAGATAGAGTTGTAAGAGCCATGTAGGATAAAAAATTCAGTATTGGAGACAGTGTTTTGAAATGCGATTGCGAGATCAGCTGGTTTCACGAATTTCAAGCCGTCTGGGAGGAATTCAACAACACGTGGGGCAGTATCGACCAGACGCAAATCGAGCAGTGATTTGATGGCAATAACCTTATCACTATTCCTCAACGTAATTTCTGTGTCTTTAGCCAGACATCCGGGACCTATTTTAAGTATAATGTCCTGGATAGCTATAACACCCCCGTCAGTGGTGATGATCTCCTTTACCAGGTCTGGTCGCATTGAAGGAGCTGGAATAAGATAAACAGCAGATCATCGTAACAGCACATTATACATATAATATAATTATTGTCGATTTCACGTTACTTTTCACAGCATGCCGATTTCCGAGTTTTGTCGTGAATATTCCCAAGTACGTTTCTTAGTTTGGAATATTGAGAGTTGAAATTGCAAAGCCAACTTCGCAAGTTGCTTACAAAATAAGAACCGTAATTGGGAATGTTTAGAAACAAATTTCAGATCCGCTCTTTGAAAAGTGACCAGAAATCGGCAATAAAATTGATTTGATCAGGGTTGGTAGATAGGTATATATATGTAGGTACGTAGGTAAACTTTATTCTCATCAACTATAAAGGTCCATGCAGAAGGGTGTCACGCTATCTACAAAATTACTTACTCTTGAACATCGATTTTGCAATTCCAGCCATTGTAGCTTCCTAAAAAATGAAATCATATAAGACCTTTGCAGTTTTCCGTTTCGATAACTTGATTTTGACTAAATTAATAACTCCTCCCACCAACCTTTTCATAAGTCTCCCCCCTTTAAACGCGCCTGACATAACTATTATAGTATATATGGTGCCCTCGAAGAGTTGTGACATGTGGGAAAAGTTCGGAGTAAACATAATTATACCAGAGTTTTGGTATAAAAGGTGCTGCGAATAGAAAGCTTGTCTTATATTTTTATTGATATAATTCAAGCAGTATAATAAAAAACTTTGCCGAATAAATAGTAGAGGACAGGGGACCGATACCAGATGTAAACATTTTCAGTGACTTTTTCAAATCACAATTACTCTTTAAATTAAGTTTAGCTGATGATGATCACATGTACCATTGGTGTTCTCATATATAGTCATATCAGCATCCATGTTTTAAGATTATGCTCAATCATACCTCTTCATCACTTGTGTCGGTGCTAGGCTGAATAAAAGAACGTAAATGTTATTTTATAGCTACTGCTGGTTAAAAAATATTGGAAAGTATATATGACTCAGCGTTATTTATTCTCATGTAATTCAGTTTCCATTTTAGGTACCTAATTTAGGTTCAGTATTGGGTAGAGTGTTTTCAAATGTAATTGCGAGATCGGCTGGGTTCAAGAATTTTAAACCGTCTGGGAGGAATTCAACAACACGTCGGGTGCAGCATCGACCAGACGCGAGTCAAGCAGCAATTTTATGGCAATATCCTTATCACTATTTCTTTAAGTTCAGCTGCATGATGTTCACATGCACCTTTAGTGCATGTAATTCAGTTTCCATTTTAAGTACTTAATTATAGTTGAATCTGTACATTCTCTTTTATGCCCCCCCCCCCCCTAAAGAAAGAGCTTCAGCAAATTTTTTGAAATCTCACTTTCTCTATAGCTGATGCTCATACTATCAAAATTATTATCTATATAGTCATATTATCGATCCAAGATAGAACTAATTTCCTATCTCCAGCAAATAGTAACTTGAACCTCTTTCGGGATAATTTTCATGTGAACTTAAAGAACGTTATAACGTTCACAAATGTCGCTCGTATTGATGGCAGCAATATAGTTGCATAGTTTGTCTTGTAGGCCTACTTTCATTGTATGTTTCGATGGATCATTAAGTTACATGTTCTTCTTTCCCGCATAGGAACAGAAAGATCCTTTCTAATTATTTCACGTTTCGATGGATTACTAATTGTCCTTACATCTCCATAAAAGTCATAAGATGTTGTTTTGTGAAAACACCAAGTTTATTTTGCAAAGCTCTCTATCCGTAGATTCAATTTCCGTTTGCGGAATGCGTTTATAGGCACCGCCATTTCGTTTTGCATTTAAAATAATAGTAAATCATATACCTGTATTTAATATTAATTAATAAAATGTGAAAAACAAACTGAACTATATATGGTGTTTGAATCCTGAGCTTGAGTAATAGTCATCATGCTAATTCGATACCTATATGGTTCTATATGGTAGATAGAACTTGTTTTTGACTAAATTTAAGAATTTCCTCCACCAATTGTTTCAAAAGTGCCTGGCATATTTATTATATAGTAGTGCCTCCCAAAGGATTTAAACTCAAATTTACAAAAAATTATCCACTGAAATTCTCACATGCCATAAATCCTGTGTTTAACAGTTAAATATAGGATTTATGGCATGTGAAAATTTCAGTGGAGTTTTAAAATTTGGTTTAGTTTAATAATTCAGCTGATGCTCATACTGAGTTTTGTATCCAGTCATATATTAAGTTTACTTTCTCGTGTGTACGATCAACAAGTTTCCCTTGACAAGTTTTGTTGCTGAAGTGTGCAGGGAATGTTAATTTTTAAACGACATTCATCTCACGTGAAGGCCGCCTTTTGTCTGCCGATAGCATTGAAGTATTTCTTGTACACTTGTGAAGTTTTCCTTCGCGGCCATACACACAAACAAATTTTCCTTGTTCAAAAACTGGCATGACTAGCTTTCGAAAAAACTCCTTGGCAAGGCAAAATTGTCAATATTTTGCCGTACACACGAGAAAATAAAACTTGTGAAGATACTCTACAAGGCGGTCATCATAAATTGGCCGCACGTAACCGAGATTAAGCAAGCGACGTTCCTGTCAACACACATGTTACCCAAAAATTGGTGGAACTAATTTTGGCGGTATTTTGCATCATAGCGCTCGTGAAAGGAAGCAAAAAAAAATTAAAAAACTTAATGTTATGTTTTGTCAGATTATCATAAACTGATACAAACTCAGTTCTCATCCAGTCTCCCCTCGAAACGTCGCTTGCTTAAGCTCTCTAATATGCCACCATGGAAAACGTTCGAAAATGAAAGCTTTATTGATCACGAGGTCGGCAAATTGTAGCGGAACCATGGATTGCCTTTAATTTGAAGTTAAATGTTTCCACCCTATGTATTCTCTGTTAAAAATAGAAGGCCGTTGTACTTGACAAGTCATGATGGAAACTTATGTACAAGCGGTGGCCATTTTGTCCCTAATTTCTGGTATAGCATTTTGGTGCACGATCGGGTAAACAACATTAAATGGGGAGGGGGAGAAAAGGAAGATATAAGAGTTTGTAATAGTATGCATGTATATCCCCTGATACTCTAAAACCGCAAGTGTCTCAACGACTTTTGAAACATTATTATTTCCAATACCATGCAATAAAGAATCAGACTGAGAACAAGCCTGAAGTATTGTTCACTTCCACTTCATTGAATAATTGCCTTATCAGAAACGAAACAAAAACAACAAAAAATAGAATTTTTTTCGAAAACAATTCCGAATTGTGCCTCCAAATAAGTACGGGACACGAAATGTATTTTACAATTTAATAGAAAATAAACTATAATTCAAACTCGCTGTTTTCAAAATCCCAAGTCACAGTCACAACATTTTCATTCCCCCCCGTTTCCTTGCACATGTTCCGCAATCCCCTACAAACTCTAAATGTCCATTGTTGTCCTCCAAAATACATTAAATGTCTACACCAAAATAACATCAATTTCCAACACAACAGATTCACCATCAGATTTTCAACAAGGCAAATTATATAAGCCAACATTCCTCCTCAACGACGTGCGAGTAAAGTTCCAAGTAAATACATGCAATACTTCTAATAGTTCTACTATCTGACCAAGTTTAAACGAAAAATGTTGAAAACTCGCAGAGTTATTTAATAAAAAACATTTCGCTGCAATAAGAAAAACATTGAAAATGTAATATTCAAATTCAATTTTCTCCCGAAATATTTTTGCGGTAATTACTGATTTTCAAACGAGTTGTGCTCCTGCGGGTTTTAACCATTTTTTCCTCAAATTTTCACAGGACATAGCTAAAGACGTCGGTTTCAAAATTGTGTTCGGCTTTCTTAAAATTTTGGATATTTTAAAAATAAAGAACAATTCACTCAAACAATTCAGAAATATATTGCAGTCGTCAAAGAAATCGCCATATCAGCGGAATGACGAAATAAACAAAAATTTCCGAACACAATTTTTTAGAACAACTATTTTACTGTATAAAAATGATATTTTCATAAATATAACTTAAAACCAGCAAGAGCACAACTCAAAAGCGTAACGATACTGCGATTTAAGATTTTCCTGAATAATTCTTACATTATTTTATTGTTTGTTAATTTTACAACTTTACCATATTTTGCATGCACTGGAGAACATTTGATGAAAATTTGATGAAAATCGAACTGATATTGAGCGCGCAGTAGCGATTTTCCGTATAAGACGCCAAAAAGGGTGTCCTGTAACCTTAAAGGGTTGTGACGTGCGGGTAAAATACCAGAGTTTTGGTATAAAAGGTGCTGTGAATAGAAATCTTGTCTTATAATCAAAAGCATTGCTAAAAATAGTCGTGGTCAAGGGATCTATACCAGATGTAAACATTTTCAGTACCTCTTTCAAATCACAATCAGTCTCTAAGTTTAGATGATGTTCACATGCATCATTGGTGTTCTTATCTAGTCATATCAGTATCACATGTAATTTCAACGGTCCATGGTTGAATAGAAGGAGGAGCTCCCCGCGACGCCTCCTTCCAAATAAGAAATAAACGTGTACTGATTACATTCATTCCTAGAAGGTCATAATTATTAGGGTATGATCTTGCATTTAAAACTAATAGTACATTATACACGTTAATTTCAATATAGTCATATAGTCACATCAGTATCCATGTTAAAATTAAGCTAAATCATACCTCTCCATCAGAATAATCATATTCACCACATATAATTTCATCACTTTTGTCAGAAACAGAACGTGCAACGGTACTTGGTTGAAAAGAAGGAGGAGCTCTCCGCGACGCCTCCTTCCAAATAAGAAATAAACGTGTACTGATTAGATTCATTCCTAGAAGGTCATAATTATTAGGGTATGATCTTGCATTTAAAACTAATAGTACATTATACACGTTAATTTCAATATATAAAATGTGAAAAACAAATTGAGCAATATATGGTATTTGAATCTTGAGCTTCGTATCGTATCGTAAAAAAATATTTCAAGACGCTAGCCTCATCAACATACGTTACTTTTGATGAAGGGCGTCGTCAATTTATATACAAAATATTTACAAGAATATACGTATAAACAAAGAAAAACTATTTATAAGAGTGCGTGCTGAATACAGGAGGTGTGACCCATACATTAGCATTAGTAACAAAATCAAGATTAATATTTTGTTTGAAAATGTGGATTGATCGTGCCTCTTTTGCTTCGAATCCGAGAAAGGCTATTCCAAAGCTTTGCCCCGCTGTAACTTTTTTTTAGGAATTCCCTTCTCGGTTTTGGGAAAGCTAAATCAGTATAGCTATATCTTAAGTTATAGTTCGCTTGCGTTAAACTACTCCCAGTCAATGATTCCGTTTCAAGTTAGGAGCAGTATAATCATTTAGAATTTTATACAGAAGAATAGACTTCATCTTCTGTCTTCTACTTTTTAAAATTTCCCAACCAAGAGTTTCAAGAACAACAGCAGATTCAATTTCGTAACTTGCGCCAGCAATTATTCTTGCCGCACGATTTTGAAATTTCTCTAGTTTATCAAGCAGTTGAGTGCCACAAATCTCCCATAGTGGAGAACAGTAATCAAAATAAGGTTAAATCAAGGCATTGTAAATCATTTGGAGTGAGCGTACTGGAATGAAATGGTTAGCCTTTTGCAACATTGCAATGCCAGATCCAACTTTTTTCAATATCTTTTCGATCTGTTTATCCCATTTGAGGTTTTCATCTAGTAATACACCCAGACATTCGAAAGAGCTATATAGTTCTACAAAGAGGTGTGTTGTTCAAGAACACAGGATAGTCGTGAGCTTTCATTAGTTAGATTGTATGACGATCCCATAATCATCTACTTAGTTTTAGTAGGAAGGTGCCGCAGTTTGTTACTGGCGAACCAATCATTGATTTGGTTTAAGTCAGAATTTGATTTATCATGCTATCAGAATTTCATATCAGAATTTAATTTATTGAGCATAGTCATCATGCTAATTTGATGTACATATGCGGTAAGGTAGAACTTGTTTTTGACTAAATTAATAGCTAAATTCCCTCACCAATTCTTTCATAAGCTAATTAATTCCCTGTTTTACATGAGCCTGACATAACTATTATATAGCAGCAAACCCAAAGGATTACAACCCAAATGTACAATAAAATTACTCCACAGCAATTTTCACATGCTATAAATTCTGTACTTAACCGTTAAATATAGGATTTATTGCATTCGAAAATTTCAATGGATTTTTAAAATTAATTTGTTATTTAATATAAAAAATAGATTTTGACAAGGGCTGTTAGCGAAAGCGTTTATACTTAAATAAATTCATAGAATCTAATGTATTTGTATGTTCTGAAAATTAATGAGGCGAGCTATACTACTAAATTATTTCGAAATCTAAAGAACAATTAAACTAGATCTTGGTCAATATTGCTTGGTGTTTTAGACTCCTATTCAATACCGACCCGATTCAAAATATGTTGCTAATAGAGTCCAAACATGGACAAAAGTGCATGTGAGCAACGAATACTCATTTGGCCGCCCATAACCGAGATGAATCATGCAAGCGCAACACAGACGTCACCCGAAAATTGGTATAACTAATTTAGAAGATTTTCAAGATTTTCAAGAAAAAAGTTTAAAAAAGTTTTAGAAAAGTTTTAAAAAAGTTTAAAAAAGAAAACAAAAGTTAAAAAAGTTAAATTAGGGTTAGGGTTATCCGGTTAGTGGTTAGGGTTGGGGTTAGTGTTAGGGGTTAGGTGCCGCAAATTTATTATCATTATGATAAATTCAAAATGTGCCGCGAATTTATCATAATGATAAATTCGGACGTGTTTAAGAATTTACTCATATAGTAAATTCAAAGGTGGAGCTCGTGCTGGAATTTTGCATCATAGTCCTCGTAATGTTATGCTTTGTCAGATTACCACAAACGGACCCAAAACAGTTCTTAATCCAGTCCCCCTTGGTTATCTGACATCCGTGTTGACAATAACGTCGCTTGCTTAAGCTCCCTAATATGCCAAAAGTTCGAAAATAAAAGCTTTATTGATTACCAGGTCGGCAAATTGCAGCGGAACTCCTGGATTGCCATAATTTCAGGTTAAACGTTTCCACCCTATGTATTCTCTGTTAAAAATAGAAGGCCGTTGTACTTGACAAGTCATGATGGAAACTTATATACAAGCGATGGCCATTTTGTCCGTAACTTCTGGTAGCACTTTCCGGAGTTTCGTGCACGATCGGGTAAACAACATTGAATGGGGAGGGGGGGGGGAGGGAGATATGTGTTTGTAATAATATGCATATATATCCCCTGATACTCTCAACAACTTTTGAAACATTGTATGAATACCAATAAAAAATCAGACTGAGAACAAGCCTGTTCACTTCCACTTCACTGAATAATTGCCTCATCAGAAACGAAACAGAAACAACAAAAAATTGTAAAATTGTATTACAACAGATTCACCATCAGATTTTCATCAAGACAAATTATATAAGCCAACATTCCACCTTAGCGACCTGCGAGTAAAGTTCCAAGTCAATACATGCAATACCACAAACAACTGAGTCCCCCCCCCCCACAGTGTCTACGACCTTGGCCTGACATAACTATTATATAGTATATTGCCCTCAAAGTTGTGACGTGCGGGTAAAATACCAGAGTTTTAATTAATATAAAAGGTGCTGTGAATAAAATTCTTGTCTTATATCCTTATTGATAGAATTCAAGCAGTAAAATCAAACGCTTTGCAAAATATTGGCAAATAAATGGTCGTGGTCAAGGGACCTATACCAGATGTAAATATTTTCAGTGACTTTTTCAAATCACAATTAGTATTTAAGTTCAGCTGATGTTCACATGCATCATTGGTGTTCTTATCTGGTCTTAGTTCATATTTGTGCGGATATCTATTGTTCTCAATAGGGTTTTATTTGGGTAAGAATCTAAAAGCAAGGGGAGGGATTTGATATCTCCACAGGGAAAAGCGGGGTTGATGAATAGAATTGAATGCCTAATTAAAAATGCAAGGTATCTAACTCCATAGTGACCCCTTTTGGAGGTCACTATGGAGTTAGATACCTTGAATTTTTAACCAGACTCAAACCCCACATCTCCTTTTCGACTAGAAAACGCTGCACGTCTCTGAGTCGAGAAAGAGACAACAGCCGTGTACCTCAAAGCCCGTCAAACTCTACCTTTGGGTAGAATATTTATCATTCGGTGCACGAGGACTAGCTGAACGGACCATTAAACTTGCTTGTGCAAGGAATTTATACAGTAATATCTGCTCTTTCGCTTGTGGGACGCGAAATGATATACTACGCATGCTCAACCACATTAAAGCGTGTTTAATGCGCATGTTCAACCTTATTTCGTCCCACAACCTCCCAAGGACAATAAAAAATGGTCGGTCTTTCATTGAAATTCAAGCCTCGGTGCTGCACGCCTCGGTCTTGAATTTCAATGAAAGACCTCCCATTTGGTTTTTATCCTGCAAATAAAACCCTGTTGAGAACAACTTGAGAATCTCTGCTTCGACAAACCCGTACAAATCTTCGTTAGCTCTTCTCGGTTGTATGAGCTATTTCAAACATATTTCATCGTAATTGTGGTTGGTGAACGAATATTTAATCACTTCTCATTGATAGTATACAGTAGTGCGACACGAGAATTGATGCATATCAAAATAGCCCTGTTTGTTTTTATTACAACCATGGTAATTCAAACTCATTTAAAGAACAATACATATCATAAAGTAAATTTCATTGTGGGTCAATCCTTAAAAATATGAACTAAGTTAGTTAGATACCTCAAACGTCGGCTCTTAGTCAGATAAATCCCTCGGGGCCTACGGCCCCTCGGGTTTGTATCTGACTAAGAGCCTCCGTTTTCGGTATCTAACTCTTACATATCAGTATCCATGTTAAAATTAAGCTAAATCGTACCTCTGCCAGATCAGGATCATTACCAAACAATTCATCACTTGTGCGAATTTTCGCAGAACGTGTACTGCTGACGGCCTTTGAAATACTACGAACAAGAGAACTCCGTCGTGTCTGCTTCCAAATAAAAAACAAACGTGTAAGGATATGAGCTTGCATTAAAAACTAATAGTACATTATACAGGTTAATTTCAATAAATAAAATGTGAAAAACAAATTGAACTATATATATATATATATATATATATATATATATATATATATATATATATATATATATATATATATATATATATATATATATATATATATATGGTATTTGAATCCTGCCTGAGCTTGAGCATAGTTATAAGGTAAGGTAGAACTTGTTTTTGACTAAATTAAAAACTCCCCTCGCCAATTCTTTCACAACTACTTAATTCCATCTTTTAAATGTTCCTGACATAACTATTATATAGTAGTGACCCCAAAGGATTAAAACTCAAATTTACAAAAACTCACTCCACTGCAATTTTTACATGCATGCCATAAATTCTGTATTTAACCGTTAACTATAGGATTTATTTACACACGAACAAGCTTTGAGGGAACAATGCTTCTTGTCAAGGAGAAATTGCCCCAAGTTTTTACCATACATGCACACGAGAAAACAAAACTTGTCAAGAAGAGCTTGTCAGGAAAAATTACCGAGACAGGCGCTTGACCAACAGTAACAGTACCAGCATGACCAAACATTACTCCCTCATCATGCCACTAAAAATATAAAAAATAAATGTATTAATTGTGACAAGGGCGGTTAGCGAAAGCGTTTATACGTATGTTCTGAATAATGAGATGAGCTATACTACTAAATATCATCAAAAACCTCTTGTGTGATCAGTGAAATTTAAATTAAAAACACAAAATTATTTAATATGAATATGCAGAGGTCAAAGTTTCAGAAAAACAATTAAAAAACTTGTCAACTTGCTATGTTCCCCGACATCGAAGGGATAGGAAAACCATGATGAAGTTGCTTGATTAATTTTTCATTGCCAGAACTCCTTGTCGCTTCCGGGGCTGACAGACAAGTATTAAAAAATCCTAAGAAAAAGTTCTCTATACAAGGTGTCCCCGTAATGCTATAATTTCAAGTTAAATGTTTCTACTCTTCCCTATGTATTTGCTTTTAAAAATATATGGGTCATTTTTGCACACTTCCAATATGCATTGTTATATAACTAGAGTGAACACTAAACGTAATTGCCTGATTTGTGGTCACGTGGCTTTACATAAATGCAATTAGCCTTTCCCAAAAGAGATCACAGTGCATTCTGGGATCGTTTGGAGGGACAACATGTATGGTGACAGGTGTCACATTTCCATATTAAGTACCTAATTTAAGTTCAGTATTGGAGAGAGTGTTTTGAAATGTGATTGTGAGATCGGCTGGGTTCAAGAATTTTAAGCCGTCTGGGAAGAATTTAACAACACGTGTTGCAGCATCGATCAGACGCAAGTCAAGCAGCGATTTTATGGCAATATCCTTATCACTATTTCTTTAAGTTCGGCTGATGTTCACATGCACCTTTGGTGTTCTTTAGTTCTTATCCAGTCATATCATGCAATATCCATGTTAAAATTATGCCAAATCATACCACGGTATTTATACTCACTATTGTTTGATCATCATGATATGCGTCAGATACGTAAGCTGCATACTCGTCGCTTGACTGAATAGAAGAAAGTAAATGTTATTCCATAACTACTGGTGAGTGCTGGTTAAAAATATTGAAATGTATATATGGCTCAGCGTCATTTATTCCCATATTAAGTACTTAATTTGTTGTAACTTTAAATTCTCTATATCAAGTCCTATCCCCCCGAGCTAAACCCCACTCCTTCAAGAAACCCCATCCCCCCTCGCTAATCCCCACTCCTTCAACTGTAAATTATATTTTAAGCCGCTGCTAAAGAGAGAGCTTTAGTGATTTTTTGAAATCTTACCGGAGTTCTCTTTAGCTGATGCTCACACTATCAAAATTATTATCTATATAGTCTTATTATACCAATCCAAGATAAATCTAATAATTATTGACTCCTTATCTCCACAATGTGATAACTTCTTTCGGGTGTTCTTATCTAGTTATAACAAGACAGTATGTATTCTGAAATTATTCTAAACCATACTGCAGAAGCCAAATCTTCGGAAACAAAATTTTCTCTGTCCAAAACAGAAAATGTGGGGGCTCTGCATCGAAGATGAGCATGAATGAATGTCTGAATGGATGATTTCAGCTATAGAGTAATTTTTATCTACACAAGAAAGACGAAATCCGTCATTATAGCTCAAAAGAGCATTCTAAAATCAGTAGTAAAATTGAAAAGTTTGGTTGCGAAATGTTGTAAAATACGAATTCCGCTCAAAAGTGGTGCATTTTTTCCTCGCGTAATGACTAAAATACTCAAAATTTGCTAATTTCACAGGGCTATATTTTTCGTATTTTACAACATTTCGACCAAACTCTGCAATTTTACTGACTGTAGGATGCTCTTTTGAGCTATAATGATAGATTTCGTCTTTCTTGTCTACATAAAAAATTAGTCGAGCAGGAATCATCCATTGAAGAACGTAAATGATTTTTATAACTACTGCGGACAAAATTTCATGTAACTTAACAAATTTTCATGTCATTCAGTTTCCATTTTAAGTACTTTATTATAGTTGAAACTGTACATTCTCCTTTAAGCCCTCCACTGCTATAGAAAGAACTTCAGTTATTTTTTTGAAATCTCACTTTCTCTAGCTATAGCTGATGCTCATAGTATCAAAATTATTATCTATATAGTTGTATATTACCGATCCAAGATAGAACTAATTTCCTATCTCCAACAATTAATAACTTGAACGCCTTTCGGGATAATTTTCATGCGAACTTAGAACGTTATAACGTTCACAAATGTCACTAGTATTGATGGCAGCAATATAGTTGCATAGTTTGTCTTGTACTTTCATTATATGTTTCGATGGATCATTAAGTGTTCTTCTTTCCCGCATAGGAACAGAAAGATCCTTTCTACATTATTTCACGTTTCGACGGATTACTAATTGTCCTTACTTTTCTGACATCTCCATAAAAAGTCATAAGATGTTGTTTTGTGAAAACACCAAGTTATTTTTGCAAAGCTCTCGATTCGTAGATTCAAATTCCGTTTGCGAAATGCGTTTATATAGGCACCGCCATTTCGTTTTGCATTTAAAATAATAGTAAATCATACTTGTATTTAACAAATTGAACTATATATGGTATTTGAATCCTGAGCTTGAGTATAGTCATCATGCTAATTTGATACCTATATCGGTTCTATATGGTACGGTAGGTAGAACTTGTTTTTGGCTAAATTTAGGAATCCCCCCCCCCTCCCCCAATTATTTCAAACGTGCCTGACATAATTATTATATAGTAGTGCCTCTCAAAGGATATTTTTACGCCTATGAAAGTATGCAAGTCTATACTATAGATTCATCATCAGTCAACAACCAAACTGAAAATTTTGAACCTTATAGAACGATAGTTTTTATGTGTTTACAACTATACATATTCAACGGGTATATATTAAGAGTTTAACTGTTATTTAATAATTACTGCATCAACCGGCCCATACCCCTAGTTTATACTTTGGAGATCTTTGTAGGTTCGTATCAACCTCGTTCCCAGGGCTTCAGTGTGGGACCAGGCGAGACACGAGGAAGCCCTGGTCCGGTCCGGTCACGTGACGTCAAAAAATGGCAGTATTTGACAGCTACTCGTCAAGGAGTGGCGAGATATTCTTTAATGAAATATTCAAGTCTTCGAAACAAATAAATAGCCAAAAGACTTCTCAATCGATATTATTTATGTGTAGAGCGAAGTTTGGGACGAATCAGGTAAAATCTATGAAGATCCCGTCTATGTTTTCTAAGATATACCGATATTTCTGGAGATTTTCAACTACAGGCAAAGCTCTGCATCCAAGTGCATCTAGGCGTCTCCATGCAAGTGGTGATTCACACGAAATTTCCTTTCTCTCGTCTTGAACAATATGGCTATTGCTATAATTAATATTTAGTTTAAATATGCTCTTATAGATCTGACTTAGTTCAATATATTAAATAAACACAAATATAAAACCTCGCGTAACCTGTTTACGCTGTACAGGAATATACGGTTCGCTTGTTTCGCCGGACACCAACACTTGCCGTTCAGGAGCAATGCTTGCCTACAAATTTTATCCCCTTCACAATCTTTGTTTTATTTTATCGTATAGTCGCAATTTTCAAGTATTCGGCGTATTCTGAAACTGAAAAACTGGGTGGCGTGCGAATCTTGTAGACTACATCGGTCTAGGCGTAGAGCTATTAAGTAAACAGGGCCTAAATTAATTTAGTAGTTTCATTTAATTGTTTGTCTTGCTTTTATTTGTCAGTACAAAATATTGTAAATTAAAATATTACTACAATGCAATACGCGTAGTATTTCATCAGACATCTGCACTAATAAATACTGTATAAGGAAAACTTAAATAATAGTAGACATTTCTTGTTTTGTCAGAAAACATCACAGCTCACTTCGACACGGCTTTTGAGTTTTGTAACCGGCCGAGGCGAAAGTAAATCGTGCAGTCGGGAAAACGTCTTACTTTGAAAGATTATTTTGCAAAGCATACTCGTACACACAAGAATCATAAAAATACAAATGTTGAATTGTATATTTGTATTGTAATTTGTTATTGTCAACCGTCAATTTAGTTATTTTTAGACAATATGGTGTTAGCCAATCAGAATGCAAAAGTGACCGGCCCGGACCAGGGCTTCCTCGTGTCTCGCCTCGTCCCACACTGAAGCCACAGAATAAAGATCAGTACCAGAAGGGCCACTCAGCGGTGCAACGTGTCCCCATTTTTCTATGCAAAAACATGCAATTGACTGGCTAGGAAGATGGCGGCCAGCCAATACAACGCGTTCATTGGCCAGAAAATGTAATCGACTGGCTAGGAAGATGGCGGCCAGGGGGCCCTTCTGTGTGCCTTATTCTGTGCTGAAGCCCTGGGAACGAGGTTGGGTTCGTATATCTATCAAGTATCTTTGGTTCAGAACATGATAGGCCTATATGAAAATCCCACCGTTCGATTCAGTGAATAAATATATCCTAATTTCTATCGATAGTTTTAGTAAAATGACAACATTATTGCGATTTATGGCCTTTGAAAGTCAAGCGAGATCGTATATTATCAAATTAATATACGCGTGTATTTGTCTGAAAGAAAATATAGACTAGCCCATACCTTTCGCCGATCATAACTTCGGCCCCTTCGGACGTATCTTCTTTGTTAAATATTCTTGTTCGAATCGCTATCAAAAACACTATTTAGAGTGTTATTTTTCAGCCTGTATCTTTTAATTTGCTTCTTTTATTACGGTATTCCATTTCTGCCTGGTCTGACTTGTGATTGTGAACTAATTTCAAAACGCAGAGTTTCAAAACATCAAAACATTTGGTTAATGATTAACATTCAACCGAATTTAGCCGTTGATTGACAACTACATAAAAATACTAACCAATCCGTTTTTTCCGTTCACCAGCGGACGGGTAATTCAAAACCCCCTAGTTTTGCGGCAGACGGTATTTCCTTTGCCTCCCTAATTTTCGCTGCCTGTAGAAATACCGCCTGCCACGCAGGCTATTCATTTCCTAACTTTGAGGAGTTCCTAGATCCTCTGAACAATTCCTCAACAATTTGATAAGTTCCTTAAAAAGTTCCTAACTACCTGTTTCATTGACCAATCAGATTGCTCAAAAATAAAATATAAAATTTGATTGGCAATGAAACAGGAAGTTAGGAACTTTTTAAAGAAATTTTCAAAATTTTAAGGAATTGTTCAAAGGTGTTCCTTCAAGTTAGGAAATGAACTGGTCAACATTTTTCGGAACGCTTCTATTGGCACGACTGTAATGTTATGTTTGGTCAGATTACCATAAACTGACACATATATTGCTTAAGCTCTCTAATGTGCCACCATGTAAAACGTTCGAAAATGAAAGCTTTATTGATCACGAGGTCGGCAAATTGTAGCGGGACCCTGGATTGCCATAATTTCAAGTTAAACGTTTCCACCCTATGTATTCTCTGTTAAAAATAGAAGGCCGTTGTATATACGAGTCATGATGGAAACTAATATACAAGCTGTGGCCATTTTATCCCTAATTTCTGGTAGCACTTTGGTGCACGATCGCGGTTAAACAACATTTGATGGGGAGGGGGAGGAGAGGGAGATATAAGTGTTTGTAATAATATGCATGTATATATCCCCTGATCGCAAGTGTCTCAACAACTTTTGAAACATTATATCAATACCAATAAAAAATCAGACTGAAAACAAGCTTGGAGTACTGTTCACTTCCACTTCATTGAATAATTGCCTTATCAGAAACGAAACAGAAACAACAAAAAATTGTAAAATTGTATTACAACAGATTCACCATCAGATTTTCACCAAAGCAAATTATATAAGCCAACATTCCACCTTAACGACGTGCGAGTAAAGTTCCAAGTAAATACATGCAATACCACAAACAACTGAGCTCCCCCCTCCCCTTCCAGTGTCTACAACCTTGGCCTGACATAACTATTATATAGTATATTGCCCTCAAAGGGTTGTCACGTGCGGGTAAAATACCAGAGTTTTGGTATAAAGGGTGCTGTGAATAGAATTCTTGTCTGATATCCTTATTGATAGAATTCAAGCATTAAAATCAAACGCTTTGCAAAATAAATGGTCGTGGTCAAGGGACCTATACCAGATGTAGGCTAAACATTTTCAGTGACTTTTTCAAATCACAATTACTATTTAAGTTCAGCTGATGTTCACATGTATTATTGGTGTTCTTATCTGGTCATATCGGTATCCATGTTAAAATTATGCTAAATCGTACCTCTTCCAAATCAGGATCACTTTTGCAAATTTTCGGAGAACGTGGATGACTGACGGTCTTTGGCTTTGAAAGACTATGAACAAGAGCACTCCGTGGTGCCTGCTTCCAAATATATAAAAAACAAACGTGTAAGGATATGAGCTTGCATTTAAAACTATAATAGTACATTATACATGTTAATTTCTATAAATAAAACGTGGAAAACAAATTGAACTATTATATACCGGGTGTCCCAAAAAAAAGTACTCCGGTTTGATTTATAATAACGTCTAAACAAGTAAAGCTATCAAACAGAAATAACTTGCATTAAATAGAGGAAGGACTAACTTAGATTTTGATATATTACAGTTGTATTTTACTTAAACATTCACGGAGATATTAATGTTCAAAATCGGGAGCATATTTTGGAATGTGTCTAAAATTAGCGAAAATCGGCATATCAAATATTAACTCCAGCGTTTGTTTGCTTCATGGCATATCAGGCTAACTTGTATTTCAGTGAATTGTCGTTAGAGTTTGTAAGGGATATGGCGCAGATTTAGACATTTTAACATGTATGTAAGTCTTAGCTGATTGTTTCCTGAAATATTGAACGTTCAAAATTATGCAAGTATTTAATAGGTCTTTACAAACTAAAAGGTACATGAAAAACCATATATGCAATGCAGGCGCTTAAATTTTTGTTAAATAACCTAATTTTTTTATGTTTTTCATGGGTTCAAAACAGTGTTGATTATTTCTCGGTTAGAGCAGGATGATTTCTTTATAATGAAGGAAATAATATTGCTTTTTGCAAATACACATCAAAGTATCAACGCTACTTACTATTTTGTTACGTTTTGTTAAAAAAATGTTGGATGTCTCTGGGGAGTTGCTTGTTATGTCTTATGAAGTTGTATGGTTAGATTGTGTTTCATTCTCAGTTTATTCTGAATTTAACAAGATTAAGAAAAAGCAAAAGAGTTTGAGTGTTCTTAACAAGATTTCAGAACGTTGCAGAAGTTAGAAGAGCTTCACAATTCCATTGTGACAGCATGCCCTAATTCAGAACTACGAACGATATCCATGACGATCCTTAATTCGCGATGCAGTGGTCTCATGAAATAAGGAAACGTATTCGTCTAAGGAACACACGCGGATTTCGGACGAATAAATCTTGCTTGTATTTTGTAGGTAATAATAACTTTGTTTCATAATAAACAATTTGTTAAGTGTCATTCATTTAATGCGGGTAACAGTGCATGTTTCAATCGGGCAAATTTTGATTAATATTTGATACGCCGCTTTTTTGCATATTTCAGACACATCCAAAAATGTGCTCCCGATTTTAAACATTAATATCTCCGTGAATTTTTAAGTGAAATACAACTGTAATATACCAAAATCTAAGTTAGTCCTTCCTCTATTTGATGCAAGTTATATATGGTATTTGAATCCTGCCTGAGCTTGAGCATAGTTATAAGGTAAGGTAAAACTTGTTTTTGAAGTAAATTAATAACTTCCCTCACCAATTCTTTCATAAGCTTAATTCCCTCTTTTAAATGTTCCTGACATAACTATTATATAGTAGTGACCCCAAAGGTTAAAACTCAAATTTACAAAAAATCACTCCACTGCAATTTTTACATGCCATAAATTATGTATTTAACCGTTAAATATAAGATTTATGGCATGCGAAAATTTTAATCAATGGATTTTTAAAATTTGGTTAATAATTCAGCTGATGGTTATACCATATACAGTTTGTTATTCAGTCATATTAAGTTTACTTTCTGCCTTGTACGGTCAACAAATTTTCCTCAACAAGTTTCTCTTGACAAGTTTTGTTGCTCTTGTGCCGACGAAATGTTGTTAAATGTTATATAACATTAAAGCCGTATTTTATGTGCCAAAGGTATAGAATTATTTCATGTACACTTGTCAAGTTTTCCTTGGCGGCCACGGTACACACGAACAAGCTTTGAGGGAACAATGCTTCTTGTCAAGGCGAAATTGCCCCAAGTTTTTGCCATACATGCACACGAGGAAATAAAACTTGTCAAGGAGAGCTTGTCAGGAAAAATTAAATTACCGATTCAAAATTTCGGTAACAAACATTACTACCAATATAACCATATCTACTGCTTGTATCCCTCATGATTACAGTACCAATATCACACGGCACTGATGGCTCATCATCCCACTAAAAATACAAAAAATGGATTTATTAATTGTGACAAGGGAGGTTAGCGAAAGCGTTTATACGCAAACAAATTCGTAGAATCAAATGCATTTGTATGTTCTGAATATTAATGAGGCGAGCTATACTACCAAATTATTTCGAAATCTATAGAACAATTATTTGAGTTTAGAGAGTAATCTATATCGCGAATATGAAAGACTAGATTTTGGTCAGTATTGCTGGGTGTTTTACACTCCACTTCAATAACTACCCGACTCAAAATTTGTTGTTAATAGAGGTTGAACTCCTAAATTGAAATAATTCCAGGTTAAACGTTTCCACCTTATGTATTCTCTGTTAAAAATAGAAAACCGTTGCATACGGGTCATATGGAAATTAGTATACAAGCGGTGGCCATTTTGTCCCCAATTTCTGATAATGTCCAACGGTATACAACTGCTGCAGTTTTTCTTAACAAAATTTTAATTTATTGATTTTTCTTTTGTCGTTATATAACAAAACACTTAATGTTTGTTCCTTTGGGAAATAATTAGTTTTGTTTCGACTTCACCCCCGGGAAACATTGAAAGACTCAGGAAAACAAATCTATTTCCCTCAGGAGCAGACAATAAGTGTATATTATTATCGTGTCATTCAATTCATTCGCACTCGACGTCAAAACAAAAAATGGCAAACAAAATCGCTATTGTAAACCAGGCTTTAAGACAGGAGATGATATTGTCTGACTTACCGCTTGGACTGGACCATGCACGTCTGCGACTCTGCGTTTGTGCTGGTAGAGTTCACGTCTGCGCTTTTTGTACTTGTATAGTACTACCAAGAGCCCAACAACAAATACAATCACCACAGCAGCAATAACACAGCCAAGTATCAAAGTCAATTTGGAACCACCATCTTTCATAGGCCCTATATAAAATGTGAAGGGCGTTTACAGCGCGTTCACAGAATTGAACAACTTGAATGGATCTAATCGAGTCACCGAAACCCATAGATATCTTATATACACTAGATATTATTCTGCAATTCAAAAATTGAAGCCTTTAATTATTGCAGACTAAAGGTATTCTCATGAAATGACAAGATTCGTATGTTCTCTATTTTTTAAACAGGTTAAACCTATTCCAAATACATTTTAAAGTTATTCAAATGATGAAAGTTATTGTTGTTTCTTCATAGTAAGCGTTTATTGGCGGGTGGGAACGACCAACATGGCCGCTATCTATTCAAATGAGGGTAACCGCTGGAATATTCTTGGCTTCAATTTTACTAAAAGAGATGCGCTATCTGAGTGTATAAGAGTGTATAAAAGATATCTATGTATAAAATGTGAAGGACGCTTACAGCGCGTTCACAGAATCGAACAAATTGAATGGATCTACTCGAGTCACCAAAACCCCTTTAGAAACGTTATAGGTTAACCCATGAACGTCATCATTTCCCTTTGATCAAAAAATGTCCGGTGTTAGATGAAAGAATAAAATGAAAACGTGGGGCATTTTGCATGAACAATTCCTTTGACAAAAAAGTCGTCTGGCACAGTCTAAGACATATAACATAACCAAACAATTCACCCGAAAAATGCCACTTTTCACGAGTGAGACTTTTAGGTAAATAATGCAATACCTGTGGTGGAGTGCACTGTTGTAGGGATTACAGTCTTAGTTGAATTAATAATTGTTCTTGCTCCTGCAAAAGAAAAGAAACAAAAGTGAATTCAAGTAAAGAAAACAACCCACCATGCATGCAAGAGACCGTGGAAAGCCATTGATAGACAACAACAACAGTGACAACAACAACAACAACAACAACAACAACAACAACAACAACAACAACAACGACAACGACAACGACAACGACAACGACAACGACAACGACAACGACAACGACAACGACAACGACAACGACAACGGCAACGACAACGACAACGACAACGACAACGACAACGACAACGACAACGACAACGACAACGACAACGACAACGACAACGACAACGACAACGACAACAACGATCATACCTTTCACAGATGAATGAAGATGTGGAACACTAGTTTGACCTTTCACCAAGGTTATTTGGGATGATGGCGAAGTTTTAGATGCATTCATGGTACTAACAACCGCAGTGGGACTTGGGTGAACAAAGCTAGTGCTATTTTTTCCAAACGGTTCTATAAATAAAAATTTATGGCTACATATGAGTAATATTTTGAACAATACATTATTATTTTCGTACATATTAGGGCTGCCAGAAAGCTATTTTTGTTATAAAATAAACGAGTTTTTCACAATATATTACCACTGTTTTGTGCATTTGTGACCACACAGCACCAGAGAACAAATATAACTTCAAACAACTTCATCGCAAAAGTCCACTTCATTGTGTTTCTTTTACTACTGGTGCTACTATAAGAATGGTATAAAATTAAAGATTGATAACTATTATTGAAAGCCAAACATTATCAATGTTTAATTCATTAATGTGCAAGACTCTCCCGTTGACGGGTAAAATCGCCTGGCGTTAAACAGAGTCAATAATAAAGTAACGCGCATTGGAGTGCGTTGTAATATACGCGCCAGCGCCACGCAAAGTCGAAATTTCTTCAAAATTTCTCCAAGTTGGGTGACTCAACATATAAAGAGAGACAAATACCACGCATTTTTGGCCTGCCTATGGTTTGGCACAAGATCCTATTTTATTAATGATAATACTTCAAAATTGAGGACTGTGGCACTTAAAGTATTTACTATGATTTTCATTTCCCATCGATTTAATTTAAATTAAGCATAAAACGTAACGGCACTCAAGAACTGGGGTTTTTTAATACAATTGGCCGGAAAATCCGTAATCGAAGAAAAAAAGTTTGGCAAATTGCAAGCACTTAATCTGAACTGTCAAATATAGACTAGTCTCTCGTATCATTATCCTCAGTCTTGCAAGTTGCAAATGATTTCTAAATTTTGGATCGTTTGCTCGCAATATGGTTTTTCTCTAAAATAATCGGTGCTAAGATAATTCTTCATTTTATGTCAATTCCTCTTCAGTAGGAAATATTTTGGGCAATACAAAGCATGCCATTTTGAAGAGACGTGACAACATAATATAATCCCACTCAATATTAGCGTGCGCTCAGACTCGTCCCCAGTCGTTATTTGAATTTCAATTTTATAGGGACGAATAGTTATATATCCATATATATATATATATATATATATATATATATATATATATATATATATATATATATATATATATATATATATATATATATATATATATATATATATATATATATATA